GCGTCCATCATTCGGTGATGGTCGTGGGAGGAGTGGTCCATGGTGGATAGTTAGGTAGATAGATGGATGATGAGTTTATTGATGTCCGGCGGGTGATGGAGGGATGTAATAAAAGAGTGGTGGTCGCGGTACTGCACTAAGTGAAGGATTGAAGAGATTAACGTTGCAGTTGGCAGTTCCAATGCGAATGGCTACAAAATCATAAAATCACGGCAAGCTGTCCTCATGTCTTCACCATCTGTTTGAGTGGTTGTATGGGTGGTGTTTGTCTCAATTGAGCTCGCGTGTTCAGATCCCTGAACGCCACTCACTCACTTGCCCGCTCAGTGAGACGGCCCGCTGATGGGATCCACTGCGCTGAACTAAATTTGGGAGCGGCGCTCGCGGCGTCACTGTTCCTGGGCTTGCCGGCTCGGCGAGGGCGGGGTTTGTTGGTGGGGCATGAAACAGGTGAGACTGGACATGGTTTGATGATGATGACCTCGGGGGCGCGGTTTGACCATTTGAACGGCTAAAGCTCAAGGAAACCCCGTAAAGTAACCTTAACTTGGGTTGCAACCTCAAAAATCATCTCTCTCAGGTATGTGCATACGGCATCTGTAAGTAGTAAGCTGCTCGATCCATCACCGACGATACCCGGCCCCACCACAGTTAACTTACGCGGGGCAAGACGCTTTACTCAAACCATCTTTAAACACTCAAGCAACTACTTGCATCAAAATTTAACTTGCCGTTAAACAGCTCCATCGATACTTTCCCGAATTTTGAGTCTGAAAACTTTCACGATGATCGGGCCACCAGTAAACCTACCAAAGTGGTATGTTTTCCACCCTATAAACCAACCAACACACACATAACCCTCTGATTCATCACCGTTAACACTGCTAACTCCACCCCAGGCTCGAGGAGAACTCGCACCTCCTCAAGCCGCCCATCAACAACTACTGCGTCTACAACGGCGACTTCACCGTCATGATCGTGGGCGGCCCCAACGCCCGCACCGACTACCACATCAACACCACCCCCGAATGGTTCTACCAGCACCGGGGCGCCATGACGCTCAAGATCGTCGACCCCACCGAAGGCAACAACACCTTCCGCGACATCGTCATCCGCGAGGGCGACATGTTCCTGCTGCCCGCCAACACGCCGCACAACCCGGTGCGCTTCGCCGACACCGTGGGCATCGTGCTCGAGCAGAAGCGCCCCGCGGGCTCCCTGGATCGCATGCGTTGGTATTGCCAGAGGGAGGGGTGTGGTGCGGTGGTCAAGGAGGCGGCGTTTCATTGTACGGATCTGGGCACGCAGATCAAGGAGGCCGTGGAGGCGTTTAAGGCGGATGAGGAGGGGAGGAGGTGTAAGCAGTGTGGGGAGGTGGCCGAGTGGTGTCCGAAGCCGGGGTCGATTAGGGATCCGAATTTGGAGTGAGCGTGGTTGAGTGTTGGGTGGTGTGGTGGTGTGGTGGTGTGGTGATGTAGATGGGGACGCGGGTGTATTCGTGCTTGTTCATTTCCGAGTATGGCTGGTAAATCACATTGGTCTGTTATCCAGGCTGGGATTCTATTATTTCGCAATTGGTACTGGGGGGGTGAGCATGGAAGAGACGGGTTGGATGTACTCCTCGAACTATGTATGCCCTATAAAATGATTGCACCTCTAGAGTATTAGAGTCAAAGGTGGTGAAACGGTAGAATGCCAAAAAGCCAAAAAGCTCACCTGCCAACCCCCCCCATCCGCCGGTCAGATGAGGGTGGCAGGCTACGAAAAACCCTTTCAGGTTTTTCTTCGCTTTTTTCTTCGCGAGGGGGGAGTCGAACCCACGGCCTCTTTCGGTTGGCGTTCCACCCGGATTCCTCCCAATACCGTTGAGCCAACCGGTGTTGGCTTCAATTGGGAGGATCGGTGACAGTGTGAGCTGCGGAACTAGTATATATACCATAGGCTGGTCACGGGCGGCCGGGAAGGAACCTAACAAGGCTGGAAATGTTCGGATGAAAGTGCGCGTTGAGGCGGCCACTCATCGGGATGACCCGTTGACCACCCATCTATGTCTATCACACTAAGGGATGTACATCACGTCTCGGCATACTCATACGAGCTGGTCGACTCCTCCACGGCGACCTCGATCTTGGCCTCCTCCAACTCCTTGCCGTCGACTCTAATACCCGCCCGCATGACATCTCCCGGCACGACGGGGCCAACGCCCTTAGGGGTGCCCGTCAGGATGATGTCGCCCGGCTCGAGGGTCATGACCTTGGAGATGTCGCTCAGGATCCTGGGGATCCGGAAGAGCATCAGCTCGGTCGAGTCATTCTGCACCACCTTGTCGTTGACGCTGAGGTACAGGTCGATCTTGTGCGGGTCCGGGATGGACGCCTTGCTGATGATGTTGCTCACGGGCAGGAACGTGTCAAAACCCTTGCTGATGTCCCACGGCAGGCCCTTCTTCTTGGCCTCGTTCTGGACATTGCGTGCCGTCATGTCGATGCTGAGGGCGTAGCCTGATTTCGGTTTCAGTGCCAGGAATCACGGCCCGTGAGGAATTGACTCACTCTCAATGGCGTCCAGCGCCCCCTGTTCGTCCTGCGCGCTGAGATCCCTCACCCGCTTGCCCAGGATAAGGGCGAGCTCGACCTCATAGTGCAGGTTCACGCCCCGAGGGCGGATCACCGGGCCTTCTCCAGGAAGAAGGATGGTCGAAGTCGGCTTCTGGAAGAAGAAGGGCTGCTTCGGGCGAGCGCTGTTCAGCTCCGTGATGTGGTCCCTGGATGCACGTCAGCCACAAGCCACAATACACACCCCATGCTGCATTCGGGAGAATGAGGTCCGAGTCACGACCAAGACAGCCAAATCAAAAGGGACGACGCACGCATAGTTGCGGCCAATGCAGACCACCTTTCCAGTCTTCTTGATCGAAGTCATGGTCGCCATTCCTCTGATTCCTCTCCTGAGTAGTAGTCCCATCGTGAAACAATTCCCCGCGCTGACGGGTGCCGCTTATATTATACAACGGTTCCGGTACACACTTCTGCTTTGGTGACAGGTGCAACGTACAATCCGATTGGGAAGAGAATGCGACTTCGGCTGTCTGTACATGGTAATTATTCGGCTCGGCCGACACGCACGGCAACACTTTTGGGTAGCCGATCTTGACCCACCAAAACAGCCAGGGGGTACGAACCACACATCCCAAAGAGAGCAACGAACCACGTTATCGCATAGCTGACTACACTATCGCTAGATACATACGAGCTTTGAAACTAACGGTTATGCGGGGAACTGTCGGCACGATTGCTGTTTGAAAGATCTGCTGTGTCTTCCTTGTATTAAATAGGCTAATACTGTGTCAGCTCGTGCTGGTTGGTTAAACCTGCTCATCCGGCGGAACGAGGATCGGTTGTGATCGGTTTAACCATCCGTCATGGCGGCGATGGTTATTCATCAAGTGCTTGAACCCTCGAGAACCCAGACCAAATACTTCGTAATTGTTCGCCTTCCATCGATTTGAAATCGGAGACCATACGTAAGCGGCACAGCGGCAAATCGATCAGGTCGCGGGAAGCAAACGGTGCCGTGTGGCCATGGCTCTCGCCCTAGGAGTCCGCCGTCGCCGACCCGTTCCAGGCGAACGGGATGAGCGGGATGGCTGAGATGCTGCGGGCCTGGAAGGTCGCCGAGGGGCATCGGAGGGGCTTTCTCCACGCCTGGAGAGGAGGAGGAGAATGCGGGGAGCACCCCATGAACAGACCATGAACAGAAAAAGTTGAACTCCAAATGTCCATGGAAGAAAAATCATTTGGCAGCTGAGTGAGAACCTGCTTGCCGAGTCTCTTTTCCTTTCACCAATGTCCTTTTTTCTGCTTTTCTCGGCCTCTTTTCCCCCATCGCTCGATCTGCTCGGGGCGTATTTGAATTCTTGCGCGATGTCTCCTGCTTTGCTTGATGCAAGTTTTGGAGCCACTCGCCTTTTCTGGTAATTTAGAATACTGCCTTTTTTGGCCACTGGATACCTAGGTGGGGCGTCCACGAGGGCAGGATGCACAAGCCCTTTAGCGGGTGCCCAGACCATGAGCCACGGTCCCCTGTCGGCTCCGACAGACCCCCGCTGAACAAAGCTCCAAAAGATTCGCGATGACCGCCTGTCATAGGCAATCAAGTTCAGCCCTGCCGTCATGGTGTGGCCCCAGCTGCTCTGTTCAACGGGCAGGTCGATGCACACCATCCCGTGCACTTAGGTACCGCGGGGGTATGTCGGTGTGCTCTTTCCCGCCTATTGGGGTGATGATTAGCTAGCTCCAGGCTAAGCATAAATCTGCAGCTGCTCTTCGCCTCGCCCAGAAAATCCTTCTCTGTGAAACCGTCCATCTCACACCGAACTCCAATAGGCCACGCAACCAAACACCAACGCCGTAGCCATTCTTCTAGACCTTAACAACACCTACACCGTCGCCAGTGGCAACCTCGACGCGTTATTATTGTCTCGACTACTCTGCCACCCCAACTACTTTGAATGATCGCGAAAACACGAGACGGCCCATCCCAACTTAGGACGAAGCATCCATAACAATGATGGAAAGCATCCAGCTTGCGCAGATGCTGGCTGACCTCAGCGATCTAAACGCCGCGGTATGCGATGCCCATGCTGCATTCCAACTCCGTGCGCGAAATCCCCTAATAGTTTGTCATAGCAGGAATCGCAGGCCGCTGTCGCCTTGGTTAACGCCAACAAAACCCTTCCGACGTCATCGCCTGCCGACTCAGCGCGGCCATCGGAGCAAGCGCCGGCCCGGCCAACCCTGCGACATCACAAGCGCACTGGATCCGGCGGTTCAGCAGCTTCGCCGGGTTCATCCTTCATGTCGAGGACAGCTTCACCCGCCAAATTCGACAAGCTAGGCCGGCGCATTCTTACCCCGCCCAACACACGCACAAACTCATCCTATGGCTCGATCCCCGGGACGCCGCAGCGCGAGACAGAGGTTAGCAGGAAACCACCCTTCACCACCACCACCATAACCACCTACCCAGGCAACACTACCATCCCCGTCACCTACCCGCTCTCGATTCCGCTCCTCTCCACGAACCCTAGCCATGGCCATATACTAAATGTAACGCAAACACAACAGACCGACGACGATGTTGACCGAGCCAACTCCCTCATGTCCCTCTATGAGATTCGCGCCAAGCTGAAGGACCAGGACAATAACCGGAGTCTCAGCAAATTGAGAGAGAAAATCGCCGCCCTTCACGCGAAGCAGGTGCAGGGCGAGAAGAAGGATGGTGACCCTGGAAGGGCGAAGTTCAGTTATCCCAAGAGCCCATGACCGAGTTTGTTGATGATGTTATGAGGGGAGGGGGATTGCTATTCCTTACACACACAAACACGTCCGCTGGCCATATCGGGTTATTGGGTTATCTTACAGCTCAGCGACGGTTTGCATGGCGTCGGGTATCATTCATGGAGTATCACGGCGTTATGGTTGCACACTATGTTTGTAGGGACACTGAGTCGGTAATGGAAGGACAGGAAAATGTACGAGTACTTTGGGATAGACCACTCCGTCGGTCCATTTACATCGCTGCGCCGAGTGAGTTTACTTCGGCCCCTCGAGTCTTTCTTTTTTGTTGTTAGGGCGAGTCTCGTCTCAACATCTATCCAAGACCTAGGCCAGCAGTCTTAGAATAGTAATGCTCAAAAAATTGAACATCACTCCATCAGAGTCAAAACACCCGTCGCGGCAAATACGCCTTGCAGCTTATTCTCGGACGGGATGAAAATGCCTCATTGCCCTCCGGATCGGAAGGCTTTAGAGAGCCTCATGATCACCACCTACTGTATTTACAGAGTGTCACACACCTTTAACGCATCTGTCCACATCCGGCCACTGGAGCGCTTCTGGATCATGCACGCGACCACCCACCAGTCCAGATCCCCGCTATTTCTCACCCCACGCGTCTGCACCCCTGTCACCGCCCGGTACAGTGGGGTACAGCAGTCCCGCCTGCCAAGACTGCCAAGGCCCGTCCAGGTTCACCGGCAGCACGCGTCGCTGCAGCGAGACTCTCGGCGACCAAGTTCAATCAGGTACGAAAGTATCTTTTAGTTCCGGCACCATCTCCCCACAACAGGCGGGCGACGAGATAAAACCAAGCGACCAACACCGATATCTTTGCGACGCATTACAGTAAATACACACAGCTACCAGCTGCTATAGGGGAAAGGAGGAGGCGAAAGCATAATCAGCAGCAATGGCGACCGGCGTGGACGCGAAGCTCCTCAAGAGCACCAAATTCCCGCCCGAGTTCAACCAGAAGGTAGACATGCAAAAGGTTAACGTCCAGGTCATGAAGAAGTAAGCGTTGCCGACCGACGCCGACCACAAGACCCGGCTTTTGTTATTAACAGCATATCAATCAGATGGATCGCCAACCGAGTCACAGAAATCCTGGGGAGCGAAGACGACGTCGTCATCGAGCTCGTCTTTGACCTGGTCGAGGGCGTTCGCCATGTGAGTATCTGGCCCACACATCCATCACTCACCCCAACCATCGGTCCTGATCCTTTGCTAACCTCGAGTGTGATACTGCCACAGCCCGACATCAAAGCGATGCAGATCCAACTGACTGGCTTCCTCGACAAGGACACGCCGGCGTTTTGCAAGGAGCTCTGGAAGCTCTTGCTGAGCGGGCAGGCCAGCCCGCAGGGCGTGCCCAAGGAGTTGCTGGAGGCGAAGAAGCTCGAGCTAATGCAGGAGAAGGTGGGCAACACCCAGCGGACTATTATCACCACGACGCGGGCTAACACGGAAGCAGATCGAGGCGGACAAGGCTGCCGAGGAAGCCCGCCAGCGACGAGAAGAATTCGAGCGCCGCGACCGTGGTAGAGGCGGTCGAGGTGGGGGAGGGCCCGGCCGGGGTGATACATGGCGTGGATTTCGAGATGATAGGGATCGTGGCGGATTCGGACGCGGGCGGTCCCGCTCGCCGCCCCGTTTTCGCGACCGCGGCGAGCGTGGTGGAGGACGTGGAGGGCCCCGCGGCGGCGGTGGGGGATGGCAACGCGATATCTACGTCCCCCGGGGAAGCCCGCCCAGACGTGGCAGCCCACCCAGGCGGGGCGGTGGGTGGCGCGATGACAGGCGTCGCCGGTCTCGGTCCCGCTCCCGCACCCGGTCGGTGTCGATTCGGTCGACCTCGTCCCGGTCGCTCTCACGCAGCCCCAGCGTGGAAGGAGGCAGACGATCCATCACCCGGTCACCCAGCCCACCCCCGCGGCGGCGACGCGCACGGTCTCGGTCCCGCACCCCGGTCTTTCGGCGGGACGCACCCAAGCGGCGCCGCTCTCCGCGCGGCCGGACCCGCTCCGTGTCGTCAGACCGTGACTCGCCGTCGCCTAAACGTCGACGCTACTCCCGGTCGAGGAGCCGCAGCCGCGGTCGGAGCCCCAGCCGGAGCCTGAGCCGGAGCCCGTCCCGAACACCAGTGCGGCGCTACAGCCGGTCGGCGTCGACATCCTCCTCCCGGTACTCGCGGTCCCCCAGCCGCACTCCCCCCAGGCGGACGAGACGCGACAGCCGGAGCGGGTCCCGCGGCGGCGCCGACACGCGTCGGAGCAGAGCCCGATCCTGGAGCGGGAGCCGCGGCGACGCCAGTCCCGCCAGTTCCTACGATAGCCGGCGTCGCTCGCCCGACCGCCGGTCTCGTGAGCGAGGGAGCAGCCCCCGTCGGCGCGCTGCCGGAGGAGGAGAAGGCAGCGGCGACAGCCCGGGGAGGGGGAGGGGCGGGCACAGGGCCCGGAGAGCCTCTTCTGCATCTTCATACTCCTCTACACGGAACAGATCGGCTGATGGTTCAGGCGCTGAGAACAGACCACGATCTTCCCGTGACGACCCGGCGGCGTCGAGTGCGATACAGGTATGTTGGGAGAACACTGAAAAGATGGGTGGTGGGTGGGGTGGAGTGTATAACTAAGCTGACGCCTTCGACAGGACACAAAAGCAGCCAGCGAACTCCGCGAGAGAGAGCTCAAGGAGAAAATCAAGAAGATGAGATCCTCGAAGAGCGGAGACGATCACGTTGAGGCTAACGCTGCTTGAAGCTCTGCTACTATATACATTCGAAAACAAAAAGAAGGGCCACCGTATCTAGCTGGAAGGGTCATATCATGGGTCATGGCTCTGTGGCATGTCGCATGGGCTTAGGTGACTGAGGATTGGGATCTGTGAGACCAAACCCCTGAATTTCCCCAACCGTTGCCCATCAAAAATTGTCTCTGAAGTCTCTCAGGTCTATTAGAAACGCAATTATCTTGCCTCGACTGAATTGTGAATTTCTGTCTGCTTTGTACCGTTTCAGCCATTGTTCTATGCGATTTTACCGTGCCAGCCTATGAGTTTGCAGCAGTTTTGCTGTACCAGTAACAGAGGCCTTGTTATCCTTTGACAGGCGATTACGTCGATTACGTCCCCTGGTACTCGGACAGTTGAATCTGTGCTCTTTCATACGTTTTCGTTGCCGTCGTAGTCGCACAGTGCGGGAATGTGCCTTTTTAAACGCCCATTGGCCAGTGCGTAGACAGGCCCAGGAACCTTGTCGGACAATTCGAGGTTCGCCTGTTCCGTCGCGTCGCCCAAGCTACGAAACAACTGCAATTCCAACCTCACGACCACTACGAGGGTCTGTCGGGACAAAAATTGAAAAGAAACAACATAAGTCTTTCAACATGACGGAAAACGCACCCCCCGGGAGCAACAGCAAGTCGACGGGAGCCAATGGCACCGGCGGCGATGCAGCTTCATCATCATCGGCAGCGGGGATCCCCTTCTACGAGAAACAGCGGCAGCAGCTGAAGGAGCTGATCTCGCGGAAGCGAGCACTCGAGAAGAAGCTGGTGTGTTACGAATCCCCGCCTCCCTCCCCCTCCACCTCAGACTCAGACGCAGAGCAAAGCAGCGGGAACGAGGACGAGGGAGCAGCAGCAGTGGAAGAAAAACAACAACCGGCGAGAAAGAAGCGGGCGCTAACCAAGCGGGCACCACCACCCACCCCCACCAACAGAGCACGGTCGAGGACCTCATCGTCGACAAAGAGACGGCGTACCTCGACGGCACGCCCAGCGGCAACATCATTATCGGCTTCGACAACTACGTCAAGGGCGCCACCGCCGCCGCCGCCCAGCGCCGCAAGACCGGCGCGCCAGACCACAACCGCGTCTTCTCGCGCAGCTCCGTCTCGTACAACGCCTCGGCGGTAGGCTTTTTTTTTTTTTTTTTTTTTCTTTTACCACCTCACCCACCCACCCGCTCGCACAAAATAATCCTATCCTCCTTATCTAAACTAACCACTCCCCGCCCCGACAAAACAGGATGCCCAAACCGCCGCGTCCACGCCCGCACACACGCCCCTCTCCAGCAGTTTCGGCGGCAACGGCCTATCCGGCGCGCCCACGCCTACTAGCGCCGTCGGTGGTGGTGGTGGTGGTGGTGGAGGGGGCAGGAGTGGCCCGTCGTCGAAGAAGAGTAAAAAGAATACACCCGCGGCGGCGGTGGCGGCTGCTGCGGTGGGTGGTAATGCTGGGGTGGAGGATAGTGAGACGGATGGGCGCGAGACTAAGAAGGTGCGGACTAGTTTTGGGGCGAGGAAATGAGGCTTCTTTTTTTTTTTTTGAACCACTGCTTCGGATTGTCTCTATATGGGCGTGGGTGGGTGAGATGGGGGGGAGGGTGCTTTTTTGAGGTTTGGCGTTTTGGGGGGGAGGGTTACAGATGGAGCTTTGGGACATACCCCTTTGTTTTTTTGTTCTTACCTATTGTGCATATTGGGTTATGGCGTTTGGGGAGCTAAAGTGAGAAAGAGAGTGAGAACAGACTGAGACTGGGCTATAGAAGGCGTGGATGCTGTTTGTAACTACCTCTGTACTTACAGGTATGTCAGGGCCAGCAATGGCGTGAAGTTGGGAGAGAGCACGCTATCCATGTAGTATACACTAGTCCGTCCACCTACAGCCGATTCTATCCTGCCGTGCAATGAGCCTCTTTACGCAATCCATCAATCTCCTGCCTATTCTGGCGGTTGTGCTGGAGCTGCCCGTCAAGGTGCGGGGCCAAGCTGTTTGTTGCCCCTCATTGAGATGGACTGGCCCGCCCTTGAGAGCTGACGCTCACTCAAGGTTATATTTTATTTATACCTTTTCTTATCCATCCTGAATATTTCTCAATTCTTTTCAATTACCATACCAGGCCATTCAACATCATCCACTTTAGTTTGTGGTCCCTCCATACGAAAACCAACATGACCCTCACAGCCAACAAATTCACCCCCGAGGTGATGCTCTCGGCACCTCGACGATCGTCGGGAGTGCCCAATGCCTCGGGGACGCTGGTTTTGTATACGGTATGGGGCTTAATTACCATTTATACTTGCGGAGACTATATGAGGAGCCTATAAGCTAACTTCGTCAGATGTCCACATACTGCTTCGAGGAGCACAAGAACTCTCCCCAGATCCGAATTCTCGAAATCGACTCTGGGAACTCGATCACCGTCTTCGAAGGGACTGGCGCGAGCGAGCCTGTCTGGGTTGAGGATGAAGTGGTTCTCTATCTTAAGAGTGGGGACAACGGCAACACCACGCTGGTCGCCTGGACTAACGGATCCGAGTATGATGACCCCGAGGGGTGGCTTGTTCACGGCCCTAACCATTGCTTTTAGGCCATATGAAGTTGGATCGGTCAAGGGCCCCATCTCCAATCTGAAGGTCAAGAAGCTCTCGGACGGCACCGTGGCTTTTGTCTGTTCGGCTGCGACAACCTCCCAAGGAAAACTGCACAACCCCGAGGCGGAGAAGAAGCCGCAATCCAGTGCCAAAGTCTACACCAACCTCTTCGTCCGTCATTGGGATTCTTGGAACTCCGAGAACGCCAGTTCCCTCTTCTACGGTGTGATCGATAAGAAAGACGACAAGTATTCACTCCGAGATAACGCCCTCCACAATGCTCTGGCGGGGACTAAGCTCTCCTCCCCTGTGCCGCCGTTCGGAGGCACCGGTGATTTTGATATTGGCCCGTTGGGGTTGGTGTTCGTGGCCAAAGACCCGGAGCTCAGCCCGGCCATCTACACCAAGACGGACCTCTACTACATCCCCCTGAAAACCTTCACCGAACCCAACCCGCCCTCCCCACAAATCGTCAAGACACCCGGCCTCGAAGGCTACTCCAACGGTCCCGTCTTTTCCCACTGCGGCCGCAAGGTCGCCTTCACCCGCATGCGCAGCAACCAGTACGAGTCCGACAAGCCACGCCTCCTTTCTCGTCCCCGACATCGCCCACCCCGACAAGACGGAGGAGTTCTATGCCACCGACGACGGCAACGGGCGGCTGGGACAGCCGCCCAGAGTCCATCCTCTGGAGCCACGACGACGCCAGACTCTACGTCACGGCCGAGGACCGCGCCCGCACCCTCATCTTCTCCCTCCCCTCCACCCCCTCACAAGCCGGCACGTCCCTCCCCACCGCCATCAAAACCCCCGACGGCAGCGTCCGCGCCCTCTACCTCTTCGCGGACCCCTCCAACAAAACAGCCTCCCAAACCGCCAAATCTCACCACCTCTTCATCACCACCGCCTCCCTCATCGACAACGCCTGCTACTCCGTCACCGACCCCGCCACCGCCACCTCCACCGTCCTCTTCTCCGCCTCCAAGCACGGCAAAGCCTTCAACCTCTCCCCCAACTCCATCTCCACCATCACCGTCCCCGGCCCAGGCGGCGCCGACTCCTACCCCATCGACGCCCTCGTCATCCGCCCCTCCACCTACTCCCCCTCCGACGCCGAAAACAACAAAAAGAAATACCCGCTCTGCTTCCTCATCCACGGCGGGCCCCAGGGCGCCTGGCAGAATTCCTGGTCCACCCGCTGGAACCCGGCTGTTTTTGCGGAACAGGGCTATGTGGTCGTGTGTCCCAACCCGACGGGTAGCACGGGCTATGGCATGGCGCTGCAGGACGGGATTCGCGGGGAGTGGGGGGGCAGGCCGTACAATGATCTGGTGAGGTGTTTTGAGTGGGTGGTGGAGAATATGGGCGAGGTGGATGGGGAGAGGGCGGTCGCGTTGGGGGCGAGTTATGGCGGGTTTATGATTAGTGAGTTTCTTCTTTTTTTCTGTTTTCTTTTTTCCACGTATGGGATATATATAGGGGAGCGATGGACGGCGGCTAATGAGAACCACAGACTGGATCCAGGGCCACCCGCTCGGGCGCAAGTTCAAGGCGCTGGTGTGCCACGACGGCGTGTTCAGCACGCTGAACCAGTGGTGTACCGAGGAGCTGTTCTTCCCCATCCACGACTTTGAGGGCACCCTGTACGACAACCGGCCTGCGTACGAGAAGTGGGATCCTGCGCGCTTTATCGACCAGTGGGCGACGCCGCAGTTGGTCAGTTCCCCCTTTTCCCCTTCCCCAGATATTTTTGTGGTACACGTTTTCGCTAATCAAAGCATGGCCATGGCCACGACCACGCCGAGCAGACCATCCACAGCGAGCTGGACTACCGCCTGCCCATCACCGAGGGCCTGGCCGCGTTCAACGTGCTGCAGGCGAGGAACGTGCCGAGCAAGCTGCTCATGTTCCCCGACGAGAACCACGTAAGTTTAGCCTGTCTTACCTCTTACAGCGAAGAGTTTTTGGTGCAGTGCTGATTTTTGGGTTTTGTTTGTAGTGGGTGCTGAAGCACGAGAACTCGCTCGTCTGGCATCGCGAGGTGCTCGGCTGGATTAACAAGTATTCCGGCATTGAGGAGGAGCAGAGGCTGGCGGAGGGGACGGAGAAGCTGAAGGTATAAGTGGTTTGACCGTGGAACGGCAGGAGAGAGAGTGTTAGTTAGGTTTGTCTAGCTTGAATTATTGTCTTCGCCGATGTGGATAAGCATGTTCAATTGACATGGTCAAAGACGATATGGGGGTGGTAATTGTCAATCTTGATCGTGCTTATTTTCTCGCTCGGGTGTGCATAAAAGTTCGTTGCTGTTGAAGGACGGATTCCAGAGTATGGATATAGATGTCTTAAGATAGTGCCACAAACAGTCAAGAAAGCCAACATCGCCAACACATTCAGACATTATTTAAATTGTCTCAATTCAACCGCTATCTAACCAGACCTTGTAGTTGCATGTATCCTACAGCTACAAAGTTCACCTAACCGTCTCCAAACCCATCAAGGCAGCGCAATGACAGGGGTCTCTTTGCCCAATAATCCGTCCTCCAAGCCAATACTCATGCAAGTCACTACCACAAACAGTACCCTAACCGTGCCCTCGCGTTCCCAACGAGGACCTGCCCATCACCAACATATTTTGTCCCAGACCAGACTGAGCCGTACAACAATGGTATCCCCAGTTTCCCGGAGCGCCAAACGCCACTCGGTCGTATTGACGACCGAGAAAGAAGGAAGTAAACAAAGACCCGATGCCCAACTCAACATGCCACCAAACCGAAACACCAAGGAATCTATGCAATACAACGAACCAAATCCGAAGCCAACATTACAGGGCGCCGCGGAGCACCGTTTTAGGCATCAGCCACAGAAGAAGACCCCTACGCCTCGACAGCCACCGCGGCAGCCGACTGCACAGCACTCTCGGGCTGGTTCTGGTGCGGCTCGCGTGCGGCCTCGCCCCCAGCCTCGCGCTCTGCCCAGTCTCCCCAGAGCCCGCGCTTCCCACGAACGCGGATGGGACCGCCCAGGGTGCCTTCGGGCTGCTCGACCTTGATGGCGTCCTTGGTGGCGAGCACCAAGCACTCGAAGAACATCTTGGTGGCGTCGGCCTTGGAGGTCTTCTTCTCGGGCAGCAGCTCCTGAAAGACGACAGCCGTCTTCTTGCGCTTCTCGGCGTTTGTGGCGGCCTCGGCGCCAAACAGGTCGCGGAGGATGTGCACGGCGTGCTTAGTGCCGATGGACACAGGGCCGCTGTCGGAGGGGTGCACAATGGGCATGGTGGTGTCGTCAAAATTGGGCATGGGGCTCGAGGGAGCACCGCCCCGGGAGCCGGGGCGCTCGTCCTCATCGTCACCGTGGAAAACGGCGGTTTCGTCCGCGGGGATGTCGAGCACCGTGCCGTCCGCGGCAATGCTCTGGTTGCCCGCAATGGACACGTCGAGGCCGAGCACCGTCTCATCCTCGGGAAGCTCTAGACGCGGCGATTTTGAGACGCCCTGCTCATCTTCGCTGTCCATGTCGGCGACGCCGCTATCTCTCTTCCGCTTTAGCACGTTAGGTCGGATGGATCCAAGGGACAAGAGGCCCTTGAGCTCGGGGGCCCAACCATTGCTGCGGCCCTCGAACAAGACGTTGTTGACAAAACCGCCATTCTTTTGCAGATCCATCAGGCCAACGATGTAGGGATCGTGCGTCAGGAAGGTCTGCGGCTTGAGGATGTTGTCGCGCTTCGCTTGCTGTTCCTTGATCTGGGCGTTGGACAGCATTGTTTGGTCGTCCGGCTGGAGCAGCTTCTTCTTCTTCTGCCGCTGAGGCGCCCGAATCATGGATGCTGTCGGGTCATCACCCGGCTCGTACATGTCCGTGTTCATGTGCCGGCTGTACTCCATCTCGACCTCCTTGGCGAAGTCCTCGTCAATATCGGACAGCGGCGACTCAGAAATCCGCGCGCGGCTCATGTCCGGGCGTGCAGCTCCGGGCATTGCAGACTCGTCCCCGACGTTGAACTGAAGATCATCGTCGCCCATCTGGATATCGCCCTCCCCATCGGCAATGTGAATACCATCGCCAAAGTCGAGATCGAGGCCCAGGGACGGCTCGCGCGCCTGCCGGTCCTTGCTGGGGCCCCCCATATCCAACTCGCTCAGCATGTCCTCCTCAACCGGCCGAGCAGCAGGCGCATCTCTGCCGATTTCCACGCTCTTGTCCATCAGCTTGGTCGGGCGCTCATCGATATCCATACCAAAGTCGAGTTCTAGGTCGAGGTCGTCCATGTTTGCCAAGGCCAACTCTTCATCATCGCCCGTAGCATCTTGCAGAAACTGGCTGTTGTTGAAGTCCTCTTGGAGGTTGATGTCGCGGTTGCTTGGCCTGACGGCAGCTTTGCGGCTGCTTATCGGAGTCGCTGTCACCTCTTCGAGTTGCGAAGCAAGGAATTCGGAGCTCGGTGGCGGCAGCAGGTCGAGGTTATCGTAGGGCGTGATGGTATCGGGGAGCATGAGCGCCTCCTTGGCAGTTGGGTGCAAGTTGGTAGGAATGTCATGGTTGCCGGTGGATCGGAAAGCCTGGACGCGTTAGTATACTGCTCTGCAAAATGCATCTCACCAAAAACCATACCATTTTGATCTTGATCAGGGCCTCGTTGCAGTCATCGAGGAGATAACGCGCCTTGCGGCTGTAGATGCGGACGACGCCGAGCAGCAGCTGGCCGCTGAGGCGGAGGGCGAGAGGGGCGTCATTGGGGGCAATGATGGCGTCCACGCTGTCTTGCAAGTTGTGTTGCAGAATCTGGACCTTGGAAATTTTGCGCTCTTGGTTGGCGGAGAGCCATGCCTTGGCCAAGGGGCCGGTGGCACTGAGCAGTGTCCCGGACCAGAACATAGCGACGGCGGCAGCAACAGAAGCAAGACTTGTAGATCAATGACAGATAGAGGGGTAGCGATATGACAATTGTCAAAAAGTGAAATGGACGGAGATGTCCGCGCGCGATAGGAGGGACGCGACGGCGGGGCAGTTGCTAAGGCGGGCGGATTGTCGGGGAGATGGAGAGGTAAACACGGCAAGGCGCGTTGCGTTGTTTGGACAATGGCGCGCTGGGGCAAGTTTCGCCACACCGTTCAGGGCACGCGCGATTAAGAAAACCTGTCAAGGTTGTCGATAATGATCGGTTTTGGTAGTGCAATGGGCATCGGATCGGATGCGGTAGCAAGCAAGAAGCGATGGTCGAGATGGAAGAGGGTCGAATTGGAGGTGAAGAGGGAGGGATCTGTCGGTTCGGAACAGAGGGACGACGGGTGGGAACGTGCAACGAGCTCGAGTGAAAATCAAGCCCCTGCGAAATTTGAGAGGCTGGGGTGCCCCACCAGCCACCGACTCGGGTTCAGGCAGCACAGTCACGTGAATCAGTATTGAGAGCGCGGCTTGGCGGTGTAATGACGGTCGTAAATTACCTAATGTTACGAGGTATGAGGTCAAGCTTTGTGTGCCACCTGCACCGTCCGAAAGCGAACAACTGTCTCACATACACGACATAAATCCCAACGTTCTCCAAAGGAGTCTTGCCACGAGTATAGTGGCAAGCCCTTCTAAGTTATTGCCATAGAGGGCAAATATGGGCACATTCTCGGTTCACGGGTTTTGTTCTCCCGGTCCTGGGTAACCACCTAAGCTGATTTGTATTCATATCTAGCAGGAATCTGTAGTTGGACTGCTAAGATACCTACTTGTAGGTTGGTACCTACCAGGTACCTATATAGTGCCAGAATTTGTACCACGAGGTGCCTCTTGAGCTCTACTGCCATTCTAGACATTTCCTCTACCTGCTGTTTTCATCACTCCACGATATCGGCCTCAACATGGACGACCCAAATATGTCTTTCAAGGCTAGCATGATCATGAACTTTCGAAGATGGCAGCGCGAGTGTGGAATGCACTGTCAGCAGATGCCAAGCCGAATGGCGCATGGTGCCTGGCTCCTCGCTGCACACACCCCTGTCTGCAGGTCCGCGCGGGACAGGGAACGGCAAACCTTGATTAAACACGTTCCATGAGCAACGTCTCGGCTCGGTCCATTGTATCCCTTCAGCCCTTTAGGTGTCCACCTCCAACTCTCGACCGGGCCTCGAAACGGGAAAAAAGTCACCTGCGCCGGTAATGGGCGTTGCTTCCTTTCTGATGTATTGATTAAGAGCGGATAACTATCTATTTTTCCTTTCCTTTTCTCTTGCATTGTGCCGGAAAACCTTCAGGCCCCTGCTGCTGTTGCAGCCATTCATGACGCCCGGTTCGACCATCGACTCCCGCTCGGGGTCCTTTGCGCCCACGCCCTGTGCCGTCACTTGCCTCTCCCACGGACTCTAGGATGGATCGATTTACGCGGAAAGATAATGGGGATGCCCTGCCGATCTACCAAAACTCGCAAGAGCCAGGGTCAGCAGGCTCCGCTATCGAGCTGGAGCGGTTGCGGTCTACTTCACCGAGGATGAGCCCTCGACCGACGTCTGCGCAGTCAAGGGTACGCTTTATGGGTAGTTCATACGGATGCGCGCAGACATGCTAATTGGCCTCAATTAGACCGTGGCCGATGAATACTCGTCCCTGACTCCGATCGAAGCCGCCTCGCGGTTGAAGACCTCGCTCACCCATGGCCTTACGCCCGCCGAAGCCCTCTCGAGGTTACGCGACTACGGCCCGAACGAGATCCCGCACGAAGAACCCGAGCCGATATGGCTACGATTCATCAAACAGTTCCAAGAACCACTGATCGTCTTGCTCTTGGCGTCTGCCGGCGCGTCGATCGTGGTGGGGAATATGGACGATGCCGTGAGCATCACGGTTGCTGTGACCATCGTGGTGAGCGTGGGGTTTGTACAGGAATATCGCTCTGAAAAGTCGATCGAGGCACTGAACCATCTCGTTCCGAACCACGCCCATCTTGTGCGGAAACAGGCACCCAACGCCTCTCCCAGCGGGCGCTCGCCGAGTTGGCCAGTAGGCGACAAAACTCCTGACCTTCCAACATCCGGCTCGGTCACTCCCGAAGAAGAGGTGCTGGAGGCAACGTCGTCCAAGGTCATGGCCGCCCAACTGGTACCTGGGGATCTTGTCCTCTTTACCACCGGCGACCGTATCCCTGCCGACATCCGGGTGACGAAAGCCGCCGATCTGACCATCGACGCCTCGAACCTCACAGGCGAGAACGAGCCCGTCAGGGTCACCGCGAACACTCGGCCGCGTCGTGCCATCGGCGTTCCCAGCTATGGAAATGCTAGCTTGCAATTGCCCCAACCATCCTTCGGAGGATCCGCAGACGGACACTCGGGACATGCCAGGGTCGACCATGACGGGCCTCACAATATTGCTTCCATGGGAACGTTGGTGAAATCCGGGCATGGGCAGGGTATCGTGTTTGCAACTGGCGGCGATACACACTTTGGTACAATCGCAGCCAGCGTGTCCGGCACTGAAAGCCCTCGCTCCCCGCTGCAACTCTCAATGGATGACCTTGGGTCGCAGTTGAGCAAGGCATCTTTTGTCATCATTGGCCTGATCTCGCTCATCGGCTGGTTCCAGGGAAAGAAGCTGCTTGAAATCTTCACCATTTCTATTTCCCTGGCTGTAGCAGCGATTCCGGAGGGGCTTCCCATCATCGTTACCGTGACTCTTGCCTTGGGCGTCCACCGGATGGCTAAGCATAACGCAATCGTTCGGAGAATGCCCAAGGTCGAGACTCTGGGATCCGTCAACGTGGTTTGCACAGACAAAACAGGTAAGCCAGGCATTTTAACTGGGAAGAACCGTCTTGGTTAACACGCGTCTAGGTACCTTAACCACAAACCACATGACGACGGCCAAGATGTGGTATTTTGGCACGAACGATGCCGTTGATGTTGAGTCCGATGACGAGGCGACCGAGGCCAAGCTAGGCCCGGCCGCGCTGAGAATCATGCGGATCGGAAATATAGCTAACAATGCGCGTCTTGCCCGCAACTACACCGAAAACGGCGCGGCCGCGAGAGCCGTGCTCTCCTCAACCCATAATCGGGGCCAAGCGTCGACGTACACGCGCTGGGTTGGCCAGCCTACCGATGTTGCCATGCTTGACCTTTTAGACCGGTTCAAGGAGCACGATGTCCGTGATTCCATCGGGCCCCGGGTGACTGAAACCCCATTCAGCTCCGAGCGCAAGTGGATGGGTGTCACGATTGGCTCCGAAGGTGGCAAGAACGACAAGGAGTTTGCGTACATGAAAGGCGCCATCGACAAGGTCCTCGACGCTTGCGATACCTACGTCACAAAGGATGAGCAGAGAGATCGTGCTGGACTCGGCGCGGCGAAAGGAGGCTTTGGAGGCAGCCGAACAAATGGCGTCCACGGGTCTCCGAGTTTTGGCTTTTGCCAGCGGCCCTGTCTCGAGATTCAGAAGCAACAAGCCCCCTGCTAGAAGCAATACCCCCGGCTCAGACAGAGCTGATAGCCCCGTTCATCATGGCGTCGAGGAGCAGTACAAGGGCCTCAGCTTTGCCGGTTTAGTGGGCATGAGTGACCCGCCTCGACCTGGTGTCGGACGTTCCATCAGAAAGTTGATGCGCGGGCGTGTCAAGGTCATAATGATTACCGGCGACGCCGAGACCACGGCTGTCGCTATCGGCAAGCAACTGGGCATGGCTGTTGCGACACCCACTGCGCATACATCAAATCAAGTAACCGTCAGATCGGTCCTTCGCGGCGATGAAATCGACGCCATGTCGGACGAGGACCTGGCAAGGGCAATGGAACACACCACTATTTTTGCACGAACAAACCCCGACCACAAGTTGAAAATCATCAGAGCGCTCCAGTCCCGCGGCGATATTGTCGCCATGACGGGCGACGGCGTCAACGATGCGCCGGCTCTCAAAAAGGCCGACATTGGCATTGCCATGGGCATGCACGGCACTGACGTCGCCAAGGAAGCCGCCGACATGATCCTGACCGACGACGACTTCTCCACCATCCTCCACGCCATTGAAGAGGGCAAGGCCATCTTCAACAACATCCAAAACTTCCTCACCTTCCAACTCTCCACCAGCGCCGCCGGCCTCTCTCTCGTTCTACTCTGCACCGCCCTAGGGTTCAAGTCCCCGCTCAACGCGATGCAGATCCTTTGGATCAGTAAATCTCCCCTCCCCATGTCCCCCAACCCCCTCCCGCCCATCAACTAACCCCTTCCCCCCTTAGACATCATCATGGACGGCCCCCCGGCTCAATCCCTCGGCGTCGAAGCGGTGGACAAAGACGTCATGAACCGACCCCCCCGCCGGCGCGGCGACGCCGTCCTCACACGACGCTTACTCTCCCGCGTGTTCACGCAAGCGGGCATCATCATGGCGGGGACGATGCTGGTGTACAGGCGCGAGATGCTGGACGACGGCGAGGTGACGCGGCGCGACACCACCATGACCTTCACGTGCTTCGTGCTGTTCGACATGTTCAACGCGCTCACCTGCCGCTCCGAGAGCAAGAGCGTCCTGCGCGGCGAGGTCGGCCTCTTCAGCAACCTGCTCTTCAACTGGGCCGTCGCCGGCAGCCTGATGGGCCAGCTCGCCGTCGTCTACCTGCCCTGGCTGCAGGAGGTGTTTCAGACCGAGGCGCTGGCGTTCAGGGATCTGCTGGGCCTGTTGATGCTGTGCAGTAGTGTGTTTTGGGCGGATGAAGTGCGTAAGTGGTTAAGGTATGGGAAGGGGAGGAGGGGGACGTTTGTTGGGGGGTATAGCCAGGCGGTGTGATAACGGCTGTCGTGGGGGGGAGGGGAGGCCGCTGTTTGGTAAAATGGGTTTTAGTATTGGTTGAAACTGGAGTATGAGAATAGATGTGGTCTGGGTTAGAGTTGTTTTGGTTCTCATGGGTGGTGTGTATATGCACATGTATATATCGGTGCTGTAGACTTGGTATGCACACACATCAGGGTTGTCTCGACCCCCTCCTGAGACAACCGAGATTTGCAAATTAAGTTTGTTGAAGCAAATCTCCCTTAGTTTACTCCCAGAAAATTAGACCTAGAGTGTTGTCACTCCATTGTGTGATGTGTACGTCCCGCGATAAGACCTCACATCGCGAGGTGGGCCTCGGTGCGGCCGGGGGCGGGGCACCGGGGAAGGTGGAGAACCACTCCCCCTAGCAGGACGGCCCGGACTCCACACCCACGACGGTGTAAGTGCCCGGCAAGCACAAATCACAACTACGGCGCCTCCCCCTACCAGTCAAAGCCGTCCCAGGATCCTCTCCCAGCAGTTCCTCGAAACGAGGCTATTAAGCGCCGGCCGTTCAGCTGAAGCCCAATAAAGCCTGCCAAGCACCCGCCTGGAACCAACAACACCTTCAACTCAGCCTTGTTCATGCAGTCCGGGGGGGCGCCTACAGGGGTCTCTCCCGCACCAAACCCCTCCCCCGCCAACAGTCGCATCGCGCTATGCCACTCTCCCTCTTGCGTGCTCTCTCCCATATCTAGTGGAGTGTACTGCGTATGCCGGCAACAGTTCCGGATAGGCTGTGCACCACGATCCAACCACCGGCCGCCTAGGAGCTCCCGAGGTATGTATGCGTTCCCGGCCGCTAAGGCCCACCGTAGCGGCCGCCTTCTTCGCGCCTCCTACGTCGTGGCTAGGGGCCGGTCCTACATATGTGGTGGAGAAGGCAATTGCAGTGAATTGATGCGTTGAGGCCTACGGTGACCGGCCTGCCCTTCCCTGTCCCTCCGTCCGCCCCTGCCAGTTGGATTGCGGGCGGCTGGATGTCGCGGTTGGCGCTGCGGTGTTCTTGGTTCTTTCTGGCTTCTGTTGGACGGATATGTCTGCCTTGGGGTCCTGCTGCGTCTGGGTGCAGGACCCCTTGTGGTGGGAAGTAATATACTGTAGCACCTACACACGGGAGGTATGAGAGAAAGGGGGGGGGGGGGGGCACGAAAGGTATAAGAATGGGGTGAAAACCCAGATGGTTTGACGCCTATACACCCGTTCTCTCGTTATCGGTTCGTCGTACCCTTTGAACAAACCAACCTTTTCTAAATCCTTGAACTTGACGCGTCGGTGCCGACTTTGGTCCCAGCCATAAGAGCTATCATGGCACTCGATCCCCAAGATCAGCAGCAGAGCCCCCTTGTCAGTGCTTCCCTCCTGCGGAAGATCGATAAACTCCGTGAGAAAAACATCGGCAAGCATGTCCCGTTGCCTCAGGTACGTCTCTCGCCACCCAAGAGCTCCGTGTTGTGCTCACCAAGTACCAAGCTCGTCGTCGTGGGCGACCAAAGCTCGGGCAAATCGTCGCTCCTAGAAAGCTTGACGGGCATCCCCTTTCCACGAGACGTGGAGCTGTGCACGCGCTATGCGACCCAAATCACCCAGAAGCGCGATGATGTCTCCCGTGTCGAAGTCACTATCATCCCGGGCCCCAATGCCACCGATGCGCACAAGAAACACGTGGAGGGATATCGCACAGATGCGCTCTCTCCTGACGATTTCCGGAGTAGATTCCCAAGCATCTTGCGTGAGGTTGGTTCTACCCGACAGATGAATTATGGAGTGATGTCCACTGACGCCTTGAAAAGGTCAACACCAGGATGGGCATTCGAATGAAGCCAAATTCTGGTTCTGACTATACGTCCGACGAACACTCCTCGGACGGCTACACATCTGATGACGCCTTCGGCCAGCGAACGCCATCCACGACGCACGCAACTCCGCAAGTCAGCAGCGTGTTCAGCGAGGACATACTCAAGATCGAAATCTGCGGCCCGTCGGTCGACTATCTGACAGTGATTGATGTGCCGGGCATCTTCCGCACCCCGACAGCAGGCGTCACGACCAGAGAAGACATGGTCATGGTCAGGAATATGGTGCGGTGGTATATCCAGGACAGCCGCACCGTCATCCTGGCTGTGCTCCCCAGTAACATCGACATCGCTAACCAGGAGATCCTGACCATGGCGGAAGAGTACGACCCCAACGGCGAGCGCACGCTAGGCATCCTGACGAAGCCCGACCTGGTCCCGGAGCAGAGCGCGCAGGCCGCGGTTTGCAACATTGTCCGCGGCAAGAAGAAGCAGCTGACGCTGGGGTACTACGTCGTACGAAGCCGCGGCGCAGACCAGGACGATAGCGAGTTTGGGCGTCGGGAAGACATGTTCAAGCAGGCGCCTTGGAACACCCTTCCACCCGAGAGGGTTGGTGTCCAGGCGCTCAAGGCGCGCCTCGCCGAACTCCTCGGACACATGGCTCGGCGAGAGTTTCCGAAGCTGCGTAAGGAAATCAACGATATGCTCCAGAGTGCCGAACGGGAGCGGGATGCGCTTGGTCCTTCCCGGAAGGATGAGCACGAGCAGCGCCGGTTCTTGAGCGGCATCGCTGGGAGATTCCAGGACCGCGTCAGACAAGCGCTCGAGGCACAGTACGCTGGTGATAGCGCGTTTGAGAATTCGATCCAGCTCCGTCTTGTGACGCAGGTGGTCAACCTTGCCGACGATTTCAGTGAGGAATTTGAGGACATGGCAGTTCTCCGTGAATTCGAGACCATTGGCGAAGAGGAGACCGAGGATTTTGGCCCACAGAGCTGCTCGACCACGAACGCCATTCTGGAGTTCGCTCAGGCCATCGACCCAGACGATTACCCCGAGCTTGAGAGCATCATTAGCCACGATTTTGATGTCAGCGAGCCGGAAGATGGCATCATGGACTGGATCAGAGACCTCTACACGCGGTCTCGCGGTATGGACCTCAGCACAGTCAACAGCTCTGTCTGGGCGGGTGCGTGGAGAGAGCAGTCGAACAAGTGGCCGATCATGAGCAAGGCGTTTATGAGCAGAGTCATCGTGGCCATCCACCGGTTCATCATGGCTGCGCTTGACGACGCTTGCTCGGATCGCACCGTACGTGAGGAGCTGTGGACAACAATTCTCGACGAACTGCTGCGGCGATACGAGGTGGGCATGGCGGCGGCCGAGGTCCTTGTGTCTGCGGAGCGAGACGCCAGGCCATACACGCTGGACTGCCACTTCAACGAGAGTCGCCAACGGTCGCGCGGCGAGCGGGTCGTGGCAAGCCTACAAAAATTAGCCATCCACGAAGACGGCGAAGGCAATCACCTTGTTACTGTGGACCGGGTCCGGAATGCCACCGAGAAGCAGTCAAACATCGAAGATGTGGTCGAGAAGCTCCACGACGACCTCAGTGCGTACTACGGCATCGCCAAAAAACGGTTTGTTGATAATCTACTAAACCAGGCGGTCAACTACCGCCTACTCTTTGGGCCGTCCACACCACTGGGCGTGCTGAGCCAAGAGTGGGTGATTGGTCTGGGGTCGGATCAGCTTGAGGCCATTGCGGGTGAGTCCCCGAGTACTAAGGAGAAACGCGAAAGGTTGGCTCGGACGATCGTCGACTTGAAGGAGGCAAAGGAGATTTTGCGGCAGTGATCTGGGCCGGGTTTGTGGATAGTTATTTCTTTTACTTTTTCTTCTTTTTTTTGTTTTGCGTTTGTTTGTCTGATAGTTACGAGCTACTGCCTGGTTAATGAATTATGTCATTGGGAGGGGGATTTTATGGATGGATTGACCGGGAGAGGAGGAAAGTTTTCGATTAGTTGTGTAGGATGTTTTGAAATGAATGGGACAAATGAAGAGGTTTATTTGCATGTAAATGAAATCCGGGAAGGAGAGGCCCTTTACTTTGGTGTTGACTGCCTCTGTTGCGCATGTCGTATTACAATACACGATATTCCAAACTTACGACTGGTGATTGGCCATAATTGACTCGAAATGTCATCGAAAGTACTACAGGGGTTTCGAAGGTCCCCCCTGTAATTGACACCACAAGCATCATCAACCACCTTCCACCCTCTGGCGCACAGCAGCAATGCGCCGCCATTGTCGCGACGGCAGCACCAATGTCAGCCCTCCCCAATGGCGCCGCCAACACCACAACTACCAAGATGCCTGCCGTCAATAGCAGTAGCAGCAGCAGCATCGCATCCCATGCCCACCTTTCCACCATGACCACATCCGCAACCATGGCCACAACCACCCCCTCCACGAAACAACAACCCTCCAAAAAAGACACCGACCCCTCCGCCGCCCTCCGCACCGCAACAACCTCCTCCGAGATCCGCACCGCCCTCGCCGCCCTCCACGCGCGCGAAACCAACCTCACCAGCCAACTCACAAGCCTCCTCTCGACCCACTCAGACCTCACCCGGTCACTCTCACGACTCGACAACCTGCGGGCGGGGCTGGGCGCGCAGGTGCTGTCAGCGCGGGGCATTTCCAACACGATGCTGGCGGGGGCGTCGGACACGGCGGCGCGGCTGTCGGGCCGGGTGCGCGCGCTGGACCTCGAGAAGCAGCGCGTCGAGGACACCCTGCGCGTCGTCTCGCTGGTCGCCGAGCTCAAGGCCTGCGTCGCCGGCGTCGTCGGCAGCATGGGCGCGCCCCAGGACTGGGAGGCCGCCGCGGGCTATATTAGTCGCGCCGCCCGCGTGCCTGAGGATATTGTGCGGGGGGGCTTTGCGGCCGCGGTGGTGCCGACTGTGGAGGTGCCCGACCCGCCGTGGGTCACGCTGGAGCAGGCGAGGGAGAGCCTGTGCAGTTTGTTCTTGAGGGAGTTCAAGAAGGCCGCTGCGGAGGGGGATGCCGCTAAGGTGACGCGGTTCTTCAAGCTGTTTCCCTTGATTGGGAGGGGGGATGTCGGGTTGGATGTCTATGGGCAGTATGTCTGCCAGGGCGTGGCGGGCGAGGCGAGGGCTTCCTTGAAGGAAGGTACCGTCCCTGGGGGTGGACAGGGTAGGAAGGATGGCGTATTCTTTGCCAACGCCCTAACGAGGCTCTTTGATCACATTGCCCGTATCGTGGAAGCTCATGGCGGGCTCGTGGAGAGACATTATGGGGCGGGGAAAATGGTCAGGGTCATTGAGAGGCTTCAGATGGAAGCTGATGTCCAGGGCGGTATTATCCTGGACTCGTGGAGCGACGACCGGACGGTGGACCGGCGACTGACGGACGTTAAAAGCTATCCCTTTTCCTTTTTAGTGCAAAGCTTCCTACCGCAACAGCGAGGCTTTGGAGGGACGCCGCGGGTGAACTCGCCGGCGCTTGGCGCTCAAATCAACGATGTGCGCAACAGCGAGGATGAAGGCGTCAATATGAGAGAGGTGGACGGGCTGTTGGTGGAGATTGCCGCCATGCTCGAGAAGTGGTCGGTTTACTCACGGTTCCTGGCTGGGAAGTGCACGGTATGCTCGAACATAAATGCCCGACTTGAATGTTTTGAAACTAACCGTTTCCAGGAGCCTGGTTCGGCTGACGACACGCCACTCACCGTGCCCGACGTCCTCGTCAAGTCCAACCTGAGCCGCAAGGTATCGGGGAAGCTTGCGGAACCATACAACGCACTAACAACGTTTTTCTTCCGGCGGTCTGTCGAAAAGGCCTTCCAGCTAGACGAGTCTCCAAGCGGGCTATCCTTGAGCATGAACAAGCCAATAGATAGTAACCCCCCGTTCATCATCTCGGCCGTCGACGTCGTCATGTACATCGTCAACACCGTCATCCGCAGGTCCATTTCAACGTCTCAGCGAGGTGTCATCGACTCCGTCATCCCAACAATATCAAGCCTTCTCGGCTCCGACTTCGTTGGTATGATCCAGCGCAAGATGCGCGACGAATCTTATCCAAAAGCCTCTGTGCCCGGCAACCTCCCACCCGAGAACATCATCATCTCCTTCATTGTCCTCATCAACAGCCTAGACATGGCCAACGACTACCTCGACCGCATCGTTTCCAACTTCCTCAAACCCACAGACCAACAACACCCTAACGGAGCAGCGCACACAAAGCCACTCCAGGACGCGTTCCCCTTCCACAACGACGCCGCCAACGTCGCCACGCGCCTCACCAACCTCAACATCTCCTTCACCGTCAAAACCACAGAGCTCCTAACCGAGGGCGTCAGGGCGCTCTTTCAGCAAGTAATCAAGCCGCGGCTGCGACCAGTGCTGGCTGACACGTTCCGCGACGCCGACTACACGCTGGGGGAGGAGGAGCTGGCGGAGCTGGCGGCGCAGAGCGACCAGACCGAGGACGAGCTGCTGGAGCAGGTGCCGCGCGCGTTCGAGCACGGCTGGGACGCCCTCATGCGGCCCGTCGCCCGCCTCATGACCCCGCGCACCCACGCCGCCCTGCTGGACCTGACTGCCGACTACCTCGCCCGCGTGCTGGAGAAGCGCGTCTGGAGCTATGCCGGCGGTCGGACGAGTCCCTACGGGGGCGATCCGCATGGAGCGCGATTTTAGTGGCGTGATTGGTGTGATTAGTAAGGGGAATTATGCGGTGCGGGAGGTGTTTGGGCGGACGGCGCAGGTGTTGATGGTGGCGAATATGGAGGATGAGGAGTGGGAGGAGTTGGTGGGGGAGGAGGGCCAGGATGGGGAGATGGAGTGGGTGCTGAGTGAGGAGGAGCGGAGGAGGGCGAGGAGTATCGTGAAGACTTGACTTAGCGCCGGAGGGGTGGGCTGGGGAAGGGGGTGGTATATGATGATCATGATACTGTAACTTGTGTTGGGCCAATTCATGTTTCCCGTGGTTTCTAGGGTGGCATAGCCTGGTAGAACGGCTGGTCTCCAAAAGTCTAGAGGGTGATCTGCTTCAGGTTCCTATTCTAGAGCTATTCTCTGTTTGAACGAGGCTTCCAAACTAAGTCAAACTTTTGTACCGCCACATAAACAAACACCCGTAATTGCCATATATCTCCCCAATACGCACCTTCGCCCACTAACATCCCCCACACCCCCAAGACACAAACCTGCGTCCTCAAACCCTGCACCATCCGCCTCCTCGCGCCAGCTTTACAGTTCACAAATCCGCCTGCACCGGTCAGAACGGTGGGAGGTACGCACACAGCCGTTAGGGTGTTGGGTGTCGAGCATCACCGGTCTGGGCGTGCTTGTGGCGGTGGTGTCACCGTTGCTCATTGTGGGGAATGGTGGAGGATTATTACCACGGACTTGAACGATAAGCTTGTTGCATTGTATTTATTGTGCTATGCTGTGTACGGTGTGTCACCCCGAGCTAACAGGGGGGATAATCGCAACCTCGTCACCTTCCACTATCACGACTTCTTCTGCGTTGCCGGAAGCCTCATAATCTACGTCGACATACACCAAGTTTATCGTAATTAGACTGTGATCTAGCACGCTGGCTTGTATGCCCTTGTACCGCTCCTCAAGCGTGCTAAAGAGCTTCTTCAGTGGCAGCGGCGCCGGCAGGGCCTCGACATTCTTCGACGTGTACGAGCCGGCGGCGGCAAAGTACAAGATGTTGAAGTGGCCCGGGGGCGGTTTTGGGGACATGGTAACTAGGTAGCTTTGATACGATTGTTAGCTCTGGGGCTGCAACCATGCTTGTGGAAGAAAATAAGTTGATGGTGTGGTTGTCAGAGATCTTGGTGATTAGAGAATACATCAAAGTGAATTCAGGAAACGTATGCTATTTGCTTCATCATGCAACCAGATAGAGGGTGAAACACATCAGTGGTGGTTGTTCAACTTACATTATGTGCATAACCGGGTGTTGCGGCGTTGAGGGGAAGAAGTTGCCCCTCCGAGGATTTCTGAGCTTCAGCAAGCTTCTGGCTGGGGCGCAATCACGTGCATCGCCTAAACCACAATGTAGGCATTTTTCAGCCAGCGTTCAAAGCAGCCCAATGGCTATTGCTAGCCATCACAAAAAGGGCGCAGGATGAGCACTTGCATCCTTTGACTTTTGGTTGTGAGGAAGAGGAAAAATCGAAAAAGCTTGAGCCCCGAGCTTTCTTGGAGAATTTATCTTGCAGCAGGGAACGCGACCGACTGATTTTATTGGTCAATGGCTGACCCACTCTCCCATTGGTTTTGGTTTGGCGGCCAAGGGCTGGGGATCATCAATGTCACATGCGATGCCCCTCGTCCCTCCAAACAATTCTGCCAGCCTGCTAACAGTTTGGTAAAACGAGTATCTCGCGTTGGGTATCATTATTGGGGTCTGCTCGCTAAGACAGTTTCGCCATCTTCTCCTCAAGATCCTTCACCCAAGCTGATATGACATCCACATTCTTCGTCATAGTCGCATCACCTGCCCTGACTGCGTTTTCCACCTTCTCCAGTCCCTCGCGCCATTGTTGGATCTCTCCGGCCATCTCCATCTGCTTTTTCTCCAGGCGGTCCAATGTATCCGAGGCCGCGGCGGCGTCTGCGTGGATCATCCGCAAGGATCGGAGTCGGTCGAGTAGCGGCGGTAGCAGAGGGCTGAGATTCTCAATCGTTGGTAGGGTTCCGTAGAGTGCATTGATCTTGGCCGTCTGCTCCGAGTCCTCAGCGGGGATAGCCTCGGATGTGGTTGCAGCACCCGTCGAAGCAAGGGCGTCATGGGCTGTCTTGGCGTTCCGTCTAGCTTTCTCCAAGTTCTCGGCCTCTTGGGTTAGAGCCCGCACCCTCCGGCTGATGGTATCGAGCGAGGGGACCGACGCCTCGGAGAGGGTCGAGATTTGTCTGCGAAGGTGTTCCACAAGCGGCACAATGGCGCGTGGCAGGCCGTTCGCATCAAATTCGGGCATCGCTACCGATCCGATTCCTAGTGCCTTTTCCAGAATGAGGAGGCGGCTGTCGAAATCGGCCGCTTTTGCGAGAGCCCGTGTTTGCTCATAGCTCGCCGCGTGATTGATCGTGTAGCTGACGCCTTCGGTGTGCTCCTTGGGTCCCTTCTCCTCGGGATTCGTGGGCGGGAGGTTGGTGGGTGCGGGAGCGGGAATGGTGCGGGAAGCTAGGGAGAGGTCAAGCCCCGACATCTCATCCAACACCTTGCTCAGCGATTCGAATTCGTCTTCCGCGCTTGCCTCGTCCTTTGGCTGGCTCAAAGTGGCCTTCTGTTTTCCATACTCCGCCTTGGCCTCCTCAATTTCTCGCTTCAGCCGAGCGATCCTCCGCGCCAGGTTTAGCTCATCGTCCTCCTCGATCATCTCCTCTATTTCTTCGGTCCCGTCCGGGAGAATCCGTCGCCGCCGGGTCCATGTCCTGTAGGACTTCCGCTTTCGGGTGATGCGGTCTGAGAAATCCGCACCTGTCGCGTCGACGCCTGCTGGTCTGAATATCGAACGAGCCCCGTTTATGTCGAGGCGCGCTCGCGAGATTTCAGCGTCATCATCTTCCTCCGAATAGTACTCGTTGTCAGATGGCGACCGCAAGGTAGTGGGCTATGGAGAGTTAGTTGGGGCGCGCTCGCGGTTATAGTCTCTACAAAAACGCACTGGAACTGTTGACTGGTCGTCAACGAGTTCTGGGGTTTCGTAGACGTCTGGTCCAGTGTCCTAGATGTGAAAGTTAACACAACTGCGCTGTGTCGTTGTGGCTGGGTCGACCTACAAGGTCTGGAAGCCCAGCATACTTCATGTCGGACGCCATTTTGTTGTTGTACCACTGTATCTATCCACCAGCGTATGTTGGGTTCGCGATCAGGTCAACCAAGTTTGGCTTGTTGTCGGGAGGAGGTTGTCACTTTGTCCAATCGCACAGAGCGCCCTCAGGCTGCATGTGGTCCAGGCACGACAAAGAAGTGGATCCCTGGACAGGGGTCAAGACCTGCGAACGCGTTCAATGCCGCCATGTCGCGCCTGCCCATTCGAGGTGGAGGGGACATAGAATTGGAATCGTTTTTGGGTGTATTCACCCACGATTTTTTTTTACGCAATCTTCTCTGCCCACTTTGAGGCTGTACAGGTTGTATTTCAACACCGTCAGTGCAAACCACCTCATATGACCCTGAGCTACCATAGCTAGGTCCCTATACGGCTTTTGTCGACGCTCAACCTTCCTTCTTCCTTACACCACAGACATAAGTTGCTCGAAAATGCAAATGAGTGTTACTCATTGAAGCCTAGCAGAGCTGGTCGCCGCCTTACGCCACCGTAGGTGGTCATATCAGAGCGGACATATGGTGCCCTGATTACCTCTCGGGATCGTATCTTGCGCATCTTTGTCTTGCAACCGCTGATATGTCTGGCAGACGCTTTGTCGGCCTCAGCGACGAACAGCCCGTCCCCCGCCTCTTGACCGTTATAGGCAAGAAACCCACCGCCAAAGTCATGAAGGATACCGATGTGGATGCTCCGCCTCTGAGCAGCTCTGATTTGAGCGACAACGGCGGATTATCAAGTCGAGGGAACATTACATCAAGTCACTTCGCCAGCTCTGGCCGTAATAAAAAGTCACACCCAAGGCAAGATATCAAAAACGCAGGGTCCGGCAAGAAAACTGTTGCACCAGAAAAGCGTTTCGCGCAGACCCGGGCATCTACACGGCCGGCCGCTAGGGGGGAACGTAATGCAAGCTTGAAAGGCGCGAATGGCCAGGAGGCGATTGATGACAGCGACAACACCATCACAGGCTCCCCTCCCTCCAAGAAACCTAAGCGGACTTCACCGAGAGATGGCGAGCGAGGTAGCCAGTTTGAACTTGACATATTTGCCAAGAAGTCGACGGCGACTCGGCGTTATGGTAAAGGGTTTGGTGCTAAGCCCAGGCCGAAGGCGTCACCGGCGAGGACGTTCAAGCGCCCACCCAAGGAGCCTACATCAGAAGCGGAGGAGCCGGACAGGTACAGGCTCAAGCTCCCTCCCTCACCGTCGGAGTTAAGAGACGAGTCGCTGTCGCCAACCCGCAAATTCAAGGCCGTCCCAGATCTTGGTTCACCCGCCAAATCATCTCCAGTACGGAAGAAGCGTCTGATAATGCCAGATGACGATAACCTATTGTTTCCAAGGGAATTACAAGACAATGAGGAGTCGCAACGGCCGGTATTCACAATGCCGGACGAGCTCCCGGAATCCTTCGTCGGAGGTGACAACGACAAATTCGATGTTGCCCTTTCCCAAACCACCGGCAACTCATTCAAAGAACCCAATATCATCTGGGACTCAAGCTCCCCCCTCACCGACCTCGAAACCACCAACCTAACCCCGCTCTGCCCGCTCTGCAACAAACCCGTCGACCAGGCGCAGCTCGACGAGTTCAAGGCGAGCCAGCCGCGCATGACGGTAGCCGGGATGCGGCGGTTCTGCGAGCAGCACCGGCGGCGGACGGCGCGCGAGACGTGGGTACAGAAGGGGTACCCGGACATCGAGTGGCCGCGGCTGGACGGGCGCATCGCGCGGCACTACGGCTTCCTGCGGCGGATCCTCGAGGGCGGCGAGCCGTGCCACCACGGCGACCTGTTCCGCGACGCCGTCCTCGCCGGCCGCAACCGCACCCTGCTGCATTCCGACGCCAACCTCACCCCGGGTTACTACGGCATCCGCGGCCTGCGCGCCATGACCGAGAACCTCATCTCCGAGTTTGCCGCCCTGCTGCGCAGGCGGTCGGTCGAGGACCGCCTGATCGCGGCGAGGGGCCATACCATGTACCTACAGGCCGTGCTGGTGCCGGAGTTGGCGGTGCGGTTGATTATGGAGGATATGGGCGTGGGTGTGGAGGAGGCCCGGACGATCTTGACGGAGAGCAGCGACGTTGGGGAGCTGTTGAATGATGAGATTCCTGACGTCATATTAGACGACGGTGATGGTGACGACGAGAGTGATGAGGCGGGGTTGAGCTAGGGGGTGGTTGTTGGAACTTTGCGCGGGGTGGGTGTACATATATAGAGCTACAGGGCTTTTGGGCTTTGTTCACTCCACCAACCGTGGAGTCTCGTTCTCGGGCTGAGGAGAAGCAGGGAAAGCCGGAGATCGGCCGCTGGTCGGCACCGGATAGGATGGCTATCGGGTAACTGCCAGCGATCTCGCACATCGACAGACGCAGTTGGCTCAGCTCTGTCACGGAGGAGAAATGTCGTGCAGAGATCGGCGTTTCGGGCTGACCGCCCTCTGCCTGTGGGAACAAAGGCAATTCCAGACAGAGAGATGATCTTCTTCCAATTCTGAGCTATCGATTTTCCAACCTTTGACTTAACGGACTGCGTCCGTTTCCCGGGTGGGGTTGTGGAGGTTTGTTGGTTGTTTCTGAGACTCTTGCTAGGTTTTCAGGTGAGTGCTCAGAAAACGATCCCTGCATCAACCTCAGTAAAAGCCTTGTTTCTTGCAGGAGCTGGCATGCTTTGCATATTCCATGCCTGGGGGGTGGTTCCTTGGAAAGCAAATGTATTGATGACATGTCGATTTGAGTTCGTCTGGCAACAAATGAATGTCTTATTCAACCCATTCCAGGTTTACTTCGTCCACAAGGAGACAAGTCGAATCTGCTCATTGAAAGAAAGGCCAATAAGGATAATCCCCCCACAAGTTACTATGACACGAGTCAACTCTGGCCCCTTGGGGTGTCTGGCCGAAACACGACGAAACATTTAGGCTCGGCACGCCTGTACCGGGGACAAAGAAACAATTCACGATGGTTTCGGGTCCCGCCATGTTTTTTGTCCTGGAGCGATGGCCGTGAATTGGTGGCCGAACCTTGCTCGAAACGGGCAGTTACCGAAATGAAAGAATAGTTAGTCGGCAGTGGGCCAATCTCAATTGTGGGATGTGGGCACGTTGGAGCCTGGGTCCAACATGGCATATCTTTAACGATAGGACTCCCTTTCAAATTCATTCGGCTTTGCTTTCCCTAATGGTTTGATGATCTCGATGAAGTGATCCATGGCGGGGAGTAGGTTGCCTGAGCAGAGGTTGAAGTGGATCTTCGATACGCGAGCTCCAGACCCGTCTGGGCACCGCACAGCTCACCCGCCTGGGCAGTGGGCACCGGGGCCTGGACTGGCATTTCCTTATTTCGTACTTTGTACGGGCACAGATCCCCTCAGTCACCAGAAAACGAGCTTGCACCCTTGCCGCCTGTTGCTATGTCCAGTAGGCTTATCAAAGTGCAGCGCTCGGTTTCGGGCGTAATATGTATGTATATACAACGCCTTCCGCTTCCGTCTGTGACGACAGAGGGCCCTTGTTGTCGGCTGGGGTCCGAGCTTCCGTGCAAAGCGGGCGGGGCCGTGCAGGGTCCCCGGAGGCTTGCCTGAGCAATTGCAGGTGGGGGGACGTTCGGTCCCTGTGGAGGCCGAACCAGGAATTCAAACAGCATTCCATGTTGTGACGGCAATTTGCAAATCGCTTTTAAGTCAGTAAGATCTGATACGGTCATACTGTGTAGTGTATAATGGAAGTTACTGATGCACAAAAAGCCGTGGGACTTTACGACGCTGCCTGCTGTGCGACGTCAATGGGCGAGGTCGACACCCGAGGCTTGAGGAACCTTCCGGGATGCAAAAGCCTCAGAGGTTTGTCGACTAGGCATTTTGGGTCCATGATCCTTCGGGGAATTCGTTGAGTCTGTTAGAGGAGATTACCCGACGCACAGGACAGAGAAACCGTCAGTAGACAAGCACCTCTACTATTTTGGTAGGAACGGGCATCCCATCAGGCCATACTCCACTGGTTCGCGTCGATGTTAGTATCCGTGCCGCTAAGATTCTTATCCGTAGTTACCTTACCGTCTGCAAGCTGTCCGCTCCGAGTTCGATGATTGTGAGAAGAGGAAGAGGAAGAGAAAAATAAGGCATTTGGATTATCTTTGGGGTATCGCCGTTAATTTCCGTTTTCCTCGCACCGATTCCCCAACTTCTCGACTGGCGTTTAAGGTGTGTCCTGGACACAGTAGTCAAGGGACCAGTTTACAGGGGCTCTCATCTCGAAATACCCCGATCCTTGCCGTGGGGCAACCCCCTCCTCAAACCCTGTACCCTGGCTTGCACCCTGGCACCCAACTCGCAGCGGCAACCTTGGACGGGAAGGCCCACCAGCTTGCTGTGAGTGGAGGTTTTGGCTGCGTGCTTTGAGCGCTTGTCTCTCACTTTTCGCCTGATCCCACCACAGCACCATCAACATCATATCAAATTGTTCGCGACCAACGTGCACAGCGCTCTTTACTTTAGTTGTTACGGTCACCGGCGAAGTGATGCCGGCGGTGACTACTACAACTAACCTAAAAGGACCGCAATTATAGGCAATGACCTGATCCATCTATCCCACTCAAGAGACGTGCGTGGAATGGCAGCCGACCACGACCTAAACCGCCGACCCTCTGTTACCGCGCGGGTTGCTGCTTTGCAGGGCGGTGACAATGCCCCAAACCGACGATACTTCCCGCTTCAGCTCCATGACGGGCTCTAGCACCGACAGCGGGAAGTCCAATATCACGGTGAAACCGCTGCCCTTGACGCCCACCACGCCATCGCTCCCGAACTTTGGTGCTGCAGGGAACAATGCCTACCGGTTCGCCCCGCCCCCATCGCGACGAGCGGCTCCGTCGCGCCTCAAGACGGAGGAGGGCGGCAACCCCATACGGTGAGTTATCCACACCCTTGCCTTCTACATACCTTTCTCTTCCTTCCTCTTGCATATACCCTGCGTGGGCCCGCCATTTGTTTGCCCTTCTTTGTTACGCCATCCTTGCTTTGAGACGTTGGAGCTGACGGGTTGCCCGTATCGCCGGCGCCACCACCCAGCCCCGTCAAGGAATCAGATGGCCAGGTCTCGCCCACATCTAACGGCGCGCGACTCGCCGTGTCGCCCTCCTCGGTGAACTCCAATAACTCGATGCGCGATCATTCCATAAGCGATCTCCTCGATTACCGCCGCGACCTTGCGATCCTCGACCCCGCCGGCGGCCGGTCGTCTCGCAATCAGCACAACAACCCGTCCACCGGCTCTCTCGGCCAAATCGCGCCTTGGATGACGGGCAACGGCAGCGCCGCCTCGCCGGCGGCCCCTCCCGATCCCGCACCCGCCACCTTCTACAACGACTCGACCGATAATCTGTCATTAGACTCGCGCCTGTCTCCCGGTGTCCGGACCTCAATCAGCCAGCGCGACCCCTGCCGGCACCGACTCCCCCGACGCAGCATACTTTACCGACGAGAGGCGCCCGTCCGTCGCTAGTATCACCACAACAGCAAGCAGCCAAGGCTCGCGGACTAGCGGCGCGAGAGGAGGGATACGGAAGCTGCAGGGCTTTTTCGGGGAGGAGTTTCCGGGGAGGGACTCGTCCGAGACCAGCCTTGGGCAGGGTAAGGAGCATCGATCGCATTCGTACAGCTACAGCCGACCGCATAGGGATCGCAACTACTCCAACGCTACCGACCATGGCAGAGACGGTTCCCCAGCGTCGAGGCCCCGAACCCCGGTGCCGGCGCCGGAGGTGGTCCCGTTTTTGTACCAGGAAGCCGATGTAGGTGATGCGACCCCACAATCATCTCTTAGCCTCGACACTATCCTCTCCTTTTCTTGTTTAGGCATTTTGCCCTGCCAATCACGCAAATGCGACGCTCCATGCAACCCTCCACCTAGCTTCTTTTGTCTCAGGTAAACATTATGCACCTTTCTAACACTGAACGCCTTTGCCTAGGACATTGCCCGATACGGGGAAGCCCCAGTTCGAGACATCCTCAGCGGCCCGGATCGCGGCCGCTACATGACCGACGGTTCTGCGCAGATCCCACCCAAGACTTCCGGCTCCGGCCGGTCCGGTCATTCAATCGTGCACCTGCCTGGCCACCACAGACACAACAAGAGCAACGAAGACCCGAGGTCGCTGCGCCCGTCGATCAGCAGGGAGGATTCTTCCGCCCCCGCGCCCAAGGAACGCAACGGTTCGAACGGCATGTACGGCACGAGGTCGCGCGCTCAGAGCCCGGCTCCAAGCGCAAACAGTGGCTCCTGGGGCTCCAAGACGGTTGTTAACGACGGCCAAACATCCCCGGGCCACCACCACCACAAGCGCCGGTTCATCGATCGCTTGGTGGGGAGAAGGGACAAGGACGACCGGCAGGCCGATCTGAGGAAGCTGCCCGTGTCTTCCCAATCCCTCCAGCCACGGCCAAGCAAGTACGAGTTTCCCTTCAGTGAAGGGCAATCGACCCATGGATCCGAATGGCCAGCCACCCCCGATCTCCGTGATGTCCACGGATCGCGTCCCGGGTACGTACGTACCGCGACATTCCAAAACAAGTTTCCGTTTTCTTCTTCCAAGAAGAGCCGCACCATCAGGCAACACGATGACATCGACGAGAACATTGGGCCTACCGACAAGCAGGTTAGCGGAGGAACTGTGTTCCACCTCGACACGAATCTTAGCGATATGGAGGGGATCCTGAGCAGGCCGTTGCCCTTGACACCCATGGACCCTGACTTTCTGAACGATATCGACTTCGACAAGTTACCCATCCAGCCCACCGACCCGAGCGGCGCTTGGAATGCTCCCGACAGCTGGGCGGTCCGCCGTGGGGACGATACCTCAGCCCAAGTTCCAGAGGCTGACGACATCGGGAGTCCGCCGAGGCCAGAGGAAAAGCTCACCAACTATTGTATCCGTGTGTTCAGGCCAGACGGCACATTTGCGACGCTGCAGATGGCGCTTGACGCGACCGTGTCCGAAGTTGTTTCACAGCTCGTGAAGAAATCATACGTCATGGACGGCGTGAAAGATTACAGCATCGTTCTGAAGAAGCATAACTTGACCCGCGTGCTCGGCTCCGCCGAGCGTCCGCTCCTGATGCAAAAGCGCCTCCTGCAGCAGGTCGGATATGAGGAACGTGACAGGATAGAGGACATTGGCCGCGAGGATAACAGTTACCTGTGTCGCTTCATGTTCCTGCCGGCACAAGCGAACGACTTCCATGCCGCCGCGAACAACTCGGGACTCTCTCGTCCTGTGAAGTACAGCCACGTCGACATATCCGGCCGTAACTTGATCGCAATTCCCCTCGTGCTCTACTCCAAAGCTTCCGAGATCATTTCTCTCAACCTCTCCAAGAATCTGTCGCTCGACGTGCCGCGGGACTTCATCCAGGCTTGCACCAGTCTGCGTGACATAAAGTATCTTAGCAACGAGGCCCGGAAACTACCGCCAAGCCTGGCCTCGGCCAACAAACTCACGTTCCTAGACGTTTCGCACAACCGCCTGGAGGAGCTCGAGCACGCCGATCTTGGCGGAATCACCGGGCTTCTCAAACTCAAGCTAGCCAACAATCGCCTCAACCACCTACCCACCTACTTTGGGGCTTATTCGGTGCTGCGGGCCCTGGACCTTTCTTCCAACTACCTGGAGAAGTTCCCAGCATTTCTATGTGGCCTGGAAAGCCTTGTTGATCTGGACCTCAGCTTCAACCTCATCAGTGATCTCCCGGACGCCATCGGGAAGCTGAGAAGCCTGGAAAAGTTCGTCGTGACGAATAACCGGCTGACGGGCACGTTTCCCCGGTCCTTCAAAGATCTGAGCAGCCTTCGCGAACTCGACATCAAGTACAACACGATCGTGAACATTGACGTGATTGCGGAGCTTCCGAAACTGGAGATCCTGACCGCCGACCACAATTCCGTCTCCCAGTTCGTCGGTACGTTCGAGAGGTTACGCAGCCTGAAGCTCAACTCGAATCCTGTCACCAAGTTCGAAATCAGGTCCCCGGTCCCCACCCTCAAGCTTCTTAATCTGTCCAGCGCCCAGCTAGCGAGCATTGACGAGTCGTTCAACAACATGCCAAGCCTTGAGCGTCTAGTCCTCGACAGAAACTACTTTGTCTCGTTACCCAGCCAGATCGGCAACCTGAGAAAGCTTGAATACTTCAGCATAGCGCACAACTCGGTGGGCAAGCTGCCTCAAGAGATCGGCTGTCTCACAGAACTGCGTGTTTTAGACGTCCGTGGAAACAACATCCGCCGACTCCCGACGGAATTATGGTGGGCAAGCAAATTGGAGACGCTCAACGCGTCATCCAATATCTTGGACAGCTTTCCGACCCACGCGTCTCGCGCGCCTCAGCCTCCCGAAGACCCAAACAGCACAACCAGCTCCCTCAGCAGCAAGGTATCCGGGACGGCACGTGGCCTTTCTCCAATGCCGAGCGTCGAGGAGCTCAAGGGCGATGCGTCTCGGCGCCCAAGCCAGGCTTCGAGTGCCACGCTTCTCAGCGTGGGCCCGTCGCCCGTACCGGGAGCTGATAACAGAAAGGGCTCCATGGTATCACTGTATGGAAAGGGCGGCCGTAATACGTCTGTGGTGTCGCGGAGCACGCCTAGTGGCTCTATTGCGACCATAAGCCCTGCCCTTAGAAAAGATTCCGGCTTCGGTGCGATCCTGACCAATACTTTCGCTGGTTCCCTCAGGGAATTATATCTTGCCGATAACCAACTGGACGACGACATTTTCGACCAAACCACACTTCTTTCCGAGCTCCGCATCCTCAACCTGTCCTACAATGAGCTCGGCGACATGCCTCAGCGTATAATGAAAAACTGGCCACAATTGACCGAGTTGTACCTTTCAGGCAATGAACTTGCAAGCCTTCCTGCCGATGACCTGGAAGACTATTCCTTGTTGCAGACATTGCACATCAACGGCAACAAGTTCACGAACCTCCCCGCTGACATATCTCGAGCAAAGAGGCTGGCCGTCCTGGACTGCGGCAGCAACTCGCTCAAATACAACATTGCAAACGTTCCCTACGATTGGAACTGGAACCTCAATCCCAAGCTCAGGTATCTCAACCTGTCCGGGAATAGGCGCCTGGAGATCAAGCAGGCCTATCCCGGTGCTAGCGCGCAGAACCGCGAGCAGCTCACCGACTTCGGCCGTCTTGCCAATCTCCGCGTCCTGGGCCTGATCGACGTGACGCTGACCCAGCCGAGCATTCCCGACCAAAGCGAAGACCGTCGTGTCAGAACGTCGAGCTCTCTAGCAGGGTACCTGCCCTACGGCATGGCCGATACTCTTGGGAGAAACGAGCACCTTTCCACTATTGACCTCGTAGTTCCGCGCTTCAACTCATCCGACTCGCAGACTCTCCTAGGGTTATTCGATGGCCAGGCACTTAGCAGCGGCGGCTCCAAGATTGCCAAGTACCTCCACGAGAATTTCAACGATATCTTCACCCATGAATTGAGGAACTTGAAACCTAGCCAGGGCGAGACCGCCGAGGACGCGCTACGGCGCGCCTTCCTGTCGCTCAACAAAGAACTAGTCACGGCCGCAATTCAACACACGGAGGACAGGCCGATCACGACGCACCGCGGGTCCCAGACTCCACTGGTGCTGAGCCAAGAGGACCTCAACTCGGGCGGCGTTGCTACCGTTGTCTACCTAGACGAGCAAGAGCTGTATGTTGCAAACGTTGGCGATGCCCAGGCGATGCTCATCCAGACCGACGGCAAAGCCAAAATTCTGACCAAGAAGCACGACCCGGCAGACCCCGTGGAGCGATCGCGCATCCGGGACGCCGGGGGCTGGGTCTCACGTCGGGGGCGCCTGAACGACTTGCTTGCCGTCTCGCGGGCCTTTGGCTACGCAAAGCTGCTGCCGACTGTGCAAGCCGCGCCGCACATCAAACATCACACGATCGGGGACCAAGACGACATGATTCTCGTGGCTACTGGGGAGCTGTGGGAGTACTTGACTCCAGAGCTCGTTGTTGATGTTGCGCGCTCTGTGCGCGGTGACCTGATGCGAGCGGCGCAGAAGATACGCGATCTCGCAATAGCCTACGGCTGCCGAGAGAAGATCATGGTCATGATGCTAAGCGTGTCGAACCTCAAGCAGCGCCGCGAGCGTTCGCGGATGCACAGGGGGCAGAGCATGTCGTGGTTCAACTTCCCACAGGACGACACCAATGCCGCCGCGGCTGCGGCGCGCAGGGCGAGAAAGGCCAAGGCAACCGGTCCGCTCGATTCGGTTTTGTCCCGTCTCGACGCCGAAGTGCCTGCCCCGACTGGCATGATTGCCATCGTGTTCACCGACATCAAGAACTCAACGCAACTGTGGGAGACTTACCCAGGGGCCATGAGATCGGCCATCCGGCTGCACAACGAGGCGCTGCGTAGGCAACTCAGGATTATCGGCGGGTTCGAGGTCAAGACCGAAGGTGATGCCTTCATGGTATCGTTCCCGACCGCCACCTCGGCGCTCCTGTGGTGTTTCGCCGTCCAGACACAGCTTCTAACCATTAATTGGCCCATCGAGATGCTCAGCTCCATCAACTGCCAGCCTGCCTTTGACCGCGACAATAAGCTCATCTTCCGGGGCCTGTCGGTACGCATGGGCATCCACTGGGGCGAGCCGCTGGCTGAGCCAGACGCGGTCACTCGTCGCATGGACTACTATGGCCCGATGGTGAACAAGGCAAGCCGCGTCACGGCGTGCGCCGATGGCGGACAAATCACCGCGTCTGCGGACTTCCTTTCGGAAATCCAGCGCTGCCTCGAAACATACAAGGAACCGGCAACCCCGAACGAGGACAGCTTCGATGAGGACATGTTTGCCCAAGCCATTCGCAATGAGCTCCGCACCCTCACCAGTCAAGGTTTCGAGGTCAAGGAGATGGGCGAGAAGAAGCTCAAGGGCCTCGAAAACCCAGAGTACATCTACTCTCTGTACCCGCACTCGCTCGTCGGGCGGGTCGAGCAGCACTCCCTCCACGATCGGGCGCAGTCCACGACGGACAAGCCCGCCGTCCTGAGCCCCGACAGCGACCTAGCCGTGAATCCGGATGAGGTCTGGGCCATGTGGCATGTGGCGCTGAGACTCGAAATGTTGTGCAGCACGCTCGAGGACGTGAACAGGCGCGTGCTGCAGCCGCCCGAGACGGAGCTCATGGAGCGGATGAAGCAGCGCGGCGGAGAGGTGACGGAACGGTTCCTGATGAACTTCATGGAGCATCAGGTTAGCCGGATCGAGGTATGTTTTCTTTTCTCCTTTTGGGAGGAGGGGTTTGCGGGAAGACGAAAGCAAAGACTAACAACAAAACACAGACTTGCGTCTCGACCCTCGCCGTCCGCAAGCTCGTCCTAACCCACGAGGACCCGACCAACCCGAACCCCACCAACCAGATCAGCGACCTACGTGCGCCCATGTCCGAGGTGCTCGAGACGCTAACCCAGCGGCTTGCTCTGCTACAAAGATACGAGGCCCGCTATGGCCCGTTGGGCGACGCAGGCGGAATACCCGCCTCCGCCTCCGCCTTAACACTGCGTGCGCTGCCATCTACAGCACCACAGCCCACGCAGTTGCATCCGTCATATCCTGATGGATTCCAGATGATGATCTCCCAAGCGACATCCCGGTCGGCCTCGGCCGCCGGGTCCGGGCTTAACACGCCCGAATCGTCACCCGATTAAATCACGGTCATGTATCTGCTGTTTAGTCTTGGGTCTCAAACGTGTGTAGTGTCCGCCTAGGCCTCCGCCTTGACACTATATACACCACCATATACGGCACCGCCGCCCACGCGGCTACATCCATCATATCCTGATGGATTTCAACCACATCCTCCTGTACCTCGGGCGCTTCAAATGGATTCCAGATGATGGCCTCACAAGCGACATCCCAGGCCGGCCTCGGCCGCCTGGTTCCGAGGCCCGCCTGGTTCGGGTTAAAACCCCCCCGAATCGTCGCCCAACCAAACCACGGTCCTTCATCTGCCTTCCACTTTTCGCCCCAAACGTGCGCAGTGTCCCCTCCGCCTTCACACTACGTGCGCCGCCATCTACGGCACCGCCGCCCACGCGGCTACATCCATCATATCCTGATGGATTCCAACCACATCCTCCTGTACCTCAGGCGCTTCAACCCGCCGCACCCCGCCGCACCCCGCCCGCCAAGCCATCCTCCAGATGATGATCTCACAAGTGATATCTCAGGCCGGAATCGTCGCCCGACCAAACCATGCTCCCTCATCTTCCTTTCACTTCTCGTCTCAAACGTGTGTGGTGTGTCTATTGTTTGTCCGTGCTGGTGATAGCCCCACACCACTAGTGTCAAACTGCATGTCCCCCTCTAGTATATTCTCACATTCTCATGAGTCGCATAGCTTGCTTTCATCTTTACTCGGCTCATGAGAATGGGAGAATATACTAGAGGAGGACAGGAAGATGATTGACGTGGCTGACTCGAGCTTGAACAGGAGAAAAGCGGGGATAGTTCCATCATATATTCCTATTTCAGTCCACATGAGACTTTTGTTTTTATTTTTCTGGGTTCGGTTCCGTTCTCAGGGGGAAGCGGGCTCAGGTTATATACATGAAAGCATGTGCACTTCAGTCAGTGCGGCCGGGGTGCCGCGTTATATGTTATATTTGTATGGTGTTGGGCGTTTTCATTTTGGGGATGTGTGTTCTTCTTTTTTTTTCTCTCTCTTTTTTCTTGGCTGCGGATTGAACCGGGCTTTGGATAGCGGGTGTCATGGGCTGGCTTGGATGGTGGGAGCGACCTGGCTTTTTCTTGGACATATTTTGGTGATTCCCTTTTTCATGTGTGTGGTGAGGCCTTGTCGTCCCTACAGTAGACACTGGAGTATGGAATAGCAGCATTGCTGTCGGTATCTAGCTGTGTCTAGCAGATGTGATCAATTCAAGTGTTGCCCATGATTTGGCCGTTCCCTATTTATCCCCAGCTTAGTCCTGCGTGAACCGTGATAGCCTTCTGAAGGCTGGTCACGGCCTGCCGCCACAAGCTTGCGTGTGCCATGGTTAGCAGTAATAACTACGTACGTACGTCTTCTCCCATCAAGCGGTGCTTGTCAGCCACGTTCGGCCGGACCCGGTCTTCTCAACTGCCCCCCTTCAACTCGATAATAGACGGGGCATCCCTGACGAGGCACGTTGTGATGTTGTCGGGAATCTACGGGCCGGTGCTGTGCGTTGCCCCTGGGAAGTCATGAACCCGTCGCTTACATACAGACTTGACGTACATAGCCTTATTCCGCGAGCACCGTGTAATTGCCATGATATGGTATAACATTGAGGCCGACAGGCCATAGAGTGGACAGACCGTAAAAAATGACTACTCCTAGTATCCTCGTTTTCAAATCGTCTGAACCGAAGAATAATAAAGCGGTACCTCACTTTGAGATCACGACTGTACGACCGAGGTTTACAACCTAGTGTACCGGCAGAGCTTTCTCTCCTAAGCTGTTCTCCTTCATTCTCCCTCTTCTACGAGGAAAACAGGACGAGAATTCGCTGCGCAAGATGCCGGGTTGTTCTTCCGGCTTGCGACCGTGAATCCCCTTGGCGGCACTTCCACGTCTTGGTCTTCGCCCACGGTCTTGAACTTTTGGGTGAGCTGGCAGAGGTGACAGGGGCAAATGGCCGCCCGGCCCTCGCTGCGTTCGGAGAAAGCTCGACCTAAGTCGGGTGTTGGCGACAGTCCCTGATCAGGCCCAGCCTTTGTTGGATTTGCTCTTGGTGTGGAGCGGGCATCTCTTCGTGGACGGAGACGGAGACGGAGACGGAGAGGCCAGACAGGATTAAAAGCAGGCGACACCCCACGGCGGAAGTAGCCGGTTGAGGGGTGTGGCGTGGGGCCACGAGAGGGTTCTTCGTGGTGAGCTGGCAGGAGGCGCCGAAGCACTACGAGTGGTGTGGCGTGGGGGGCGAGGGGGTTTTTGTGATGCCAGAGATAGGAGAGCCGCGGCTCACGTTTATGCCGGAGATACACAGGGTGCCAACAGTATCCTGGCTGCCGGCCTCGACTTCACGAGGGAGGGGCTCCTTAAAATCACAATTTCAACCGGCGTCCATGAGCAACTCCATCATCAATTATAAGACGAATGCCTCGGATAGGTTCACAATATAGACTGATCGTTGATTGAAACAGATACCAAGTAGCGAAGGGCATCTCGGGAGTGGCAATTGTTGGGTCATTGCCATTTCACCGTCGGACTGTGGTTTGACGAGGAGGGAGGTGTGGGTGTTGATGGGCTTCGTGGTGGATTGTTGGGGTATCATGAGGCGGTTGAGTAGCTGGTGGGACTGGGCGAGATTGTGATTGCGCTGGAGATGTAGCTTTGAGTTGCTGGCTTTTGGCTTTGGCTTTGGTTTGTTCTCGCGGGCATTTGGTTTGGTTGGTAATTATTCACCGACTAGGTAGAATGGAGGGAGGCTTGGGTATACCCTCGACGCTCTAAACACATATTTTGAAATGCTTCCAGAATATCACTCGAGTGACTATTAAGCTAATGGCTAACTGTACCCAAAGCCGCAACCAAATGGCATTTGTCACGACCATTATCAGGCCCCTCGGCCTGCCCTTGATTGGTGATATTATATCAACTGGCATCAGAACACACAAAGCTCCAACCAGTCTATCACTGACAGTGAGCGGTGACCGTAGCGTCGTGTGCAAGTCCACGAGCCCTCTACCGTCACCGCGGCGATGCACATCGGAAGTATCAGCCAACCCAGACACCCTCACTGGCAACGTAGGTATGTCATGTAAACCACGGCGCAATATCAAGCCGCTTCGTGTCAACTAGACGTAACACAGTCCATTCTTGCCATATCCAGACACTCTCGCCTCCTTCGAGCAGCCCTGTATAAGCCCCGGGGGTAGGTAATATGAGTTGTAGTAGGTAACGGCGGTCATTTGGCGAGGAAACAATGGAAATATAATCTGGCGAGACCACGAAATGAGGAGTAAAGGCAACACGATGCTGGCTACCACCAGCACGGTAGGCACATTGAGCACACCAACACGCGTTAAAATGATACACTTTATATTCATGCTTGCTTTACAGAGCCCCCTCCCCTCGGCCCCCAACACAAAACAATGCCCAAAACGCTGTATACAACCGCACACAACAGTCCCCCATCCATGCATGCACCCTCGTAAGCCATCACCCAAGCATAAACCAAACTAGACCTAACTAGCCTCATACAACAACAGCCGACCCCTCCCCAGCCGCACTCCCTTCCTTTCCCTCACCACGCGACCCCGCCTCCACTTCCGTCTCCGTCTCGCTCTCCTGTCCCATCTCCTCCTGAGCCTCCTCATAATCAGCCTCAGTTTCTGTCTCGGTATGATCCACCGCAGCCTCCTGCTCACCGCCCTCCGACGGCCCACTGACTTGCCCCACCGCGCCAGCCCCAAGCCCGGCAACACTGCTCGCACTGACATCGATATCGGCACCCTTCACCTCGACAAGCGACTCGGTGCTCTCCACAACGGACGGCTCACCGCGCGCTACTGCAGCCGACTCGGCCTTCTCAACCACAGCAGGCGACGACCCACCGTCTTTGACGAGCGTCTCCTCGACCTCGCTCTCAGGGAGCGGCTCGCCGCCCTCGACCCACACCTTGGCGAGCTCGCTCTCGATTTGAGCGTGGCGCGCCTTCCATTTGTCGACCTGGGCCAGCTTCTCCTGCAGCTCCTCGAGCTCGCGCCGAGCGTGCATCTTCTCCATCTCGGTTCCGATGCGCTGCAGCTCCCAGCTGTCGCTGCGGTCGCCCTGGCCGAGGACCAGGTTGTAGGTGTGGTACTTCTTGAGGGAGGCGCGGGTGGAGATGGTGATGAGGGCTGGGGAGAGGGAGAGAGGGTTAGTATGGGGTCAGCTCAATGGGGTGGTGCCGGCGGTGGACTTACTGATTCCCTTATCCTTGCACGTCTGGTACAGCAGTCCTTCGACATCGCTCGAGACGGCGCTCGTGCCCTCGTCGATGAACGCGTACTTGGGCTCGTGGTAGAGGAGCCTGGCGATCGCCAATCGCTGCTTCTCGCCGCCGCTCAACACGTCCTTCCACTCCTTGCGGGTATTCCACCCGCCCTCGCGCTCGGGCAGGTACCCTAGGCGGGCTAGGTCAAGCACGTACTTGAGATGCGTGTCGTTCTTTCGCTTGTCGCGCATGTCGGCCTCGCCGTCGGGGTAGATGACCTGGTCACGGAGGGTGCCGATGCTGAGGTAGGGTCGCTGGGGCAGGAACATAATGCCATCCTCCCCCTGATCCTTGGGTCGGCTGACCAGGCCGCGGTAGACGGGCCATAGCCCTGCAATGACTCGGGCAATGGCACTCTTGCCGACGCCGTTTGGGCCCGAGATGAGCAGGTGGTCACCGCGACGGATGATCATAGAGAGGGATTCTACTAGCTCATCGCCGCCATGGGGCCAAAGCGCGGGCGCGACGATGGGGACATTTTCCAACCGTACGCCGTCGAATCCTAGCTGTGTGGTGCCCTGGATGTCGGATAGGGAAAATAACTCGTTCTCCCTGCCCTTAGCATGATACGACGCGGCGTGAACCCTGTGCAGCGTCGAGATAAGCGTGTAGACGCGGCTGGTGTGTCCGGCTAGCTCTGAAAGATCCTTCATCGAGTACATCATCCGACCGCCGGCATCGGCGAGCGATAGCATCAGCCGCTTGTTGGTGATGAAGTCCTTCATGCGTGACCGCTCACGGCCGTCCTTAACAGCGTGAGCAGCTTGCTCCAACTTGCCGCCAAGGCCGCCCCATGCGGGCAGGAAGACGGGCAACGATGACAGGAGGTAGCCGTAGGCGCTCCAACTGTACTTGAGGATAAAATCCTCCAGCATGTTGTATTGGATCCTTATCCGATACACGCCGTTCATCCACTTAGAAAGTGATGCGTACTCTTTGTTGAGAAAGGCCTTCTCTGTCTCGGAGCCGCCATAGAAGGCGATTTCTTCGGCGTTAGCTATTAAGCGCGAGTGTAGGCTGCGAAATTCGCCTTCCTTCCTGCCTTCGACGGCTTTCAACCTCGCGAAGGGCGGGGACAGCTTTCGGAGAATGCTCGCAGTGATGAAGTAGTTGCTGGCGAGACCAAACGAGGCCAACGGACCGAGGGAGCGGAATAGCTGGTAGTTGAAGACGCATATGTCAACAAACGGCTTCCCCAGTGACGAGTAAAGATTCGCTGCCGAGGCACAAAAGTGCGTCAGGTCCTGCGTAATGAACTGGTCCGCCCCTGACCCCAGGCCGCCATCTAGGTTTTGAATCTTGTAAAAGTTGAGGTTATCGTTCAGATACAGATCGTGGATGTACCGAGTCAATCGGGTGCGGAAGGCAATAGACACCTTGCATTCGAGAAACTTGATCATGGCATTGGTGTACGAGGCGAAGCCGCCGAGTCCGCACCATTTGACCAATCCCCACACGAAGGATTTGCCATTTCCAGCCACTAGGTCGCGCACAATCTCACCATCGAGGCGGGCGACGACCAGCGACATGTAGGTACGCAGCATCAGGAAGACGCCGTGGCTCACAAGCAGACCGGCCTCCTTGCTGTTCCACCGCGGGATCATGATGCTCAGCAGGCTGAGGAACTGGTGGAGGAAGGCCAAGTTAAGGCCGGGTTTGGTCTGGGCTGAAGGGACGGCCCCATCGCCTAAGCCCGACACCCTCGGGGGATTCAGGAACAGGCGACGGTGGGCCTGGAAGGTGAGTGGTTTTGTGTTGTGGATGACCACTTTGGCTGGGCGGTCGCGGTTCTTGTAGGGGACGAAGATGGTACGAGAGCCATCCTTATTGTGAAGCCACGAGTTGGTACGCACAAGCTTCCTACCTTGTTCTCTCTCGTCGCGCTTGTGTTTCCACCGTCGTCGTACACCTGCGCCGGCGAGAATGATGGAGGTGGCGAGGGCGAGCGTGGAAAGGAGGCGGGTTGTCCGTGAGGTGTTGCGCAACTTGGAGCGGATGAGCTCGGCATATTTGTCGATAAAAGCAGCGATGGCCTCCTCGGCAACCGAATGTCGGAGAGTTGACTGAGCAGCCATAATCGCGAATGGCCCACCGCAATCGGATCACGGAAACGTCACGCGCGTCTCCAGATTCCCAGGCATCAGACGAACTTTTCCATCAACGCCCGCGTTGAAGTCTAACGTGCAATACTGTAACACCGATTTATGGACTTGGCGTGTGCTCTCTTCTTCGAACCTCGGACACAAATATTCGTAATGTGTATTTGCGTATTTGTCGTCTCGATGTCGTCTCGATGCTTCGCTTCTCTGTGACGTCGCAGGAGTGGGTCGCAGGTGTCGCGATTGAGTCTGAATCGAAACGGCGTCTGGGTGGTTCTGTTGTAAAAGGTGTTGCCCGCCCACTAAATTTGTTGTCGAGGTTTGATCTAATTCTCAGGGCCCAGGCCGTATTCTGAGAGAAGGTAGAAGACAGATTGTTTGGGGTTGTCCAGTTCTCGGCAGCCGTGACCCGAAAGTTGGTCGCTGGTGGCATGTGAAAGGTCCCGCAGCCACAGCGAGTTCGTCCGCTCACGTCATGACCACAGCCACTTTCCCCAGAGAACGCCACAGGCCCTGCTCGCCGGCTCCGAGCCAATCTCATGAGATGCTCATCAACAACGATTCCCCGCACATGCTGCTGAAGAAATCTTGGCACATTGGGGTCGGGCAGCTTCGGCTCCACAACACGTGCATAACAGGTATGAACAACTCCTGGATGCACACAAAGGGAACCGGGAGAGGGGAGGAATTGCCCATTGCATGTGCCATGGAGCTGGGGAGTTCTAGAAATGGGACATCGAGAAATACAATACTGCCATGCGTTATTGGAAAATAGAAGAATATAGAACTTTTGGGGAGAGCAGAATCTGAACTGTATGATGAGGGACACTCGCAACCTCGAAGACTCCACAGTAACTCGAACAGATCAAAAGCCCCTGTCCATCCTGTCCCTGACCGGGCCCCCGGAGAAGATAGCCGGCTCAAGTTCGGGTTCACAATTGTCGGGCCCCGGCAGCGACCTGCTGGTTTGCCCTTGGGACTAGTCAACTACACAGTAACTACTTTATGTATATGCGAGAGCGTTTCTGAACTCGCATTCCGAAGATGCCAGTGCATCACTGGCGACAAGGCGACCATTCTGAGTGGTCGGTGTTCGGTGTTCTGGGGCGGCTTGTCACTCCCCCGGGCGGTAACATGGCCAATTAGACAGCCCGTCTGCAGCCCACCAGCATCCCCTGCCGAGAACCCCAATGCTGCGACAGGATGCCATGCTCTGGACTCTGCAAATACCATCCACTGCAGCCCGGGCAATTTCTTGGCCCTGTGGGTTGGTGGATGCTGTCGACGACCGATGGGGAGCAACCTTGTGAAGCTTGTCTGCTGCGGTCGAGTAATTGGGCGACTCGTGAAGATTCGATTTCTGTGACGGCCCCAACCAAGCCCAGCATTGGAGGACGTCCTTTGCCAGGTGGCCGTCGGATGCTCGCCGTTGGCAATGGATAGTTGCTTTGGCGATGCGGCGTTGAATCAAAAGCGGGACCAATGCCGAGTGCTGCTGTTGGTTTGGTTTGGTTTGGGCCGTGGGCCACCGGAGACCTTATTCGTCCCACGACGGGCGGCTCTCGAGTGGCCCTCGAGTGGCCCAGGTCTCCCGCTTTCATCAATTTCCAGTCGAAGGTGACGAGGCGCTGGCGGTTTGTCAGCCTGACTTGTGTCGGGCGGGTTTAGCCATGCGGGTACCGGATGAAGGCATAGTAAGGGAGAGTGAGGGGCTTGCATTGGTAGAATGTTCGCCCAGGAAGAGCTATTTGTTCAGCCATTGATTTCAATCGCAGAAACACTGCGCTCTTCGTTCTGAGAGGGGAGCAGCGGCCACCAAACAGCGCCCCCATGAGAGCAGGCCGAGCTGGGGCGTTTCTGGGCGGCGGGCTGGATGGATGGAAAGCTGAAATCAGGTACATGACCGAAGCTGGGCCGCGATGGACCTTGTTAGGACGAGATTGCGAGCACGGCCATTGGCGCCCAAAGTTCAAGCGCCCCGGGAGGCGCCGAGCTCGAACCTTAACCTCTGTCATCGTCACTGCAGGCCCACAGTGTGCCCCAAGAGTACCCAGGTGGCTAATCTCTGCAAGGCAATCCGCCATTCCACTCCTGGCTCCTTGCTCCCCAGTCATCCACTGTGCCTTGAGCGATCCCAGTACCTTCCCGACCCCATCACCTTTTAAGTTCAATCATCTCGCTTGCGCTCTCACGACCTCCTCAGCCGTCGATAACGTCCGTCTTCTCCTTCTCCATCCGCTCGGCCATCGGTTGGTCATCGGCTTGCGATCCTTTAATCGCCGGCCTGCTTTTTTTTTTGGTCCCGGTTTCCCGACCTTCCCATTCTCTCGCCGCTCTCAAGTAGGCAAAAGCCGTGTGTGCTCGGTCCCTTTTCCGATCGACCTCGCGCCAATTTCCCACTCTGCACCGCCACCAGTCACGGTCAGGTCGAGCTTTTTTTTTTCTCTTCGCGACAGCAGCTTGTTTTCCCACGAGGACGCACATGCGAGGTTCCAAAAACGGGCAATTCAACTCGCGTCGTAACTAGGCGAGCCGGAACGAGAGATTGGGTAGGCACACCGCTGAGATAGGGGCTGGGTCGCGTTGGGAAGCTCTGGATCCATTGAGGTGGGTTACCCCCGTCTATACAAATCCTGCGGCCACATCTATCGAGCGCGCGCTGGGCGACGATGACGACCGCCACGACTGCACTTTGCTTTCGTGTCGTGTAATTGGAATTGGTCAATCAACCTCGTTACCCAGAGGTGCCCATCTAAAATCCTACGCGGTGACCGCGCGCTAGATTCGACGAGCGGCGAATGCTCGTATTCGCACCACTTGACAAGTTGTGAGCTAACCTGGTTGTGATAGGGTCTGAATTTGCTCACTGAATCACGGACGCACCCCCTCGACAACCGATATGGCACGAGGCATGGAGGAGAGGCCGCAGGCCGCCGGGGAGAGCTCCAAGGAAAAGGAGATGCTGACGCCCGAGGATGGAGCCTCTACGAAAAAAGGTCGGGGTCTTCTACCGGTCCCGTCAAGGTCATCTTCCCAAAAAGTCCAGCCTTCCCCAACCGCCACAGGACTAAGCGGCGCGACGGCCGGCGATCCGAGAGACAGCATCGGCGGGCGCTCCAAGGAATCCAGAGCCAGTATGTTACGGCCAAACCACAATGGAGGGGCGTCTAGTAACCATTTAGGTGCCGGGACAGGACCAACAGCAACACCGGGCAATTCCGAGCCAAACTCGCCCGCGGTTACGTCTCATAAGAAGAAGAAGGGTGGCCTCCTGGCCCTTTTTGGCTGCTGTGGCGTGCCCGATAGCGCCAACGGCATCGACACCGAAGCACCAGTTCCGAGCCATAAACTCGACAAGATCCCTGCGCGGCCAGCTACCGCCAGCCGCAGGACAGCGACGCCTTCGGAGCAACCCTCGGGCAGCAGAACCCACCTTTCCGAAAAGGATGTTAGCCAGCAGGCCCCCCTGTCGATAGGGTCGACGAGAAACGGAAAACGGCTCTCAGGCGTCAGCACCCAGGACCAGTCCACTGTCGGAGGCGAACGGGACAATGAATCAAAGCAGACGACGATTGTTGGCCCCGGCGCTAGCAACCTAGTGATCTCAGTGGAACCGCCACACACCGCGGGTCCCGATACCGACAAGGTGGAAGAGGTTCCAGGAGAAAGGGATGCTGAGGGTGATGTGCAAATGCCGGATGCCGAGGGTTCGCGGCAACTAGGAGACCAAGGATCAGTGGGAACCACAGAGGAACCACTCCCAAGAGTCCCACCGCCGCCCCCAGGACCGGCGCTAGGAGCCACCAACAGCCTAGTCGAAAACCCCCCGGTCTTCGCGCCTGATCAACCGCAGCGATTCCTCTTGCCTCCTCAGGCACCCGAGCACAAGGGCCGAAAATGCCTCGTCCTTGATCTAGACGAGACATTAGTCCACAGCTCGTTTAAGGTAAGCCAGTATCTCAAATCTTGCGAGCGTTGAAATGCTGACTGTCCCAGATCCTTCACCAGGCCGACTTCACGATACCGGTAGAAATTGAGGGCAACTATCATAATGTCTATGTCATCAAGCGGCCAGGCGTTGACCAGTTCATGAAGAGAGTTGGCGAGCTCTACGAGGTTGTGGTCTTCACAGCATCGGTGTCCAAGGTAAGCTGATCTTTATGACACCAGAAATATGTGTAGCGCTAACCTAGGTAACAGTATGGTGACCCGCTCCTTGATCAGCTGGACATCCACAAGGTCGTCCACCACCGGCTGTTCCGGGAGAGTTGCTACAACCACCAAGGCAACTATGTCAAGGACCTGTCCCAGGTTGGACGCGACCTCAAGGACACGATCATCATTGACAACTCTCCCACATCCTACATTTTCCATCCGCAGCATGCGGTCCCGATCAGCAGTTGGTTTTCGGACGCTCACGATAACGAACTGCTCGATCTCATCCCGGTTCTCGAGGACCTAGCTGGCCCCACCGTCCGGGACGTCAGCCTGGTCCTTGACGTCACTCTTTAGAGTATTTTTTCTTGACTTTTGCGACCCAGCTTCTTCCGATCGAACCGTCGTTTGAACTGGTTATTGCACCATTTCGAACAGCTGCAATCTTGGCTCATACCCGCAGCAAGGGGCGCGAATGCGCCAATTTTTTAATACCCCGAGATTCGTGTCGAGCTCATTTACACTTACGCACCGTCGTGGTCCCCTCTCCGGCTTCCAAAAACACGGGCAGCACAGGGTAGGGCCCGGAGAAGCGGTTCTAAGATGAAGACCATCGCCATCAGACCATCGCTGTCTCTGATCTCGCCGGAATTCAGGGGAGACAAACGGCAACAAGACTAAAGGCAACAGCGGGCTTGGTTCGAAATTAAAAAAACGTTCAACGGGAAGTGGTTTTCAGGAGTTCGGTATATGTCCGAGAGACGGATTTACTTCTTTTTGTTCTCTTTTTTATTTCTTTATTCTTCACATCATCGGAGCTTTGAGTAGCAGGCGGATAGTCAAGCAAGGGCGGAGATACGCCAGCGTTGTCAGATCTCGGATCTTTCTGGTCTTGTTTTCTTTTCTATGTAACATACTCGGAGAGATCTTGACCATGGCTCAACCGAGTTAACCCTACAGCAGATGGAGTCTGCACCGATCCCCGAGCACCATACCCAATCCCTTGATGGGCACACGTCTATATTCCCGTTTCCCAATTTCTTATGTCCGCCCATACCCCCTAACGCACTCTGCTTGATCCTTACTTATCCTCTCTTCTTCTTCATGGCTGCTTTTGGTCGCACACGGCGGTATAACCTTCACAATGTCTGTTGTCTGATTAACACTTTACCTCATCATATCCCATCCCAATGTACATTGAATTCCCTTTTTCCTTTTTGTGAGTAGCATGTTTCGAAAAACACCATCGACATGGCGGTGCGAGGGGAGGAAGTTTTCGGAAGGTCAGACAGTGTTGGAAACAAGAGGGAGGGAGTTGGATGGCTTGGGTTGAGTGTAAAGAATTGCTTGGGAGCCATGTTCCCAAGGCCTGGTTGCATATAAGAGGGTTAACCGAGCCATCATGCGAGCCGTCAGGGCGGTGAATGTTTGATCATGGTGAAATGTGACAGGTTCTTCCTCTGTGGCTGGCCAGACTTGGCAAGGAGAGGTTCGAAACTCAAGACACTTGAAAGTTGGATCATAGCGCAACAAAGCAAGAAATAACCCAAGTCTGGCCTTCCATCAGTCAACATATTCGGCTTTGCAAAAGACAGATCCAAACCATAGTCATTTTGTTTTCTTTTTTTTTCTTGCTTTCCCCATGAGCAAGCAGCTGCGTTCCCTGCTGGTATCGGTCACAGTTGTGTTGCTCGACGACCTCTCCTTGGCAGCACGTGTCCACCGTGGAGCCGGTCCGTCTTTTGGCCCAATCCCGGTCAAACAAAATTGCGGCGCCAAACCTCAATGAAGGAGCTGGACACGCTGGAGCAGGGAGCTGTGACTTCGTGGCCTCAATTGGGAGCACGGATCACCTGCCGATAATTAGGGGCGTGGACTGCATCTCCAGCGAACCCATCGCCCAAAATCCACCACGCGACCTCGACCGATTGACTTCTCCCAATTCACCACCACGCCATTCATTCTCTCATTTCTTCGTCAATACCAGCCGTTTTTCGTTCTACTACTTTTCTAATTCCACAAGATGGTAAGCTCGCCCCCCAATTCCCAGGTTCTCACCACCAGCAAGCCAGCCAGCCAGCCAGCCAGCCAGCCAGCAAGCACCTCCCCCAATTCAACACCCCAAGCCCCTTTTCCACCATCACGAAAAGAACCTCCACCCCCCCCAAAAACCCAGCCAACCCAGCTAACCCACCCTTCTCTCCCGCAGTCCTCCCCACGCGCCGCATCCCCGCCCGCAGGTGCCGCCAGCGGCGGTTCGGCCACGGGCGCGTCGGCGCGGCCCTCGTCGCCGCCTCCGCCCGGGGGCGCGCGCACGGCGATCCGCCGCCGCGCCGCCGCCGACCAGAAGGAGAAGATCGCCAACGTGCGGCCCAACAGCACGCGCTCCGCCGGCGCCGGCGGCTCCAGCAGCACCATGCTGCGCCTGTATACCGACGAGAGCCCCGGGCTGAAGGTGGATCCCGTGGTGGTGTTGGTGTTGAGTCTGGTGTTTATTTTTAGTGTGGTTGCATTGCATAGTGAGTTGCTTTTTGGTTTTTGTTGGTTGTTGAATTGATGATGGGAGCTAATGGTTGCGATTACAGTCATTGCCAAGATCACTCGCAAGTTCTCGAGCTAGGTTGTTTGAACCACGACAGCCCGCATGGGCGAGACACTATACAAAGCGCATACATCGGCCATCGGAGTGAACGGTGCTCCCTCGTCGACAGAACGGGCGACATGAGGACAGGACAGGGCGGTACGGGGGGGGGGGGGGCGACGATCATCTTTCGGAATGCGGCCAAAGGTGCTCTTTCGTTGGTTTGCGGTGTTGGCTGGGGATAGATGCATATACCTCGGGAAAACAAGCTGGGGGTACGGCAAAAGCTAAGCATGAGATTCGACCTTTGGTTTTGGCGTGCCTATTGCCATCTTGCAGTATGTGGCCGCGACGGATCCCGTTGATTGTTGTACAATATCATATAATGGGTTGCTATGGGAATATGAGTTTTCTTCGTTTTGGCAGACTGCGGACGTGACTTTTTGATGCAAAAGACAACTTAGGTAACTTATGGTTCAAAGGAAGGGTAAGGGCAAGAATGCTTCCTTATCGGCCTAATCCTAAACATCGCATGCATGGTTTAATACCCTATTTCGTGTACATCACCCACATCCGTGTTTTTCCCCTGATGAACTTGCCGGCGGCTACCGACAAGAACGGAAAGTCAGCCGCTCTTTGACGAAGCGCTATCTCCGAGGGACCACGAGATTATCTATCGGATGGCCCGGATGGAAGCCGGTGCAGCGTTACGATCCGAATCTTTCGTCATTGCACATTCCTCCTCCACCTGGTTAACGGGGCGGTATTTTGTCTTGTCTTGTTGTGTCTTGGATCACGGTTGCCCCACCAGAGGCGATAGCGATCTCCGTTCTTGATTTGTTGTGCCCCCTGACTCTAGCATTTGAGAGAAGGTTGGTTCTGGGAGCGAGATAGGCACATAGGCAGGTTGAAGGCGCCTTGGTGGCGCGCGGGGTCATGCGGTAACTGGGGGTCATACAAGGACGGGGAAACCGAGACTTGGTCGGCGTGTGTGGCTAGCAATGTTGATTTGCTTCGCGGCAATATCTCTGCTTGAGGATGGATAGGCGTCAGCCGAGACGATGTCTCGGCTTGCCACCCAGTTTCTAATATTGTCATATGGAAGCGTCGTCATAGGGCAGGAACTCTACCTCCACATCATTGGCCATCTTGATTACCATGTCCTCTTGTTCTCGGAGAGAAACGAGCGGCGTTCGGTCAAGAATCACCGAGCATCCCACCTCTATTTGTCATCGAAGACTCGCTAAAGCCTATAAACCGAATAAGCTCAGTGTTGCCGGTTTTCGTGGGTCATGACTGGCATGGACAAGTCGTCATGTGGCTGGGCCAAGGAGTTGTATTTTATGTACCTTGGACATGTCTCAAGCCAACTTGCAAGTCTCGCGTGATACTGTCCAATACCTTACCCTCAAAACCCTCCCAACCACTGGCTTCCGGCGATTCTCTCGGCCTTTGACACCACCCTCAAATGCATGTTGGCCGTAGACGTGCAGTCCGTAGTATAGATCATCATTTACCCGGACATCGAATAGTTATGTACTTAGTTAGGTTTCATTGTCTAGCGCAGCGTTTGCTATCCACGGTCCCGAGAATGGCGCCGGACCGCAAGTGTAAAATCAAGCCACATCACATACTGCCGGCACTATGATGTTTAACCATACCTATGGCTTTCCAACATCGACTTCAAAAATAGCATGCATATTTGCGCTATGAGGTACTCAAACCCAACTAGAAGCTTGGATTCAACGAAAGACAGCCATCCGGCAGAAGTTAGCTTTCCGTCAGGAGACCAGCTAACGCGCACTCCGTAGCATGTTGGGTACCTAATAGAGCGTTTCTTGAATCATGGTGGCCTCATGTGGTGCCGTTTCCACTCGAAGGATCGTGCCAGATGTAGGGTTAGTTGGGGGTTTCGTCATCAGGCAGCGGAGATGGTGGTTAGGACGGATGGGCGGCGCAAACAATGGACAGTTGAGGTCGTATGGAATAGCAACGCTATTTGTCGGCTCAGCTTGCCACTTTGAGGACTTTCAGCGTTGAATCTGGCCATTGAGCAGCAGAGTTGGCCGCCGCGGGGCGCATGGGGGCGCGGCGGGCAACGGGGCGCCCTGCATTTCCCACTGGTTCACTTTTCCAAGGGTGCCATGAGGAGCAGCAGACCATCCCTCAGGAGGCAGGCGGGTGGTTTCGGCGGCGTGGCTTCCATCCCTGGCGCTGTGTTGTGCGGCGCATTCCTTCCTCGGCAACCACGGCCCTGCATCGCGCGGTCACCGACTCGATGAAATGAATGATGGATGGCGCAGACAAGTATCTAAATTGCATTTGTGCGGTTTGTTAACTGTAGTAGAAAGTTATTCTGCTCGACAAGTCTTTGCATTTTGATGCATTTAAAATCGGAACGACTTGTGAGGCACTTCACGGAGGGATTACTCTGGAAGCCGGGTAATGCCAAGACATGCAGCAGCAAATCAGTCCGGACGACGGGACCCGCATCCCCGACTTGTGGGAGCGTTGCGGCCAGTGCGGGTAAACCGAAGCAACGAGCCAATGGACCTTGGAAGCTCCCTGCGCAAGCGAAGCCTTCGATTTTACCCCACACTTCCGCTCTCGTGGACTCTCCTCAGCGTGGCATCCATGGCCTTAAAGTCCCTAGCGATGGGCGAATGGCAGCCTCGGGCTCGAGCTGATGGGGAATCCGCCTGGCTGGTGCTGGCGCTTGCACGCGGGAACCCCTATATTGCAACCTCACAGCTGGGGCATGTAACCCTCGGCCAAGCTGCAACTCTACTGGAGTTGAGTGCGAGACAAGTCTTGCCATGCAGATCTCTCGCGAATGCTGAGAGCCGCCACAAAGCTTAGAGCCCACCACGTCTCTCAGACGAGCCGGAGAGAATGATGCGACTTTTTGGGCGTGCCGCCTCTTTGTGAGCTGAAGCAAACGACACCCCCGACGCAGTGCGACATCGCTACCCATGCGGTTGGGCCAACGACGGCGGTGTATGCAGCTCAATCTTGAACGGGGCGATGTAGTTGGAGGGATATATGACGGGTTATTTTGTTCCAGTCAAAACTTAAAGAAGGAAGCGCTCCGTTACCGGGATATGCTGAGTTTCCTAGTCCTGCCCGCCCTTGGAATCCGCAGGATGGAAAGGCCAACGGCCGAGGCGAGAGAAACCACGGCTTTTGGAAGGTGCTTTGTTGCGGCAAGACGCTCAACGTGGCCCTGAAAAGGATCTGCCGATTTCTGCCGATTAAGAGACACACCGAAGCACAAAGAGAAAAAGAGGGGTCTGCTAGAAAGTCGATCTGCCGTCACCCAGCGTTTGGGAGGTCCTTGAATGCAGCAGGAGAGCGTTGCGCCTAACCCAACAAATCGAACGGCGCACGCTCTAGTGGGAAGATTCTGTGGGGTTCCTTCCTCGGGGACCCACACCCCGCCAGGAACTAACTGTTCTGGAAACGAGCCGGTTTTCCAATGGAGAGTTATTGCTCGCAGGGGTACTTGGCAATTGTCACCATGTAAAGTACAGGAACCTACCCTGACCTCCCAGCCCTGCGTGCCTCTTCAGCATCGAGCTCGCTTGTGTGTCGTTTCCTCTTCGCCATAGTATCGAAGTTCTTGTCCATTCCTGGCCTGCACTCTGTTCAGCCCTACAAGCAGTCTTCTTTTTTTTTTTTTGGCGGTTGCAAAGCCCTCTTTATCTTTGAACTGTTTGGATTCCAGCCTTTTTGGATTGTCCCGCACGATACTGGCATGCCTCGACCGAATCCGACCCGCACATGTCGCGAAACACCGCGTTGATACTTGTCCGATGCTGAATTGCGCAACTCGAATTGTTCCGTCAACCCGTGCAGCCTGCGTTACCAATAACCATAGTTAATATTTGCTTGAGACTCCGAACATTGCGCGCCACTCCATGTACCTCTTTTAGCTTTCCAGGACAGCTTGCCGGATGATTGCTCCCGAGTCACTCGACCCATCATCGGTATCCCGGGGCTTCCTCACATCGTCCCAAGAGACCGGATCGACAACCACCGAACCCACCCGCCGATTAACGCCCCGGGCGCCTGGTCTCCTCGGCGCTCGCCATGGCGGGGTTCTTCCAGAAGCTCAAAGGGGCCGGATCTGTAAGTTGGACCAACCACTGTGCATCGAGGCACCATCGAACGAGAGCACCAACACACACAAAGCAACATTAATATCTGCTTCCTCCCGTCACTTTTTGAGCTACATGGGACAACGTTCAAGACTGACCGTGCCACTATTTAGGGTGGTTCAAAATCCGATAGCACCACAACCACAAAGAACAAGAAGGACGAACCTCAACCAGACTTAACACCGCTCGAGAAGTTGTTGCCCATTTCGGGCCCCATTCGGGAGGACGGCAGTGACAAGTTCTTTGGGTTGGAGAATGTGAGGACCACCTACCAATCTACCAACTCCATCCTCGCAGCTGCAATAGGGACTAACCATTGTTGCTCAATCTAGTTCGGAAACACCTGGTATGCCAAATCACCTGCCAATAACACCCAAATTCAAACGAGCAACATACTGATTACCGAATACACAGCTATTGCAACTCAATTGTCCAAGCATTATATCACTCAGAGCAGTTTCGAGAGCATGTCGTCAATTATCCCCTGCCCCAACCTGGGGACCACCCGAACGGAACTAGGCAGAAAGTCAACGTCACAATACGGTCCCCAGCTCAGGTGGACACAAATGGTGCTGCCCCTGGGCCGAACAAACCGCGACAATCTTTCAGTGGTGGCCAACTAGCGCCCCCCGTACCACCCTTGCGACCCGAGGACAAGCCAGATTCACCGGAGTACAAGAAAAAGCAGGCTATGGTCAAGGGGCCAGTATTAGAACTGGCAGAGGAGAATAAGGACTTGTCCGGCATAGAAGAATGCACCTTCACAGGCCTACGAGACATTTTCACGACCTTCATCGACAGCCAGTCCAGAACAGGGGTGCTGAGCCCACAACGATTCCTGGACATCTTTAAGCGCAATAATGAGATGTTCCGGAACTCGATGCACCAGGATGCCCATGAGTTTTACGGCATAGTCCTCAACGACGTCATTGCCAACGTGGAGGCCAACGCCAAGCGGATGCAAGAGCAAGCGGAAAGCCGAAACGAGAATGGCCCATCCCAGATAACAGACACGGCATTGTCAAAAGCCGGTTCTGGGGCAGTGACACGGGCTTCGGGGACTGGATGGGTACACGACATATTCGAGGGTGTGCTAACATCAGAAACCAGGTGTTTGACCTGCGAGACGGCATCACAGCGTGACGAGACGTTTTTGGATTTATCCATAGACCTGGAGGAGCACTCTTCTGTGACTGCTTGTCTGCAAAGTTTCTCGGCAGAGGAGATGCTGTGCGAGAGGAACAAGTTCCACTGCGACCACTGCGGTGGTTTGCAGGAAGCGGAAAAGCGAATGAAGGTCAAGAAACTACCCAAGGTCCTCGCTTTACATCTGAAGCGGTTTAAGTACACCGAGGATTACAGCCGGCTGCAGAAGCTTTTCCACCGCGTTGTCTACCCTTACCATCTCCGCATGTTCAACACCACCGACGACGCCGAAGACCCCGACAGGATGTACGAGTTGTACGCCGTCGTAGTACATATTGGAGGTAATGCCTACCATGGGCACTACGTCGCCGTCATCAAGACAAAGGATCGCGGGTGGCTGCTCTTCGACGATGAGATGGTTGAGCCTGTAGACAAGAATTTCGTCCGGAACTTCTTCGGGGACAAGCCCGGAATGGCTTGTGCTTATGTGCTGTTCTACCAGGAGACGACGTTCGAGAAGGTGCGGGAAGAGATGGACGCTGAGGGTGTGGACCAGGTGAAGCTGGCCGCCCAAGCAGCTGATCTCGCGACGGCGACCGAGGCGGCCAGCGGGTCGAGTCAGGTTATGCTCTCCAAACTCAACTCACAACCGCTGCCCGCAGTTGATGAGAACGAAACACTAGTCGCGCTCGACCAAACCAAGTCAGCCCCTACTGATATCGACTCTACCACCCCCAGCGGCCCGCTCCCACCACCGCTCTCCTCTTCCGAAATCCACCCCCTGGTCGCAGCGCCACCCACCGGCTCAGCCGTTACGACAGAGGCAGACAAAGCCGCCACTTCTCCGCCGAAATCTAAGGACCAAATTGCCAGGGAAAAGAAGGAACTTAAAGCTCAAGAGAAGGCCGAGGAGAAGGCTCGGAAAGCCGCCGAGAAGGAACAAATGCGCGCCGCAGCAAAGGAGCGCCTAGAGGCGCAACAGAAGATGCGAGAGACGGCCCGGCTCGAACGCGAACAATTCCACAAAGCCATCCAAGAAAGCAAGCAAATGGCAGCCGAGGAAGAGAGGCGCCAAAAGAAAGAGGGCGCCGCCACAGCAGACACAGCTACTTCCTCTGATGCGGGTGGCAGCGACGAGAATCACTGGAACGGTTTCCTTAACCGCACTACTCGGACAAGCAAATCCATGGCTCGCAAATCCATGACCCGCAAGAGCTTTGCTTTCCTGCATATCGGGCAAAACAAGGACGAGGGCAAGAGCAGCGACGCCAAAGCCGACAAAACGGACCGCGGGGAGACCAACGGCGAGAACCGGTTTGACAAGGGCGAGACCAGCGCCGGCGGCGGAGAGAATGCTGCACCCCACTATCAGAACGGGAGCAGCAATAGCATCGGGCCCGCCGGAAAACATACCCACCTTCTACCACGGTCCATGCCGCGGTCCGAGACGGCACCCGGGGCAATCGCCCAGTTGCCGAACCACGGCAATCACGACAAGGAGAAGGATAAAGAGAAGGAGACCCAGAAGCCGCCATTGAAGGAGAGGTTTACCTTCGGGTTGGGCAAGAAGAAGAGCAGCAAGTTTTTGTCTTCGTCCTAGAAGGGCATGAGACATCTGTTATGCTCTGCCGAGCCCGAGCCGGAACCTTTGCCGGCCCGCCATGCTGGTGGGCCAGGTCGTACCTAATTTCTGGTGGTAAGCTGCCCTCAACATTGGGTTTGGTTTTGGGATGTACCCGGCCTGTGTGGATGGGCCTCTTGTTCGTGTTGCATATTTTGGGCTTGTTTGGTTACATACCTTGTGGTTGTATAAAGCTGCTTTCTCTCCTCCGGGGGATTTGGATGTTGGATCGGACTTGACTAGACAAGCGAGTGCCTTGGGAGGAGATATAGCTCACTTGCTGGATGCCTTGTGTGCAAAAAAAACAGGAGGTTGGCGGGTGTTATTTGCCTTTAGCTTGTACGATCATGGTGAGGCGTGAGGCAAGATTCCTCGGTACACGGTATACCCGGTCCTCGGTCCGTTTGACTGCGCGGAGTTTCCGGTTCATGAATGAAGCGAGTATTACTAGCCGTGTATAATGTGATGTTGCAAGCAGCTTGAGTGCACACGCCGTGCCTCATAAGTTTCCCCTACATTTCGCTTGGCCTTTTTTTCCCAATATTCAATGCACCAAATCAGTCAAGTTTTGCGGCCGGCTGCAGCAATCAAACAAAACATACATATTCACGCCCGAAACGCCTGCCATTGAAACCGCCGCTTCCATAGCTACAACATGGCCTGACCTGGCATATCGGGCCGCCTCAGTCCACGCAAGGTAAAATCAAGGTAACCAAGGGGTCCCTTTCTGTCTTTGCCAGTCTCGTCTTGTCTCTCCCTGCCATCCAGCACCGCCCAGCGCATCCCACTAACCCAAAATGATCTCGTATACTATAATGAGTGTGTTGATTATAATCAGGGGTACTACAATGACGACATCAGCACGGCCATCCTACATATTTCAAGGGGAAAAGGGGGGGGGATGAGGTGCGAAGCGGAACTTACCCCTCATGACCGTCAGCACGCTCGCGATCAGCTGTATGATTTTGTACTAGACGCTGCTGTCGACTTCTTGCTCGAAACCGCGTCGGTATGTCGCTGCAGCGAGCCCGCCTGTGTTTAGGGGGTGGTTGTTAGTTTTTGGATAAGTTGCTTTGGGGGTTGTAAGATCCCATTGAAAAGGGGCGAGGGAGGTTTGATACCCCGGATGTAAGGGGGGGAGGATCGGGATCTGGGGTATAGAAAAAGGGCGGGGTGGAGGGAGGGCGCAAAACGTACCGCGCGCGAGGAAGCGGTCTTCGGAGGGGATGCAGATGGCGTTGAGGAGGAGCACGGTGACTGGGGTGGCGGTATGTTAGTTGGGGCGGTAAAGGGTATCTGATCGGGAGAGAGCGCCGTACCATAAAGAAACTGCCCGAGGATAGACATTCTGACGGAGTGGCGCGCCTAGCGGTATGGTATGGTGTCGTCGAGAGAAGGGATGTGTGGGTGTGTGTTGCTTTGGCCTGCTGGCCTCGCCGCGCCTGGTCGTCCTTTTCGTGTTCCAGCGGGGGTTCAGTAGTTTTCGATGTCGTCTATCGATTGGGCCTTCTGCGCCGTGCGATTGCGCCGGTCGCGTCTGTGACAATCGTCGGGAAGGTCGCCGGCGTCAATGTTGGTTACAGTGGGATGCACTCCGAATGCACGACCCGATGTTGAAAGCTGGCAGGCAAGGTACGTACATTACATCGAGAGCTGAGCTAGCTCGAAATGGAAAGGTGGCCAGAGCTGAGTTTCTTGGCTGTTAAGGCTGGTCAGCACAAAATATTGACCCTAACCCTTTTTCGCTTGTGTTGTCTGATTGCTCAATTTTGAAGTTTTTCTGTGTCTTTGAGTCTCAACAGCCATTTCATTTCTAAGACTGCGGCTGTAATAACTACCTACCTAGGTATATCTCTACATGTATGCGGTAATTATACCATATCTTACTGGTCCAACTCTCCCAACACAAAGTTACGAAGATACTACTTTATAACCAGCCAGGTAGCCTACCGGTTAGATATCTTAGAACGTGTGTGCTTGAGGAGACTCAGAGTGTGAAGTTGTGTCTGAGACGATATCTGCCCGTACAACCAACAGCCTCGTGCTTTGTACCAGAGACGGACTGACGAGGAATGCACCAACCAGGAAAGCGCTGCCCCTGGCCGTGGCCACCTAGTCATCAAGGTTCTCAGTTGGCGACGACAGTTGCCAAATTCGAAAGAGCACTCCATGTGATCGTGATCGGCATGTCGCCAACTTAGGTAACCACCACCCAGATACCTCTGCTGCTCTTGTAAAACTTCAAATTCTCGTTGTTGAGTGTTCTTGGATTCTGGGTCTTTCCACAAGCACCGAATTAAGCCCGAAACCGCCGATCAGGGGAAATGTAGAGCAAGCCGCAGTTGTTTGCAATCTACCTAGGTATCAACACAACCCGAACATCAAAAAGCCTCAAAGCTCCACGTCTCACCGACACCCGAAACAGCAGCCGTGTTGAATTGGCTAAAGTCTTTTTCTGTCGGACTTCATCCAAGCCTTGCTGCATTGCTACCGTCTTCGTTCGCCAGTTGGCGAGCAACTCCTGGTTCACCGTCGGTCAAGGTCAGGTGAACAAAAGACATGGCGATACTCCGGCGAAAAGGAAACCCACTGTGGACTGCTCTCCCATTGTCTTTCGCCCAGTTTGTAATTAACCGGCCCCCCTGGTTGGCGCGGGTCTTTAACAGGCTAAATAGCGGGCGTGGCCGGATACCGGGTCAAGTCGAAACTCCAGACTCCAGCACGGCGCCTCGCAGCGGGTGCCTCACCTTGTTCGGAGGAACTTCCCTACATCCCACCCGGCATCGGCCAGGTGATCAGACGAGATTTCGTCTGCTTGTGGCCAACAGCCGCCTCCAGACGAACCGCAGCCGTCTGTTTCCGGTCGCGAGCCGCCAGGACGTTGCGTCTCTGCGACCCTGTAAAAGGGCACCCTGCTAGATTTGGGGTTGCGGGCTACACGATTGGGGGGTTGAAACCAAAGACGATTTCTGCCGCCGTGTGCATGAGGCTAATGGGCAGCCCGACTCATGAGTGACGCTCCTTGGCTCCAGCCGGAGTCCACATTTTCGAGAGAACAAAAGGATTCCCGTTTAACCCGCACAAATGGAGAACGTCCGGACGGCTCCACAGCCTTGGCCGTCTGTTGGTGGACATCAGGTTCCTCCATTATCCAGGCGAATCAGTGAGAATCTCCGGAGGCACGCCCGGAGATCTGCCGCGCAGGCCATCGCAAGCCTCACCCTCGGCCAGTAGAAGTGGCCGTTTGCCACGGCAACCGAGATCCAACGTGCGGTTATGGACCCCTGACGTGCTGCCCGCGCCGAGAGAGACCCCGGTGTTCAGCCTTGAGTTCCTGCGCCGGTATGACGAGGGAGCGGGTCTGAATGGGGGTTCTGGAGGGGTCATGGTGTCTGGGTTGCGAGAGATACCGCCGCAGGCGGGACGGTATGACCCTGCTCGGCGGCACATCATCTAGTTGAAGCGCGCGACTCGGCGGAGCGCGGCATGGGCTCCAGCGTAGCCTGGTGGCACCCCTCTCCTCCGGCTCGGGAAAGCTTATGGAGAGTGGCAGACGGTATAAGTAGCGCAGCAACCCCTCGATGCTCTCGAAGGCCCCCGTTGGTTTTCCCCGAACTCTCATACCATTTCCCATCGGACAGCTCCTCCAGTGAGTTTCCCTACGGTCTGCCTCCGCTGGTTTTCTTCGACACTCGCTCCTCGAGTCGTTGTGCCGGTCGACCTTTCTAACTTAGGCTTCGCAGAGTTTCAAACCGTCACCCGGAAGAGAATCCATAAATCGACACAATGGCTCCCGTCATCAAGCTCAACAGCGGCTATGACATGCCCCAGGTGGGCTTCGGTCTCTGGAAGGTCGACAACGCCGTCGCCTCGGATGTCGTCTACAACGCCATCAAGGCCGGCTACCGTCTTTTCGACGGTGCTTGCGGTAAGTCACGCTTGCCCGCCCTTCACCTTCTGTACCACCACCCTGCAGGCAATGGCTATGCGGGCTTTTACCATGACTTTGGAGCACGCACGCGCCGCGCCAACGTGGAGGGGCAATGGAGGACGAGGAGAAACTACCCCACCCCCTCCCTCCTTCTCCACCCCACATGTGAATGGAGGGGTCGAATTCTGCCGGACCCTTGCCGGAAGCGCCAGCGGGACGGATGGTGGATCAGTGTGGGACTGTGCCAAGGGACACCCGCACTTACACAAACACACACAGAGAAGAGAGAGACAATAGCTGACCCAAGCATAAATAGACTACGGTAACGAGGTTGAGTGCGGCCAGGGCGTTGCCCGCGCCATCTCGGAAGGCATCGTGAAGCGTGAGGACCTCTTCATCGTGTCCAAGCTCTGGAACACCTTCCACGACGCCGAGCGCGTCGAGCCCATCGTCAAGAAGCAGCTCGCCGACTGGGGTATTGAATACTTCGACCTCTACCTCATTCACTTCCCCGTTGCCCTCGAGTGGGTTGACCCCGCGGTCCGCTACCCCCCCGGCTGGCACTACGATGGCAAGGAGGAGATCCGCCCCAGCAAGGCCACCATCCAGGAGACCTGGACGGCCCTGGAGTCCCTCGTTAGCAAGGGCCTCTCGAAGAGCATCGGTATCTCCAACTTCCAGGCCCAGCTGATCTACGACCTCCTCCGCTACGCCAAGATCCGCCCGGCCACCCTCCAGGTCGAGCACCACCCCTACCTCGTCCAGCAGGAGCTGATCAACCTCGCCAAGCGCGAGGGCATCGCCGTTACTGCCTACAGCTCGTTCGGCCCCGCCAGCTTCAAGGAGTTCAACATGAAGCACGCTGACGCGCTCGCTCCCCTCATCGAGGATGAGACCATCAAGAAGATTGCGGCCAAGCACAACCGCCCCGCCTCGCAGGTCCTGCTCCGCTGGGCCACCCAGCGTGGCCTCGCCATCATCCCCAAGAGCACCCGGCCCCAGATCATGGCCGAGAACTTCCAGAGCATCGACTTCGATCTCTCCGAGGAGGACATTGCCACCATCTCTGCCTTCGACCGCGGCATCCGCTTCAACCAGCCCTCCAACGTAAGTAGCTGATGCAGCTTCGAAGCATGTGACCACGATGCTGACGGTTGTGACTATAGTACTTCCCCACTGAGCTCCTCTGGATCTTCGGTTAAATGCTGTTCGGAGAAGCAAAGAATGCGGCGGGCGGGCGCAATCCCGCCCCGGCCTAACCGGCCGAACCGGAGACAGGCCACGCCCCATCACTGGCCTGCCCTCCACCGATCACCCCCTCGCCCATTGACCACAAAGGGCGCCTAGCGGAAGGAAGTCATCCTCCTTCCTGCCTTGTCACGACTGGAATGAGATTTATGTCAGCGCCGTCGCCTACCCGATGATAGGGGGGTGGCTTGGGGCTGTGTGTTATTTGAGATATCCGCAACCTATATCCGGGGAAATTTCTCTCATGTCCTGGAGATGGGTCTCGTTTTACGCACTGCATGGCATGCCTGTTTGGTGGAATTTCCATAGAATATATCCAACTTGATGATGCCGGTCCCACTACTGTTTCCCTTCTTTATTTGAACACCCAGTGACGACAAACACGGCCTCGAGGCGGAAAAAATTGCCCACGGTCATGATTATTCTGCATCAACTTGCCTACATATCGCCCTGCTCATGGCATTTCACCTCGACATCCCCTAATGTCCTAAGCAAGACCAGCCGCCGTCTACAGACTTTCCTATTTTCGAATGGCACATGCCGTTTCCCGACATTTCCAGCCCTGTAGGGGATCGTTCTTCTATATCTCATCGTAAAGCACCCAAAATAACACAGCCAACACTTCTAGCACATCGGTTTCGTGGATGTGAGAGCAGGAGTAGGCAGGTGATCGACTGGCTACACCTCCAAACCGCCATCCTGCCACTATCTAGCCTGAAGAAAAGCAATAAAAACAAACTCCACGCGGGCTACCTGCCACGCTGCGCTTACGGCACGCTGGACCGGTCCCCGATCTCCTCCTAAGCACCCAAAACGCCGCCACATGCCATCGTATGTGGTATGATTTCCTCTCTTTCCTTTCCCCCTTGAGGAGGTGACCCGTATCCCTTATCTGTTGTCACACATCACCCGTCACTATAGCCACAACATCTTTGTTCTTGTTGATAAGCCCCCCGGGGCAGTATAACCCCCGGCGAGGCAATAGATCTCGGTAGATCAACAACCCAGCCCAGTATCATCACCATTGACATTCACGTCCACACAAAGGCTACCCAGTGCGTTAGTAAACCTCAGCTCAGCCAAAAAATGCACACCCAAGGTGGTTCAGTCAAGGAGGGGGAAAGAAAGACTCACTCGCATCGACCTGCCGGACCTGCGGCAGGGCCAAGCGGACTTTATTGCGATAGACAGCCGGCCCGCGCAGTTGCAGGGGGTTGCCCTCGAAGTAGACCGTGGAGAGGGCAGGCTTGTCGGCGAGGTGGCGCTCGACGTCGGCAAAGTCGGCGACCTGGTTGTAGCTGGCCCAGAGCTCCTCGAGGGCGGCGAGGGGGCCCAGCCCCGCGAGCGACGCGATCTGGTTGTGGGACACGTCGATCACGCGCAGCTGCGTGTTGTGCTCCAGCCCCGTGAGGGATTCGAGCGCGTTGTGCGAGATGTAGAGCTCTTCGAGCTGCGGGACGTCGCGGAGGGGGGAGAGGTCGCGGATGCGGTTGGATTGGACGGAAAGGAGGCGGAGGTTGGGGAGTCCGGAGAGGCCGGTGAGTGAGGTGATTTTGTTCTTGGCTACCCAGAGCTCTTCGAGGGCGGTGAGGGAGTCGAGGTTCTGGAGCTCTCGGATGCGGTTGGAACCGAGTTCGAGGTTGCGCAGCTTCGTGAGGCCCTCGAGGCCTTCGATCTTGGAGATTTTGTTGGCTACAAAGTATAGGTCGGTGAGGTTGGTGAGGTGGGAGATGTGCTTGATGTGCTTAATTTTGTTGAAGGAGAGGTCGAGGGATGTGAGGTTGATGAGGTCGTCTAGGCCGCGGATGTGGGAGATGAGGTTGTCGTAGAGATCGAGGTCGTTGAGGGTGGAGGCAATACCGGAGACGCCTTCTATGTTTTGGATCAGGTTCTGGCGGAGGCAGATGCGGGCTACTTTCGTGAAGCGCTCGAGACGGAGATCAGAGATGGATTTGATGCGGGAGTGGGTGCAGATGATTTCGTCGGTCTCTGGGTCTTCGTCGTCGAGAAGGTCTGATGTAGAGTTAGCTTTGCTAAGGTCATTCCGGACACAACCGGCTTCTTTACCCTCATCCGCAGCAACCTCGTCGCCGGGTACGACATTGTCATCGTCTGAATACTCGGGATCTGAGAGCGCTTCCGGGTTTGTGAGAATGGCGCTTTTAGGTACACGCAACTTCCCATCCCACCCCTTGCTGTCCCTAAGCCCCGGACTGGTTTCACCGTCGTGATGTGGGGAGGGGTTGTCGTCGACCAATTCGATATGGTGGCCCCGCGACCGGGCTTCTTTTTCCACGGGTGCGGGCATGACGGGCGGTGTGTCCTGCAAACGCAGGTGTGGATTGTAGATTTATGTTTTGTCGTCGAAGGAAATCGAGTGATCGTCGGCGGAGGATGAAGGGTTTGAAGGTTGAGGAGGGCCTGGTTATTCCGTTTGTGTCGCGGGTCAAAGGAGAGGCAATGACCTGTTGCAAGTTTGTGACGTGCACTGTGTATTATAGGTATGCAGCCCGAACGGTCGGCGATGTCAGAGCGTTGCAGCGGATTCCATCTCAATATAGCCAACTGAGGGGCGCTGCTTATCGTAGTTATCGGATGGCAGCCCAGCCACCCCACCAACCATCCCCAACACTGTTGCCGTAACAACTTGGATACGAGAAAAGTTGAAATGAAATAAAACAGGGAGCATCAATTCAGAAATAATTACAAATACAAATGGCTACTCTGCAAATACCATGAGAGAGAACACATTCACGGCTTTGGCTTGCCCAACAAGAACGGATACAGCACGATACTTCGCAAGGCAGGAGGGTACCTGTGACGAGCTCCTGTGGGGCCAAACCCCAACATACGGGCAGCACCTTGCATGCCATGAAATACTACTTCCAGAAAGTTTCAGGCCGCCGTGATTTATTGCTTGCTCAATTGACCAAGATCTGTTTCGCAGATGCTTGACTCTCGTCCCCGCAGAGTTTCACGTCCCTTACATATCTCTCGACAGTTCATTCGTGGCAAGCCTTTGAGGAAACCGAAACTGCATTCCTCACGGACGAATAACATCCCAACAACCACGTCAGAACGGCCATCCTCGAATTCCACCCAACCAGGCCGGCCTAATTCGGACGATTTTAAATCTTCGTCCACTGGCTTGAGCGGTTGGGACCCGACTACGGAACACGCCGAAAGCTAGACGAGTGGGAGACGAACACATGATTGCCTGGGCCATGCCATGACACCAAGGACTGGCCGACTTACTCGAGAAATCTCCACACCCAATGCCGTACTCGCCTGCCATGATTGCTCATCGCCGGATACCCATGCGAGGGGTCCAATGGCAAATGAGGCGTTCGTTGCACGCTGGACGTAGCACCCGCCTCACTTCGGTACACCCTTGGGCATCTATCAAACGCAAGGTGCCATTATGGACCAGCCACTCTCAAGTCCTGGTGGCTGGGAGAAGCTGTCGTTGCATCCACATCCCGCCAGTGCTCCTCCCGCCGGTGGTCTTTACCGGCCTGCTGGTGGGGTTGTGGATTTGGTATGTCTTGGTAGACGCTTAAATTAAACGGGTTACTAACACGTCGGATTAGGAAATGCGTGATGATGGTGGTCTTCCAGAACAAGATCATCTACATGCCAGGGCTGCCGCCAAGCTCCCGCCGTGAGCGGATCGCGGACTGGGCCAGCATGTGTGGTGGCATCGAGTGGACCGAAGAGAGGACGGCGGCTGCCGATGGGACAGAGCTTGCTCTCGCTGTGGCGACCGTTCCTTTACCAAGAGGAAGACGTCCGGTCGCGGCAGTGTCGGAACCTGCCGCCGCTCATGTCTATGTCCTCTACTTTCAGGGTTGGCAGTCATGAGACCGGAAGCTCGCGATCCAGCACTGACAGGGTCCAGGGAACGCCTCATCGATACCGCCACGACTGCCCGACTTGTCTTGGGTTCTCCGTGCTGTTAGTGACAGCAAGGCCCCTGTGCTGGCGCCGATGGAGTTGACGTTTGTCTGCCTGAGTTACAGAGGGTACTGGACCTCACGTGGCCGCCCCTCAGAGCCCGGTCTTCGGCTCGACGCCGAGGCGGGCTGTGCGGTGGATCGCCGAGCACCACGAACGAGTCTTCGGGAGCGTCGGGACCACTCGCCCCATTTTGCTGGTTTGGGGTCAGAGCATCGGAGCAGGGGTCGCAACGAACCTCGCTGCGACTGGCCGGGTTCCTTCCAACATGCCGATCCGAGGCCTCCTCCTCGAAACCCCCTTTGTGTCAATCAGGGCCATGCTGGAAACCCTGTATCCCCAGAAGTGGTTACCGTACAAGTACCTGTGGCCGTTTCTCCGAAACCATTTGGATAGTTGGGGGAACCTGGGCCTGATCGCCCAGGTCTCAAAGGTAAACGGGAGCGGGGCTCCTATGGTGTTTATTCTCGAAGCGGATAGGGACGAGCTCGTCCCAAAGGAACAGAGCGACCATCTTTATCAGAGGTGCGTGGATCTCGGTTTGCCCGTTGAGAAGGGTAGTGTGCCAGTGGCATACCACCAACAGGCAATAGCTCGAGGGGATGGGAAAAAGCTGGCTGCCCAGGCCGTCCTGAAATTGGCACAAAATGCGCGAGACAACGGTTGAGAGCTTTTTTCACCCGATTATTGTTTCGAATTTCTTTTTTAGAAAATTTGGTGTGTGGCAACACCATTTTTAGCGGGTTGACCTAGAGCTGCCCCTGGCTATCACCCCTCGGAGGCGGTCCGATAAGTCAAACTTCGGTTCCGGCTAGGACGGGGACGAAAAGGAATACAACCCGACAAAAAAGGAGGCAAGCTGGGGGCCATGGTCATGGTCATACTTCGTACCAAGGGATGTAATCCCCAAAGTCGTTCCGGACAAGCCGCGTGAATTCTTTCCTGTGCGATTGCTTCGTTATGGGCGGCACGGTTCGAGCAGCCGTTTGCTCCGTGCTTTTCTTCTGCAGGGGTCTTCTCAACGTTGGGTCAACGTTGCGTGATCGGGTTGCCGCCTCCGTCCCAGGTGTGCAAATGTTAATTTTAAGCGGCGATCCACCTCGTCGCCAAGGCTTCAAAGTCTGGAGGTCTCACGAACATGGCCAATGCCTTGTCTTGAATCTGGAAGGTGTCAATTGGTCGAGATTTCCAAGTATCGATGAGTCGTCTCGAGGGATTTGATTCAAGTCAAGTGTGACGCATTCCATATTTTTCTTCACCAGCCCCAGCCTCGTCATCGCTTCAGCCTGCTGCTGCCTCGCGATGATCGGGTATCAAAAGTTCACATCGGGGTGAGTGTGCCTCGGCGTGTACTCGGTAGCCTTGCAGTGTAGCATTCCAATTTCTCAGCCTTTTCCAGAAAATCCAATTCACCCTGGGCAATTCCATCCGGCCTCGCCTAGCGTCAAGTCTCCACGGCATTGAGCACATGGAGACATGGAAAACCCCTAATCGTCCCGAACATCCCTGGTCTCGCACTGTCCGTTTTGCGACCCGGCTTGCTTTTCCGCCCCTTGTTAAACCCAGCCAACGATACGTTGCAAGGAGATCCCGAATTGCTTCCTGCAAAATTTCTTGCAGCTTACCTCAAAACGGTAAGCAAGTCAGGTGATTCCGTGTTGGGACAACGTTCCCCAGACCCAGTTTTACGCGTCGAATCACGTTGGATACTCTCTGCTGCCTTTTCCGGCCGCCGAGACAAGGTGTTCCACCCATGATGCCAGGCATCACTGCATTCACGGCTCCCTCCCAGCTTTAAATATGAGGGCCTGGTCTTCCCTTGCCGGAAATGAGATGGGAAAATTTTTAACCATCCTCGTTCGAGCTCACCCGAACTTCACTTATTAAAAGCGGTAGGTTGTCGCTCATCAGAACATCATCGGGCCATCGACACCTGATCTTTTCGTTATCGGTTTTTTTATCTCTTTCATTGTCTTGACTATCTTGTGTCGTGCATTGTCCTTTTTTACAACCCCTGTATCCCGGCATCACCCCCATCGCATCGATCGAACTATCGTGACCGACCGACGGCCCCACGATCCCCGGACCGAGTTGACGACATCTTCGGGCCTCCGAGCCGAGTTAGTGGAGCAAGGAATACAGTACAAACGACCCCGGTGTAGTAGATCAAGATGTTTTCTCGTCGCTTCGAGCCGTCTCAGACAAAGAGTGTCTCCTCGAAGTCTGGAAGGTCCAGAAGGGCAAGCTCGTCCTTCAACAAAGAGGCCGGCATCTCTAAGAGGCCCGTTGAATCTGGTCGCCGCCGTGCCGGTACCATCTCCAACGCGGGTGCATCCGAGTCTGCCCTGGGGTAAGTCACCGTTCACCGGGACACGTCCTCGAGTAGCTCAAGGTGCTAACATGCCCCTGCTGTAGTGGTTCCATCTCGGCCATTGTTACCCTCGTCGTCGGTCAGGAGCAGAGGATCTTTGCTGCCCATGAGAACATCCTTGGCGCTTCGCCTTTCTTCCAGAGCGTCCTCAAGAACCAGTTGATGGACTCGCAAACCAAGAAGATCTCGCTTCCCGATGAAGAACCCGAAGTCTTCTCGTCCATTCTCGAGTTTCTCTACAAGGGCGACTACTACCCGCGGCTGGTGCACAACAAGAAGAGGAATTCGTGGGAGTTAGAGCAGGCTGGCGAGGATGGCCGGTCCGAGGCTACCGTTTATCACCACAGCGTCGAGGGCGAGCTGCTGAAGGACACGGCCATCTACTGTGCCGCTGACAAGTACGGCCTGGAGGAACTGAAGCGCATCTCTCTGCGAAAGCAGGGTCTTCGTAAGTCAACTCTTTCGAGTCCCTCATTGCCCGCGGTCTTGCTGACCAAGTAAAACAGAGTCCGGCATCCAAGCCAGCACCATCTTGGCCTCGGCTCGCTACGCCTACGCCAACACGCCCGACACCGACTCCAAGCTCCGGGCCCACTACCTCGCTCTCATCATCCGCAGCCGCAGCACCTTCAAGCGCAGCGGCACCATGCAACTCGAGATGTTCAACGGCAACACTCAGCTCTTCTTCGACCTGTTTGTTGCCCTGTGCAACCATGTGGATGACATCTCGAGCGCTGCGTAAGTTGCTGCCGTTTTCCTCGCCAAATTACCTTGACACTAACAACGCATTGTACAGCAGCACGCCTCGGACTCCTCGCAGCGGCCGCCCCTTCTAGGCTTAACCTCTTTCGCCACACCCCTTTTTATGCGGAACGATTGATACCCAACCTCTCACCAACACCACATGATACCTGCCCCCTAACGGCGTTCTCGACTCTGCGATGGATGATGCTTCATACCCCGGCCTCTTCGATTCTACAACTCATGCATACGACTTTTTTCAGTACTAATACGGTCTAATTTTTCTGGTTTTCGGCTTGGGCATAGACGTTTTCCATCATCGTTTTATGATTTTGGCGCATTGGGGCGGGTTTGGTTGGGTCTATTTCCTTTTTTTCCCAGTCTCGTTTTGCATTGGAGTTTGTCTCGTTTTGCTTTCTCTTATTGTCTTGCAAACCTCAAACTTGTACCAACAGCATACCCATACCCTGATGACACGACCCTTTGGTGGCGGAGGATTTCTCGTTTTGGCAGTTTCTGATTTTCATTGGATTTCACGTTGGAAAAGATGATGACTTACCCCTGCTTGGGAGATGCCGTTTCTTCCACACGGTTGCTTTCACGGGCATGGGTTTTCTTTTCTAGGTGGATATCTCATTTTACAATCTATCTTTCACGGTGGCGATTCTATCAGACTTGTTGAGCCTGTCGGTGGATACTGGATATGGGGAAAGGGAGATCTGAGACAATCTTTGCTTCTCGCTCTCGTTCATCACGCGTTTCGAGCTAATTTTTTTGAGGCATGTCTCGGAAGAGGCATCGCCCAAGGAGGAAGATCCCAACATCAAAATCTGGTGCTCATTCTCTCGCTGCAATACTACCAAGCAACCAGCAAATCCCTGTCCCAATCTTGAATGCCCTGCCGTGCCAAAAGCGTCGTGCTCGCCTGCAACCACTTTCCATCTCAAAACGGCCGTCCACCCGGCGAGCCCGTGGAAACGAAATCACAGTCCCACCGACCCATCCTGACGGATCGGGTGGGTCCTAAACGCTAGCGTCAAATGTGAAAACCACCGCACCGGATCGGTCCCCGGGTCAAGAATCTGTGACACCTTGTCCGAGCTGGGAATATCTTCAGGGGTTACCGTCTTGGCTTTTGTCACGATTTTTCAGGTCATTTCCGTTGCAAAAAAAAAATCCAAAAAAGATCTTCGGTTCCATGTTAGAAACGGAAACCGCGAAAACCCATCAAGTCAGTGTCAGTCAATCAATCAAGAAAGGAGAAGACGGCCCGGCTTTGCCGTCCTGAAACGGTGCTTCGAAACAACCCCCAAAAAAAGAGAGAACCGAAATATCTCGGTGATCCGAACAAGAACAGGACGGGTGGGTATGTGTCCAATGTCCAATGCCCAATGTCCAATCCCAATCCCCAATCCAAGGACCATCCACCATCCCGTGTGTGTGTGTGGTGTTTGTGCGAGTGCCACCACGGCCGGCCGGGGAACCACTTCCAGTGCGACCAGCCGACGGAGCAAGCAATCAATCAAGCAAGCAAGCAAAGCGAGCAAAGCACCCTGCGTGAGTCACTTTTTCACACGCGCCTGAGCGCGTCCTCGGCACATTGCATGGGCGGCAGGGGTGCGCGAACCTCGCCCGTGTGCACGTGTGAGGTGAGTGTGTGAATCCCCCTCGGGCCCCCCTGCGTGGGTGCCTGCCTGGCTGCGGTGGGTGGTGCTGTGTGCATCTGTGCGGATGTGCGTGCTGCCCCCTTCAGCCGTGGCGGGCCAAGCACGCCGGAAACGGGAAAAAGTGCGGGGGAGGAGGGGGTGGGAATGGGTTTCTTGATTGTGGTCGGTGCAGTGTTCCTTTTTTGAGTTGGTTTGGTGGAAAAAAGGCCAGGCGAGCCAGGGCGGCAGGGGAATGTGAGGCGAGGAAAAGGGGCGATGTTTGCGTGCGGTTGCTTGATTGGGCGTTTCTAGGGTAACCTTGACTGCGATTTCTTGCCGTGCATGCAGCCTGCGGTCAGCCATTGTGAATCATGAGATTGGTTGGGCCAATGCGAAGAAAACGGACAAACAACAAGCCCTCGTCTGGCAGTGGTCGAGTCAAGCTCGAGGTTTCAAAAGGGTATCATCAATCTCACGCAATTTGGGAGCAAACTTTGGCTATCTCGATACATGCTGAAGCGACCGTTTTCGACGGTGCATATAACCAATCCACCCATTGTTCCGTCGGATTCCGAGTTGCGGCACCAGACAAATGAATACACGGGAACAAACCTTCTCGTCTCCGGCGCTCCCGTTCTGAAAGATCGGCGAATTGACCAATGCGCAGGGGATAAAAAGCCTGCTGTCGGCTTCCGCCAACGCAACCCGCCCCCTCACACATTGGTACCAGGGAAAGCCCCGGACTTGCTCAACACGACAATGCCATGCTGTCGGGAGATGTATCCCTTCATATGGCCCTGAACGGCAGTCAGCAAAATGACTCATTGCTGGGGCAACAGGTTGCACCAATCGGGTTGTTTGCATCGCGAGTGACGCCGGCTTGGACCCCGAGGCAGAGATATGCCTGACGAGGCAGAAGTCGACGTCAGGCATCGACCATCAATGGGATGGCGATCTTCTGGCTCCGGTCGGCTGCAGCAAGAAAGGGGGCCAAACTCTTGATCGGTGCTGGAAAGAGGGGAAATTCTCCCGATGAAGTCATCACGGAAGATTTGACTCACTTTGTAAATCATGTTGGCCAACAAACACTCGACCTCATCATTGTCGATCTTTTCCTGACTGCCGAGGCTGATGGCAGCGGCAAACTCGCTCACCGGCACGCGAGTGCGGCGAGCCGGCTTCTCTCCTTCCTTAGCCGCTTCGAACCCACGAGCGAGGAAAACCTTCCGTAGTAGATTTCGAAGCGCAATGTCTCGACCACGTTCCAAAGTGAGGTAAATTCGGCGTTTGACAAATTCGTCTTCGCCTTCCTGCAGCGCTAGATCGAACTTGTGCAGCTCTCCCCTTTTGATACATTGGCAGAGAGGCAGGAAGAGCTTCTGGAGCCTCGGGAACCGCTCCAGCAACTCTTCTGTAGGGAGTGTGTGACTCTTGATGAGATGGCACGGAATAAGGTACGTCAAGATCAACCTTGTTTGCATGTTAGCAAGCCGGTAGCAGAACCCAACCAAGGATATGTACTCACTCCTTATTCCTCATTGCGTCCTTATGACAAAGATTCAGTGCATCAGTCAAGCACTGCTCTGCCTAAAAGGAGTCAGCATTGGCCCTTGGTGATTAGGCTATCTTGACAATAGGCCATACCAAGACGTAGTTCTCCTCCAAAAAGGCTAGGACACCCTCGTGGTATTTGAAGGTGACTCGCTGAGATTTGGGAAAGGCCGAGAACTCGGGCATATCTCGCCCACCTGCTCGGAGGCTGTTGAGTATATTCTTGGACAGGGATGCCGAGTTCAACTTGAAGTACGTCTTAAGAAGTAGATTCGCGATATAGTAGCTTCCCCACTTGCGTGATTCTTCAAGTGGCGCCCTGGGTTATTGTGAGATAGGAACTCCACGGGTTAGGATGATGCGCTTACCGATCTGTCTGACAGACCATGAAGACTCTTGACAGGACTCTCGCGCAATCCTCCAACTTTTGGCGCTTGTTGGTTTCTGGGTCAAAGTCGTCCTGGAGGGCTGCTGCAGCATCGTCGAAAGAGCTGTTGTTATTCCGCTCTTTGTCTGCTTGCATCGCAAAAATACGCAGGTGATTGCACACCACGTATAGGCAAGGGATAGTCCATGCTTCGAATCCCCAGCTCTGGTACCCCCGCAGGAGGACATTCAATAGCTCTGTCCAGGCCTCGTAAACCTTGGTCCATAGCAAATCTGATGACTGTATCTCTGTTAATATTGGCGAACAAAAAGATAACAAATCTGGGAAATCTGGTTGCGAGGGCGAGGACATGGGAAAACGCTCACCCTACTACTGTCACTGTTCGACTCGCGCGCTGCCAACATCACTCCTGTTGCACTCCAATATGCCGCGTACACCTCTACCCAGCCTTGAAGTTCCTGATGATCAAGGCCAACAGCCGGCGCATTCAGTCCGCGCTTAAGTGCGCCCTTGATACTGTGAGCATTCTGGCTCTTGCAGATATTCCTGAGCTTTTCAGTCGAGATATCTGGTGATAATGTTTGAGCGAGCTGATAGCCGTCTTGCTTTGAGAAGATATCGAAAAGCTCGTTGAAAAAAAGCGCATTAAACGCCATGGCGCAGAATACGGAAGATGAGAGGGCCAGGTAGTGGTGGGTGCGGTTGGGAATTGAGAGCGAGGGTTTGTGTGACAGGACTCGGGTCTGCCGTTGTGGTTGTTGATGATTGTAGCTGATGTTGTTGCGTGCGCTGAGCAGTGATTTATTTACGGTTAGTTACGAGTACACTTGGGATGAATCAGCTAGATCGAAGGCAGGCATAGAACTGCCCACTAAATTAGGTCTCTTAATGCAGGGATGCGAATGAGAGCTCTCACATTGTGAGATGAAGCTTTGGGCAGCGGGTTTCATTTGATTGGCGTCAAAAGCTTCGAGTCTTTGCATGCTTCCGCGTTCAGACATCCCCACAATCTGTGGCGGTGCGGATAAAAAGCACCGCCACATAGCCACCAGGAGACTTGGCAGGCTTGGTTGGCCCAAGCGCCTTGAGCCCTAAACCAGGCGCACCCAAATTTTTCCTGCTTTCGCGATCGCTAATTCAGGACTCGGACAGCACACCCAACGACTTCGTGATTTGCAGCGGGAAACAATCACAGTAAGTCCCGAGTACCTACAGAAACCTATTATCGAAGAAATCTCTAACGGTGAACCAGATGGGTAAGCAATTTCTTTCTGCTCTTCGTGGTGCCATTGCATTGCCGGCGAGGATTCGAACATCGACGACCCCACGATCGATATTAGACGGGAAACGATGCCGTGACTCGACCAACAATTCTGCGAACCGAGGGATTCAACGACCGGATATGGTGGATTAACGGGCCCGGGAGGATGTATTAAATGGCATGGATTGGCTTGGATGGAACATATCCCCTGGCCGACCAACAATCTTGACCTGCCAATTCTCTAACACCATCAGCCGGCGGTGCTACTTTTACGACAGCCTTCTTCTTCTGCGCTGCGGCCCATCTCGATAAAAGTCAAGACATACTGACATCATGTTCCAGGTCGTCTTCAGGAATACCAGGTGATTGGGCGCCATTTGCCCACGGAGGCCAACCCGACCCCCAGCATCTACCGCATGCGCATCTTTGCGCCGAACCAGGTCATTGCCAAGTCCCGTTTCTGGTACTTCCTTCGCGGTCTCCGCAAGGTCAAGAAGGCCACCGGTGAGATCGTCAGCGTCAATGTGGTATGTGCAGCTGTATCGCGGTAGGACATGGGATGGAGCGCTGACAAGTCGCTAGATCTCCGAGAAGCACCCCCTGAAGGTCAAGAACTTCGGCATCTGGATCCGCTACGACTCGCGGTCAGGCACCCACAACATGTACAAGGAGTACCGTGAGACCTCGAGGACCGCTGCCGTCGAGGCTCTCTACTCCGACATGGCCGCCCGCCACCGTGCCCGTTTCAGGTCGATCCACGTATGAACACCGCACACCTACGATGGCTAGCCCGCAAGTTATTAACATAGAATTAGATCCTCCGCGTTGTCGAGATCGAGAAGACCGAGGATGTCAAGCGTCCCTACCTCAAGCAACTCCTCACCAAGGACCTCTCTTTCCCTCTGCCCCACCGCGTTCCCAGGATCAGCAACAGCAAGATCTTCAGCGCGAAGCGCCCGTCCACTTTTGCTTGAGGGGTTTCATGGTTGTGGTTGGGGTGGGCAGGTTCTTCAGGTGTTCATTAAGGAAAATGGGATATCCTGCATTTGCTCCCTAGGACGAGCATGAAATGAATAAATGGCCAAGCACGGGTTTCGCGTTTGTTTTGTGAGCAAGCCGATCGGTTTTTTTTTGGCAGCTGTGTTTTGCCGGGAATTGGCGCTGTGGTCGTATCTCCATTTGCCCTTCCAATCTGACGGCACACCTCAACTTGCTAGGAACTATGAGAGCAGAGAAGGCGTCGACCTCGGGCCGCGCTGTAAGCGGTGTAGCTTTAATGCTGCGTGGTTCGAACTGGTCACTAGATAGACCCGCGGCCAAATTGCCCCGAGCCTACTGGGTAGGGAGTCGGTCATCAAGTCCCCCAGGCAGGACCCTGCATCCCCTACTCCGAATAGGGAAGCTGGATGGTCGTACGGGGCTTATTGTCGCAACGAGGGGAAGTCGTGAGTCATTGAAGCTATCCCTGACACGAGGGATACGAGCGGCGAGGCCGGCTCGTTGTCTGCTGTCTCCTTCATTTTACGTTCTCTTTTTCATAAACTAGACACACCAGCCTCACTCTCCTTTCTCATCTCTCAAGCGCCGCCGTACTATCTCATCCGTAACCGACCTTACCCAACATCTCCACTCAAGAATCATCATTACCCCACGCCATGTCTACCACCGTAGAGGCCTCATCCGCCCCATCCCGCCCCGCCCCGGGCGCGGAGCCGGACCCGGCGATCTTCGTCCGCGTGCGCACCACCCTCCCGCGCCGGCCGCTCCCGCCCAACGCCACCCGCCAACCCATCGTCACGGAGCGCCTCATCCTGCGCGTGCTCACCATCGAGGACCTCCCCGCCATCTACACCCTGCGCACCCAGCCCGAGGTCATGCACTGGACCGCGGTCGGCCTCCCCGACCAGACCATCGAGGAGTCCAAGGCCAAGCTCGAGCCCTTCCTCACCCCGCGCGACGAGGGCACCTTCAATTTCGCCATTTGCGACCGCGCGTCTGGCGATCTGATCGGTCTCGGGGGCTGTCACAATTATCGGTCGAGCCTCGGCTGGCCCGAGGTTGGGTATATGATCCGCAAGGAGTACTGGGGTCCGCGGGCTGGGGACGGAGTTCTTGAGGGGCGTGGCTGCCGGTGTGGAAGCGCGCTGGAGAGGGAGGAGGTGGAGGTGGAAGTTGATGCGCGGACGGTGGATGAGGAGGAGAGAAGGAGGAGGGCGGGGATGGGACGGTGAGAGAGCGGTTGATTGCGATTACGAGCGAGATGCGAACGATCGGAGCCAGGGGGTGTTGAAGAAGGCAGAGTTTGAGTGGTTCCTTACTTGGGTGACGAAAGACTCGAGGAAGGGGACTGGACCGGATCTCATGATTGAGTTGCCTTCGTATAGGTTCTTTGTTGGGGGGAAGAAGGTGGAGGGAGGAGAGGTGACAGCTTAGGCTTGTCGCTTCTTTTCATTTCTTACTCCGGATACGGTAAGTTCGGTTTTGAGGATCTTTTGTCCAGTCACTATTACTGTGTAGAAGCGAATAGGCATCAAACCCAATTCTAAGTCCGTAACACAGTCTCGATGGGATAAACTACGCGAAGCCAAGCAAATGACATCACGGAATCATCCCCTTCAACATTTTTTATTTTATTTTAATTTTGCACAAATCGGCCAAGCGCATCGGCCAAAGAGATTTGAATTCATAAAAATAAATTACGCTACCATGATACGCAAGTGCCGCCCCCAAATTCTAAGCAGCCTTGTTACAATTGAGGTCGCCAATTCTGCCTTTGGATGAACCTGCTCGTCGCAACGGGAACAAACGGCAAGGCTGCACTGGCTGCACGTGTCAACTGCTTATCCGCCAACAAGCAACGAGCACACTTACCAAGCCACCTCGGCAAGCTTCATGCACACCAAAAACTAAACTTGGCTGCTTGGTTGCGTCAAAATGTCGGTTGGTTTCGCATGTTGGTGCAGCGCCGCTCGATGCCGCAGCAGGACCTCCACTGCCTCCGGAAGGGACGACGTCCCACCTGTTGCTGCATGTTCAACCCAACCAAGCCAACCACGCCAACCATCAACGGCTGGGTGACTCAAATCTGCCTGGCATTCAACCGATGCACCATTCAATCAACCTCGTTTTTTATTCTCGAAGCCTCGAAGCCTCTTTTTGGATTGCGCGTGTCTGCCCACGTTCCCTTCCAAGACACACCCAGATCCGCGCGGCAGCCTAGATCTTGGATCGGCTAACCATGCAATCGGAAGCCGGTTCCAGGTTTTAAATGCTGATGAACTGCTGCCCGCCCACAAATCGCGAACCCCTCCTTCGACCATCGTATCACCCCACGTTAGTAACGAGCCGTTGTTGGCCTGGGATCATGGCTGCTGGCCATTGTCACTCATCATCAACAACAACACATGTCCAACCGCTATGAGGTTATCCTTCATCCCACAATGGCGACCACATCAGACGAAACGAAGAAGGACGGGAAGGCTTTCTACGGCTATCTGTTTACCAAGGCGAAGCCAATACCAGCTCCAACTCCCGTCTTTGATGCGCTCTTGAGAGCTATTGCGCTACATATTGTTCGTGCACTCCAAGAAAGAGCAAGATCCCCCTACCAAGCCATATGCTAACATGAGTATTTAGACTACCGAACTCGGCGACAAAAGTGAAGCCCACTTGACCCCTGGGAAGCTGGCTGCCTTCTACAAAACTGCCGGCCATGATTGGGATTGTAAGCTGCCCCTCCTCCTTTAACCCGTATCACGGCACTAATCACAAGTTGTGTATAGCTTTCTTTAACGACATGCCTCATACGGGTATCTCCACGGTCTACCAGGGCCTGGGCTGCCAGCACTCCCTTTTGCCGAGTGTCGACGACTTCGCTGCGCCCTCAGTCCCGGCCCTGACCACCAAGGGATTCGTGCACTGGCAGACGATCCAGACCTTACTCGGGCCCCAGGAACAAGTGCCGGTGCTGCAGTTTGCCGCGGCCCATTGGGCCCTGAAGCATCCTGACACGGGAACTCCGCTGCCCGTGGACCTTCCAAAAGAAGCGTTTCCGTCCGAGACTGACTCTGAAACCGATCGCTGGTATCAGGAGTGTGCGCAAATAGCGCGCTCTAAGGCGGTTGCAGAGGAGCAAACGGACGTTCCGAAGGAGGCCCCCAAGCCCGAAGCACCCAAGTTCGATGCACCCAAGCCTGAGTCCGCCGACCGCAAGGTTCCTTACACGCATGTTCGTATGAACTCATCAACGCCGCGTGATTACTTCGCTTCACGCCCGGTCAACGTTGCCTACGTACACATTCCATCTCCTCGCGCTACACCAACTGGACGCTCCCCTGAGCGGGACCGAGTTCGGGACCGGGGGGAACGTTTCGTTCGCCGTCAGGCGACGCCAGCAGAAGAAGCTGCGCAACGACGCCGGAGCTTTTCCGACTACCCACACTCACCACAGGAGGCGCGCCCCGTGCGGGTGCCTCGCCCCGCTCCCGAGCGCGATGCACAACGCCGACGGCATAGTCATCCCCGACACTACAGCAGCTCATCCGACTCAGATGATGCGTCCGTCAGCCCTCGGGCTGCTCCGCGGCGTGTCCAGCGGTCAAACGAGCCACCGCCGATCACTGTCCGCCGTGTTTATACGGGCAGCTCTGAGGACTCACCACGTGTTATCCGTACCACGATGGCCCCGCCCCCAATCCCGCCGTCGCACATGCATTCTCCTCGCCCAGCAACCAGCAGCCGCGCGCCGAGCCGCGAAGAGACCAAACGGCGCAGCGCTCTCTACGACATCAAGGAGAAAATATCTAACTTTATCAGCCCATCCGCCGAAGACCCCGCCAGGGCGCGCAGCGTAAGTGGCTCGCGGGGGAGGCGAGACGGGCCGTCCGGGTCGGCGAGGGGTTCGAGAGAAGATATCATCCCCAATTCAAGACTGAGCCGGTCATGGTCCGAAATCGACACCGACGACACGGACTTGGAAGAAGAAAGGAGGCGCCGTAGCAGACGACCTTCACGAGAAACCCGGGAACCGCATCGCGAAAAGGACAGAGACCGCGAACGCGAACGAGACCGAGACCGAGACCGAGCGGCGCGCGACCGTGAGCGGGACCGCGAGCGAGACAGGGACCACGGCAGAGGCCGCACGGAGCGCCCCTCCCCCCGAGAGCGCGACAGGGCCCACAGCGACGGCGACCGGCACCGCCACGAGCGGCGCGAAAGAGACCGGGACCGGGACCAACCCCGAGACACCATTCTCAACACCCCCCCAAACACCCGGGACCGTCTTGTCCCCGTCCCCAGCCCCGCCGCCTCCGCCGCCGCCTCCGCCCTGCACCGCGACACCAGCGCCAGCAGCCTCAACCCCCCCATCTCCATCTCCTCGGCCGCCGCCCCGCGCCGCCGCGGCGTCTCGGACGAGGACCTCTCCCCGACGCGCCGCCGCTGGGGCCGCGGCCCCTACCTCACCAGCGCCGTCGACGGCGACCACCACCACCGGCGGACGAGCAGCCACGCGGATCTGGACCGGCTCGATGGCAGCGGTCGGCGGTGGGGCGGCAGCGGTGGCGGGGACTGGGAGCGTGTTGAGCGGGGGCCGCCGCATAGGGAGACGGAGCGGGAGTTGAGAGAGCGGGATCATCGGATGCGGGAGAGGGAGAGGGAGAGGGAGAGAGACCGGGACAGGGACAGGGACAGGGAGAGGGAGAGGTTTAGGGAGGAGGGTGGGGAGCGGTGGCGGAGGGGGGATGATCGCGTGCCGCGGGAGAGGGAAAGGGAGAGGGATAGGGAGAGGGATAGGGATCGTGAGAGGGAGAGGATGCCTAGCCCGGCTATGTCGGGAGCGTCGGTGACGGGGGTTGGGGGGAGGAAATACCCCGATACCATGTCGTGGGTGAGGGATTGAGGGGCTGTCTGGTTGTGTTTATCTATAGAAGGCTAGGGGTTGGGAGAGGGCATTATGGTGATGGTGTGATGAGCGATGACGGAATGACAGGATTTCGAGGCCATCTCATGGGATTGGTGGTATAGTCTTACAAATCACTGGCGTATGGAGAAGGGAGCGGTATGTGGGCACATATAGCTAGCTACTCTTTTTCGGAATATAATCCTTCCTCACCTCACCTCGTCTCGTCTCGCTTCTTGAACCGTTCAAACTTTAATACCTAAATCTTCAGATGCCTGTTCCGCGGTAGGTTTGCTGCGCCATTGGCATGTAGCTAGCCGTCTCTTTTACCACTCACCTCAGCAAACTAGCGCTCTTTCTCCTGCTGAGTGAGACGGGGGATCAGTGCACTTCCGGGGGGGGGGGCTCGGATCCTAAACCTAGCCACGTCGAGCGGAACATCCCCTCTTACCCGACCTCTCGGAATGGACAAGGAAATCAAAGGAAGGGACGCGTCATTACCGCTGCCCGAAGACGGCGACGGATGGTAAAGGGATTGGTCCTTCTCGCTCCTTTTGATGGATGGTTGGGCTGGCCGGTCCCCCCCTCGCCAGCAATCAGTCAAAGCAAAGCACTGGACCTCGGCATTCCGTCTGGTAGGTTTGGGCAAACATCCAGGCCGCCAAAACAGGCCGTTCCGGGGTTCACTCCCTTTCGCACCCCGAGATTTGGGGTGTGGATTGGCTCCTGTTAGCTGCTGCTGCTGTGTCGTGGTGGTGGACTGGTGGTGGTGGGGGGTTTGGGGGGGGTTCGGGAGAGTGCCACCGCCGCCGCCGCCGCCCGTCCGTCCGTCCACGGATTAGGCAAGCAAGCGGATCCGCGCCGTCTTGGTCTTGGGGGGGTTCTGTGCCCTATTTTCCCATCTCCGTGGGCCGCCTGACGAGGCCGGGTGCGGCCATGTTGGGCGGCCCAAGCCTAGGCTAGGGAAATCCCTCGAATCTGACGGGGGCTCCGCTTTCCCGGTGGTAACCGCGGGTATCGAAATGAGAGAGGGGACACGGGGCCGTGCGGTTCCCAATGGATCTACTCCGGGTAGGGAGCGGAGAGCGAGATTGCAGGGTGGCAGTAGCCCGTTTTGAAGGGCTGCTGCGCTGCGCTGTGCTGCCGACGTGGAAGGTTGCCAGCCGGCGGGCGGGTCGGAGTGGGTGGCGTGTTGCGTTACAACTAGGGCCGGTCAGTGTCGGGAACGGAGAACCAAAACGTGCCTTGACCCGGATTGTTGTCCGGCCGGTCCGGCCCTCGCTAAGCAGGCAGCTGGGTTGAGTTAGCGTTGGAGCTGGCCCGATGGACCGGAGCGCACACACTGCGGCTATGGCACATGCATCCGCCACGGGCAGCGGGCAACGAGCAGCGTCCCAACAGGCGGGTTAGCAAACATGGAAACAATGAACGGCGGCGCAGCCATGCGTTTCGCTGGCACAGCTGCCCAAACTTGGGGCTTCGTTTGTCAGTAGACGCCGGTGGCTGGCAAAAGTAGCCCCCCTCCCGCGCCCGCAGGCACGTTTGTTTCCTGCATCAATTCGCCGGTGCGTACCACCGCCCTCGGTTGCCGTTGTTGGAGGGTAGGCCGCCGCGAGTGCGGCCATGGCCGACGGAGCAACCAAACCTCACCGTGGCACGCTGATTGGACGGCGACTGGTAGGCGCCCATGCACACCGCCAGTCGAGCCATATTAATGGGCCGTCCGAGCTGTCGAGCTGCGGTCTTTAGAGATTGTCGATAGGCAATGACGGAGGATGGACGTGGAGGAGCGGTCGCAGACTTGGCCGATGCTTCGGTCTCCAACTGTTGCCCCCGCATCAATGGAATCCTGGTGAGGGCGGGAAGGCGGGAAGAGTAGTACGAGTACGAATGAAGAGATACGACTGGAAGAGGTGACAATAGCAAGTAAATATCCGAGGATGAAGATGCAACCCACGAATAGGTCGCATTGCGGTTCAGTCAATGCAGGCCTGGATGTCCGCTCCTACCTGGCTTTTCTGGTCTGGCTTGGTTGGCGTTGGTTGTTGATTTCCTGAACGTGCATAAATTGTCGGTCAACTCATGCCCGAGATGTGGCTCTTGGCCACGCCAGTACAATCAAAAATAGCAAAACTGGGCGATGCCATCGGCTGGGGGACCAGTGCGGCCCACCACGAAGTTGCCCTGAGCGAGCTGGGTTCCTGACGCGCAGAAGCGAGAGCCAGGCCAGAACCGAGATAGCTCGCGGCAAGTCATTCTGCGGGGTGAGTTTCGAAACGGCTTTCTCCGATGGCTTTATTGGCCCAGTGTTCGACTTCATTCGCTGCAATTTTGGGATAAGACCAAGGCAGGCAAGGTTTATCAAAGTGTAACCTCGAGTCTTGGAAGGTTGTTTGGTGTTGAGAAGCTGGAACCAGACGCAGCGTGGGCCATCTGAGCTGTTAAAAAGTGGAGATGGGGGAGTGGATCCCGAGGTCTTTGTGTGTGAGTGAGGAAAGCGCAAGTTTGCTGAAGACCTTGAGGCGCAGTTGTGACTTTTAGTAATATTCGTGGAAGAGACAGAAAAAGAAGAAGAAGAAAAAGGAAGAAAGGAAAACAAAGAAAATAAAACACTGTAGCCTAGCCAGGGTTGGGATACACCTCCCCTGAGCTCCCTGAAATAAACGAATGAGCCCCCCAGTTAGTCACTGACGAACTCCCACAAGATCGACAAGAAGGCGGCGTGGCTGCGGAGGGGCCGCTCAGGGCCGTCAGGCGGGTCAGCCGGGCGGGTCCACATGCTGTGGACTCCAGATCTCCCGGGGATATCCACTTCGGCTGGCAGCCACCGAACAAAGAGCCAACCGAACAGTCCCGATGCCGATTCCACAAGGACCTCCGGTGCAGTTCAGGCAAGCCTGTGAAGCCACCTTCCAGTCAAGTGACCATGTGCATCCTAGCTATGTTTTAAATATTTTGATGAGAAGGGCACATGGCTTGTTTGTGGCGTGCTCTGAATTACCCGCTCGTGGGTGCATCGGCTTCTTGGGATGACGGATGACACAATCGCGAATCCAGACCATACCTCTTCAAGAACTTACTGTGTCTGTAGTTATGTATGTACCGAACTATGTTTGTAAACGTGAGGTGCACGTTTGCACCTTTGTTGAGCACATGTGAGCTTAGGCCCTCACTTGCAAGCAAAGCGCCCGACAGACCGAACTCGGCCTGCTGAGTGAGTGTCCCAGGCATGTTCCTGACCAGTAGTCTCACCCGCCATAGAATTGCACCTCTCCACAGCCCAGCCAGTCAACCGGGCCACGACAACTAGTGGGCTTTTGGGAACCTGTCAAAACGGTTCCCCTTTCAGTTATTTTTTTTTTGTCTCCCAACACGCTACACCCCGGTCTAGACTATTGGGCCCGCTCTTCTTTTAGCTTCCCTCACCCTTCCAGTCCCGCGCGCAACAGTTCCCCAGCCAGTCAGTCCATGCGACTTTTCAGGGATCTCCTTCGCAATACCGACCACCCGCTTCCTGATCCAGACCCCCCGCCACGACCCGACAGCCAACCCCGGAGACCAACCCCGGCCTTGAGACACAGCCCAAGAGCCTCGTGTCCTACATTAAGACCATCCAAGATCCGCCGGGTCCGTAGACCCCAAAATTCCTCTCTTCTCAACTACGCCGCTCCTTCCCTCCACAACCTCAACGCCTGACCGCGTCCCGCCTGCCTGTCGCGCGCGGCGCCGATCCGGACGATAGGACCAGACGAAACCCTCTCCAGCTCTCACCGCCTCATCCCATTCCCGACCTCCCCTCTCCCTCCACAAAAGGCTCTTTGACTGGAGCCAAACAAGGACAGAGGCAAGAGTAACACCGGGGCTCCTATATCTGCATGCTCCGCGGGGACTTGCACTCAACCAATCTTGCCCTGCCCAGTTCTCTCTCTGCGCCCCGACACCAAACTACGCGCAATCCTTGCAGCGAGGATAAAGAACCGCCAAAATGAAATGCCGCCCTATCGAAACACTCGTTTACGAGTACATGTTCCCGAAGCCCCGGCAATCGGACCCCCAAAATTTCCAAGCCCTCCTCCAGAGGTATCTGATTCTCGAAGTCCGGCAAGAAACACATTCGTTCTACGGCCACTTGGATACGCCCGAAGCGAAGTATCCGGGCCTCGACTACACGCACCCGATTCACCGCATCCGCCTCAGCAGGTGGCCGTGGCACCGTCGCCTCTTCCGTGCGCTTGATGGCCTGCGCTTGACGTCCGCCGAAATCTCGGGCCTGACAAAATGGGAAGGCACAAAATGGGCCAAGGAACGATTTGAGCGGGACCAGGGCATTCTTATCCGAGACACCACGGCCGACGGGTTTCCGAACTACGCCGACCCCGACGACCCCTACTCTGCCCAGTCGCAGCGCGGCAGATCGGAGGAGACGGAAGGACCGGTAGAACCGGAGGACGGAATCGAGGAGGAAGATGACGAAGATAATGAGGAAGAGAACGAAGAAGACGAGGAGGACGAGGAGAGCGACGGCGAACTGGAAAGCGTCGGGGTGGCTTTGAACGAGCGACTCCGACAACGGGTCGCCATGCGAAACATGTCCGGAGACAACACGATGCCGCTCGACGAGGAGTGGGAGAACTGGCTGAAACACGCCATAGAATCAGGCGAGTTGCCTCATGTGGCAGACCAAATTGCCAGGTTTCCGGGGCCGCACAGCACGCTCACCGCCGACGACATCTTTCCGCCGCGGATGATGGCCGCCGCGAGAGCCGGCCACTGGGACGAAATACCGGACTTCCTGCACGACATGATTCGGCAGGCTCTCCAATCGGGGCGCAGGCCTGTACAGTCGTCTGCGACAGCGAGCTCAAGCTCACGACCCTCGATCAGATACTCGAACGTCCTGAACACACTCACAAGAGTCGGCGTGTATCCTCCGCGTGCCGACGTTCGCCCACCAGAATCCAGCGGTCGGCGAACAACACAATCCGAGAGCCGACCTCAACAGACGGCGCAACCGGGGGCTTAGCACGCACGGGATTGGAAAACCTGGCGCAATACTTCCGAGACGATACACCTCAAAAAATTCACACCACTCACCAAAAACGCCTTGATTTTAATCGTATTATGGACTGGATCCAGCCTTGCAACAACGGCGTCGTTTCCCAAGCCACCTAAGTTAGGAGAGAGAATTTAGAAAAAGACTTAATCCTACCTCGCCATACGCGGGGACACTAGTGGATGGTTCTCCGCAAGGAGTACGGGACATTGGGAAAGGCCCTGTTTCGCATAAGGGAGCGGGCGGTTTTTATGGATTCTACTGAGAAAGGGTTAGGGAATGAATGGGAGGATACCACGGGCCTGGGCATTGGGATAGGGGTTAACTGATTGATACACGAACAAAACAAACAATTCAAACACGTACGCTCTCTGGCTGTCAACCAAGCTTATCGTGTGACGCTGTCTTAGGACGCCCAAGTATGCCCGGTTAAGAAAAGGTTGGAGGACGATGTGAATGTCATGGTGTTCCGGGTATACATATATTTAGATCATGTTTGGGAACGAAACGCTTGGCTATTGTATTGTGCCCCTCTCACAATTGCTGTAATCCTCCCTTTCTCTTGAATCCAGGAGACTTGTGCTTTTATGTAATCCCACGGTTGAGTGGGAGTGGCGGACGGCACGGAAGTTCCCTCTTGCCCTCTTAGCCCCCACGACGGCTGTTGACCCGGACGAAGTACCCGCCTCAGGCAGGCATGTGTCCGTCTCATACCTAATGCTATTTCAAGTGTCGATTATCCATTCTGGGGTTACACGTGCTGAGAGTCCGAATCTCAACGACACGGTTGAAGTGCGAGCGGATTCCGAGATCTGAGCCCCCTTTAACACCAGTCATCGTACTCGAAGCAAAGAGATGGTTTTGTTCATCGTCAACTCCAAGTAAAATGAGGCATCCTACGCCGCATTCTTTTCCCACTGTCCTAAGATACTTAGTACTACCCGCCTTAATCCCACAGTAGTGGTGTCGATGGCCGCTCCGAGCTTCTCACGGCACGGCCTCGGATTGTTGCTGATGTGTGTAATGAGGACAGCTGCCGGTGTTTTCAGGAGCGGTTGCCTGAAAAAGCCTCTTCGTTATATCAGTGATGGTGGCTTGGTATGGTAGTTGATGAAGCTTGATGATTGCTTACAAGAGTCAAACCCCATCCTCAATTTGCAGCATGTTGTGTCGGTGTCAACAACACATTTTCCCTTCCATCATCGCATCCTGGAGTGACCTTTCAACCTAGAAAAGTTGACTATGGAAACAACAGCAGGTTACTTCTCAACATTCTCGTTCGCCGACCCCGACCGCAGTAAACTCGACGCACAGCGTATACCGAAGAAGCGGAATCGGAGAGTGTGTGTCTGTCTCCCATTGTCACCGGCGGAAACTCAAGTGTGACAAAGGCCAACCTTGTTCGCGGTGCGTGCTGTCCGACTCTTCTGAGAAGTGTGAGTACCAGGCACCTCCGGCCCGGGCTAGTCAGAGCACCAGCGTAGAGTCCCGAAAGACTCCTCTACAAAGTGCCCGTTTGAGTCTGCAACCAGCAGGTGATCTGGCCTGCGCCGAGCCAAAGCCCCAGCTTCACGGGGTAACACACCAGCTTACCATCGCCTCCGAGGTAGGGGACCTCCTTCCACCTGTCCCATCCTAACAGCACTTGATAAGTCGAATCAGCAGCTGATGGATTCCGGATTCAGTTTCAAGAGGCCAGGCCATACATCTCTATCACCGACCCGGCCTGGGAGCCAACATACTTCACCTCGCTTTCCGGTTTCAACTTCCCTCTCAGGAGTCCATATTCCTTCGAAAACAGAGACCAAACCCTCCAACACCCACCCCCCCGCCAAACCGTCGACCAGCTCGTCGGGGCCTACTTCGAGAAGCTCGATCCCACCTACCGCTTATTCCACCACCCACAATCCACGCACGAACTAAACGATTTCTACACCGCCAGCACCCAATACCCCAACGGCCACTCCCTCCCCAACCCCCACCACCCTCACAACAACACCCCCCCTCTGCCTCGCCCTCCTCGCCCGCCTGCTCGGCCTCCCCGGCGCCGACACGTCCCCGCTGACCAGCCTGACAAGCATGCTGGACCGCGCCGCCAGGGCGATGCAGCTTGATAAAGCGTTCGTGGCCTCGCCAGAGGCGGGGTCGCTGGAGGCGGAGATGAGAGGGCGGGTGTGGACGGCGGTGCATATGCTTGAGTTGCAGGCGGCGGGGGAGGGGGATGGGTTGTTTGTGGGGGTGGGGATCGGGGGGTGGCGGTGCTGTTGGGGGTTGACGGTGTGGGTGTTTATTGTGGTAGGCATGGTTAGGTGGTGGGCTGGGGATGGGGGGTTGGTGAGTCGGGGTGGGTGATGCGGGCGCTGGAGGGAGTTGCGAAGTGGGTTGGGGGGGGGCGGGAAGCGGGTGTGGGCGTGGGGAGTTTGTGTGGGGTGGCGGCGGTGGTGGTGACTTGTGGGTGGGGGGTCATGGGCTGTTCAAGTCCGAGTCGGGCGAGTGATGCTGTCACGGGCTGGAGCTGCGAGGACGGTTAGTCCGGGGTCGTGTTAGTGATTTGGCGAGGCTTGGGGGGGTAGGAAACACAGAGAGGGAAGGTGAGGTACAGTCCCAAGCACCATGGCCAACTCGCGTCTAATTCAATAATGTACACATGTACAGCCTTGACATGAGCCTAAATAGGAAAGGAAATCTCTATGCCGTGGTTGCGACGTGCACGCAATAATACACCATGCCTGCCCGTTTGCGGGGCCGTCTCCCGCGATCCTCGGGTGCCAACGGCCGTCATTCTCGACGCAGTGCATGTTCTTTCGTCCTCTATCATGTCCAGGCGTCGTTCATTCGCCCTCCCGCACTACCCGCTCCTCGGGCGCTATGCCGAGTTCGGTCCAGTTGTCCCCTTTTCATCCAGCCCCAGCAGTCCCGGGCTCCCCAGATTATACCAAGCCGTAACTTATTTTTGGTTCATTATTCCCTCGATCAAGGCCTCGAGGTCGAAGTTGGGCGACGTCAGGTCTTGGCTCGCTGTAACGGGTTTTAGTCAACTACGTTATCGAAAATAAGAGCGAGGCGGAACTCACCCGCTGATGAGGCGGGCGCGCTGGCGCCGCTGGTCTGCTGCTTCGACTTGGCGTAGGCGTCCTTGGCCTTGTTTATTAACTGCTGCTTGTGCTCATACTCGCGCTGCGCCTCCGCCGCCTTCTGCGCCGAGTTGATGCTCCGTTGGTGGGAAAAACCGTAAAAGACGCCCAGACCGAGGACGGAATACCGGAGGACCTACGCGGGGCGCACCGTTAGCTGAGCTAATTCCTGACGATAACCGAGGTGTTGGTGATTTGTGCCGCAACAGCCTTCGACCTCAACCGCAAGCCCAGATCTTGCTTAAAATATCCCTTCCCATCTCTTCAACTCACGCCCAGCGGCAGAGGCTGGACTGATATAGACGTTGCAGGCCGGGGATTGCAGCGGTGTTGGTAGGTGGTGCATCCGTGGTACTTACGTTAATACCGGACTTGGACGACATTGCGAGTAGTAGATCGGGTTCCCGCGGCTTCTTGCGCTTCGGTTCGGGGCAGGGGCTCGTCGGGGGCAGGGGCCGCCAATTGAAGGTGTCAATTGATCCCGTGGCTTGTCGTCGTCGTTGGATCGGGTCCGGTTCGGTCGGTGTTTGGGAGTGCAAGTTTTGGGAGCTCGGAAATTCTCGCGGGTTGGACCCACTTTCACTTTGCTGCCCGCCGGGTGAGTGGCAGCAATCCCAGCTTCAAGCAACCTTTGGGCAGCGCTGTCGTGCGTTTCGCCAAGTCACCAGTCAGGTGATACGGTATACCCCGGTGTAATTACAGCGGGGAGTTACCCCTGTCGGTGTGGGAGGCGCGACGCGGCATGAGCACTTGAAGCCGTACCTTTTTAATGTGCATACAGTAGGAGTACCTGGTGGCGTCTGCAGGAACAACCCGAGGAAATCGCCAGTTGCTGCTTCTTCGTCGTTCTCTTCTTTATTTTCGCGCCGTTTGTTTACAGGATACCCCAGATCTCTGCGTTATTGAACCCACCGGGGACGACGAAAGATTTGGCATTCGATCGATCATTGACGACAACAAGCAACATCTTCCATCCCTCCAATACCCCGGTTGAGCCCTTAGATGGGCCTCGAGACTCAACAATATGCAGCACCGCCGGGATGAGATTCTCGCAAAAAAGGCGAAGCTCGCAGAGCTCAAGCGCCAGAGAGAACTTCGAGCGAGCCAGGCCAACCGCTCGAGTAGCACCCCAGGCGAAGTTGGTCACCCGTCGCAAACCTCGCTCGATGTTGAACTAACGGTTGGTTAGATAATCTCCCCAACGCCAAACCGAGCAGGCAGTCGGCGTGAGATAGAGACTCTCATCGACAGCCTTGTTCGTGAAAGCCGACCCGTTTCTGTTTCGACCGGCGCCGACTCCCCCGCACGTTTCGGCAGCAGGCCAAATAGCGTCCTCAGCGGAGGGGGACTCAGCGAGAACATCTCTGAATTTGCGGGCCCCGCGAATGGGCAGGTGGTCACTCCCCAACCCCAGGTGCTTTCCACCGTCCCCTTTAAAACGGTTTACGAGTGCCCCCCGTCGCCGATAAAAGAGGTGTACTCCTACAGTAAGGGAGTGCAGACAAGCGAGGAATGGACGACTCCAAGGAAGTCGCGGACCTGGTCCGAATCGGAAGGCGAGGAACCACCACCAATCACGGCATCGCCCAGCAAGCGGCTGAGTAGGAGGGAGCGGGATAGGGAAGAAGAGCTGCGAGAGAATATCCGGAAGGAGATCGAGGAGGAACTTCGGGCGGCCAAGGAACTTGTGACGGATGGCGTTCTTAAACCGTCCGCTGCGGCCAACTTTCCGGCTCGGGCCCTTAGCAGCGATGAGCTAAAGGCGGTTACGCAATCGGACGACTTCATGGACTTTATCGATAGGTCGACCAAGGTCATTGAAAAGGCGCTGGACCAAGAATACGACATCCTCACCGACTATACCCTGCAGGTGCACGACGTGGACGACGACGACGAGCAGAGCGGCAACACGGGGGGCAAAGGTCGGCGGAAAATCAGAGAGATCGCGCAATTTTACGACGAGCGGTGGTCCAAGAAGCGCATGGTCAGTGCTATTGACTTCTCGCCCAAGTTCCCCGAACTCCTCCTTGCATCCTACACCAAGAACCCTACCGCGCCCCACGATCCGGACGGCATCGTCCAAGTCTGGAATCTCCACCTGAACGACCGGCCCGAGTTCGTCTTCCACGCCCAATCCGATATCCTCACGGCCAAGTTCTCGCCCTTCCACCCGAACCTCATCATCGGCGGCGCCTACAGCGGGCAGGTCCTCCTCTGGGATACTCGGGCGCGGTCCGCACCCGTGCAAAAGACGCCCTTAACCGGCTCCGGCCACACTCATCCGGTGTACTGCGTCGACATTGTCGGTACGCAAAACGCCAACAACATCATCTCGTCCTCCACCGACGGCGCCGTCTGCGGCTGGAGCGTCGATATGCTGGCCCAGCCCCAGGAGGCCATGACGCTCTCGGCGCCGCCGCCCTCCAAGACCGAGGACCTCGCTCCGACGTGCATCGGCTTCCCGCAGGCCGACCCCACCTTCTTCCTGGTCGGCTCCGAAGAAGGGACCATCTACCCCTGCCACCGGTACGACCGCGCCGGTGCCAAGGCCGGCGTGGACACCCGCGTCAGCTACCGCGGCCACGCCGCGCCCGTCATGTCGGTCTCGTTCCACCCGGCGCGCGGGCCCGTCGACCTCGGCGATTTGGTACTGTCGGCGAGCTTGGACTGGAGCGTCAAGCTGTGGAAAGTGCGCGCCCCTGCGGCGACGTCGGCGGTCGCCGGCTCCACGGTGGGCGCTGCGGCTGGGGCCGGAGGCGTGCTGGGTGCGGGTGGGCTGGGCGGCGCGGGCCTGCTCGAGCCGGCGGTCACGCCGCTGCTGGATTTTGTGCGCGAGGACGTCGTCTACGACGCCGCCTGGTCGCCCGTCAAGCCCGGCGTGTTTGGGCTCGTCGACGGCGCCGGCTGGCTGGAGCTGTGGGACATCACGGCCGAGACCGAGGAGCCTGTCTCGCGCATCTCGCCGAGCCCGCGCAAGGACGGGCGCACCATGCTGAGCAAGAGCTTGAACAAGCTTGCGTGGGAGCCGAGCGAGGGGAAGCGGCTGGCTACGGGCGGCATTGACGGGGCTGTGACGGTGTTTGAGGTCGGGCCGGACCTGGGCGGGAAGGAGGCGCTGAAGAACGAGGATTGGACGAGCGTCAAGAAGTTGGTCAATAAGCTGGAGGCGGTGGGTGCTGGGGATGGTGGCGCTGCATGAGGGCTGTGTTTTGGGGTGGGTGTAGTGTAGCAGGGCGTAATGGGAACGATTAGGGGGGCTGGCTTTTTGTGACGAAGATAATATCGTATTCAATTCATGGCTGGTACCTTGTTGACTCGAGGGAGCATCCAGGGGGGGGGGGGGGTATATGTGATGGACCCTAACCCTCTTGTTAACTATGAGACCTCGAAACCTTACGTAACCCACCTGCCCTCTTAAATTTCTCGCTCCAGGCTTTTCAAGCTTCATCCTCACTCAACAAACCATGGCTAAAAGATCGGTTTCCTGGTCATCTGGCCGGCCTTTGGCATGAGCCAAGCTATAATGTGTAAGTCACTGGCATATTTCTATTTCTTCTTGTTTCCGGCTTATGATGAATGATTCTCCCATGAATTCTGCAATACTTAAGCGCCTTTCGAGGCTCCATGTGGACCAAAATCACATTCTTTCTTCCTGACAGTCAAAACTCCAAACATCATGACATCTCATACATATCTTACATCACGTCCAAAAACTGACCAAACTCAGACATAGTCCTCCAGCTCTCCCTCATTCCAGCACCTCATGAGGTATCCATCGTAAATGCCCCGGATACCCCCTCCCTCACCTTGGGGTCGCGGCGGGCGCAGTCGAGGATGTCGAGCCTCTTGCCGCCGTTGAGCAACCTAATTGATGCTGTCGATGGAGAGGAGACCGCAAGCCCCGACAGCGTCCTTGATGTTGAGGACTACCTTGTCGGCGTCCTCAGGGTACTTGGCTTGGCGAAGTAGGCTTCCAGGAGGGTCAAGGAGTTGCACTCGGCCGTGCCCTAGGACTTGCTGCCGTTCCAGAAGTTCATGCCCTTGTAGAGGGCGGCGCGCATGGTTTCGATGGCTTGTTGCTCCTGAGAAATCGGGCCAAGGAGCCAGGCGAGGCCTGGACATAGTCAGTCGCGGGTCGTGGGTCGAGACTGAAGTTGAGAGATTTACCCATGAGGCTGTAGCCGGTCGCTGACTTCTTGCCTGTTGATTTGAAGCATGTTGGTGAGTAAGGTAGGTGCGGTGATGGTGGTGGAGTTGTTTGTGCTGCGAAAGCATGATGTTCTAGATATGAAATAGCTAGAAAAAGCAGTCCGTGATTCATGTGTTTCTGATATTGTCCATGGAGTACAAAAGGCGGTGGTGACGCCGGCGGACATATTCATCCACCTCCGGAGACAATACACGAGGCAGCTATGTGGGCGCGCCGCCATACATAGCTAGGTATCAAAGAACAAACGGCGAGATGTGACGAACCTATCTCAGGACCCCGTCCTGTTAGGGTTCAGCTTCGGTCGAAGGTAATCTTTCAAGGGTGCTTAGGTTCGGTGCAGCCAAAGGGTGCACAACAAAGACTTGTCTCAACAGTAGGCTTGCGATCTTGTAGCGAACTGTAGTTGTGATTGCTAACTGGAGAACTCCCAGAGTTCTCCAGGACGAGTGGCTATATACTATCTAGGCCCATAGGTACCTTCGTACCTATGTTTCCTGGATCGCCTTATCCATTCCGCGATCCCTTGGATCGCGAATCTCTCAGCACGATCCGTTCCTTATTGGCTGGTGCTCCATATTTAATGATTGGTTCAGACCGCTCCCAGCGCGGTCCCGCATGGCCGTTGCATACGACCACTTCCGTGACATGAGAGCTTTCCTTGTGGGCGGGAGAGGAGGAGTTAGTATCGTCGTTGAACTCGTCAAATTATCGACTAACCCACACCAAGGTAGCAATTCGCCTGTTAGCAAGCGACCCAAATACAAGACAAACAAAGATACATAAACCCGGCTACAGTATTTCTCTTTTCTCTCCAGAAAGTCTTCGCATTGTCAACCAAAAAGAGCGGCCGGCACATTATACGCCCCAGGTCACATTGCATCTCGAAGTTTTATTCCAAAGTTAGGAGCTATCGCATCGGGCACAGAAACACATCACATGTATAATACAACAACAAAGTGAGTAATAAAGTCACCGTAAATGGGAAGTATTAGACCTGGGAAGAGCCAGTTGCGATAGAGATGGAACTCGACGAAACGAACACGGTGTGTACTTCACAGTGCGTAATGCTTTGCATACGGTCGCATTGTTGCATTGTCTCAGCGAGAGCAGGGGATTGATTGCCAAGAACGGAGGCAAGCCAGGAACAAAACTCTAAAAAAATGTTACGTTTGTTATTGTTGGTGATAATTCTTCAACCTCACTGGTGGGGGTTGAGGAACTAATTCAACGATTCAGGGCCGCTCCTTTGCAGGCAGAATTATTTCCGTTTATTTCGTCAGTATTATATAACTGGGCGCATATCCTATTGTTTTATTGTTCCATTGTTACCTTTTGCGACAGTATCCTCCTGGTGTTCAGCGCCTTTCGACGCTTTCCGGCGCCTATTGTGCTGGCTATTGTGGCAATTTATACTATTGCATGTGCTAGGTCCCGTATTCATGTTGAAGATGGTTCGAAGCAACAGCAACGCCGGTGCCATCGGCACTGGTCGCCCGAGAGCTACAAGACATAAAGAGCGGGCAGCAGTCTCTCACTCATCTACTTCCCAACTCTTCTCTCGACAAGTTCTCCGGCGTTCGACTTCTCTAGAACCTAATTCTGATCTTCGTTCTCTCGAGAAATCATCAGCATTTTCACTCTTACAATCTCCATCTCACCGCCCTTCTCTCCTTACTTCATATCGAAAGACCAAGTCCAACCAGCTCGCCCGTTCAGCCATCCTTCATCGTCACCTCAGCAAACCTCCGGCGCCCAGCAGACTTGCAAAACTCGTCAGGCGTCACCGAAATATTCAGCGGGCCATCAGCTTGTTTCTGCTCCGACGACGGTGGTGGAGACAGACACGAAGACCAACCCTCAACATGGACTTCATCAACCACCTCCGACAGCTCCAGGCCGACGAGTCCTCTTCGGACGAGGAGCCCGGCCGCATTCTCACCGCTGCCGCCGTCACCGCCCCGCCTGCAAAACCCCCCGCGGCTACCACCACCCCGCCCGCTCAGCCGGCCGAGACCAAAGCCCCCACCCCCAAGAGGAAGCGGGAAGCCCCCGCGGAAGCCGCCCCCGAGGGCATCGACGCGGAGACTCGGCAGGCGGCCAAGAGGGCGAAACTCCAGCTCCCCACGCCGCCCGCCAGCACCAGCCCGCCCTCCCCCCTGGCCAACGGCACCCCCAGCCCCAAGAAAAAAGGAGTCCGAGCCGCCGAGGAGAAGAAGGCCGCCGCCGCGCCACCCACCACCACCACCACCACCACCAAGACCCACCAACCCAAGGCGGCGAGCATCGCCAGCAGCAGCAAGGCCCCAGCCCCAGCCGCAGCTGCGACGAAGGACGAACCCCCGGAGAAGGCAGCGACAACAGTGGCGGCGCGGGCTCCGCGCAAGCCCCTCGACCAGATGGAGTTCTTCGAGCGGCGGGTCCACGACATGTTGACCCGCCCGCTCGACTTCGACGACTGCGTCCTGGACACCGCCCGCCCCATCCCCCGCCACGCCGCCCGCAGCTTCGCCCAGTATCGCCGCCGCCAGCCGCAGCCTGCGCCGCCCTTGGTCATGAGCGGCGCGCTTAGGCCGGTGTCGAAGGGCGATGTGAAGGTGGGTGCTGGTAATGGGGGTGGGGGTGGTGGTCGGTCGAAGGGGTCGTCTGGGAGCACCCTGGCGATGGAGGCGCGGAAGAATGCGCACCGGTTGAATGTGAAGGAGAGGGGGCAGGAGTTGAAGGGGAAGGCGAGGGCGGGCCCGCATGGGAAGGGCGCCGTTGTGGGCAAGCAGTCCGTTGTGTCGAGGCCGGATGGCGGCAGGGGGAAGGAGAGGCAGTGGTTGTCGAATGCGAGGCAGACGGGGGGAAACGGGGGACAGCAGCATTTAGCGGGTGGGAAGAAATCTAAGAAGTTTGCTTGATTTGGTGTTTTATTTCATTGTGGTGATTGGTTGATGATATGCGCATTCTCTGATGACGACCTCGCTCGTTGTAAAGGCCCACGTTCCTCCTTGTCATAGCTATACCATACTAACTTCTCAGAATGCTCGGAGGGTTTATAAATCAACAACAAACGGACTACCACTGTTTAGACGGGGCCGTGATCTTTACTTCAATACCATCTGCGCCGACGTCTTCCATCTTGATACCGCGACGTTTGGTGACGCCCGACTAGGGATGGAACTGGTTGTGGTTGGCAAACCCGGGTTAGGGTTTCTCGATGCATTCAAAAATGTGGGATAGAGAGAGAACCAGGTTGGATAAAAAGGAAAAGATTTCAACAAAAAATGCCTAAGAAAGGCATACAAAAAACATGTCGTGGCTTGGAAACCACACATCTCGATCCACCCAGGGGTCGAACCTGGAACCTCCTGATTACTTGGATGCGATCCCTTGGATACCCAGGAGGATAAGGGAGTCGTACATCGTAGTCAGACGCTCTGCCATTGAGCCAGCGGACCTTTTTCTCGCTTGTTGAAAGTACCCGCTTGGATTTTAATTTTTCATGGAGAGAATGGAGCCCGCTGCGGTGTTTGTGTGTGGCAGACTGGCACAGACAAAACAGGGGTCAAAGGTCAGGGTGGAAAAGTTCAGGCTCAGAGCGGGCCGAGACAAGGGGCTCCCTGCAGCAACGGCTTGGGGTCACGAGAGCGGCAAGGAAGGTCTACCCGGCAGCTCCCCACTTTCTCTACCTCGGCTGGCGGCATCGGTGTCGGATGCTCCCCGCAGGAGATGCCGGGTGACACCTTGGTGGCTGTGGCTACGGACAGCGAGCTTGGGGAATATATATTTGTAGCTAGTATTCGCCATCCCAAGGTCAGATCGACCCTCCAAATGTTCAATTGATTCCATCACTCTGTTTCCCACCCCGTCCATCCTCATTGAAACACCCATCACCACCCATAACCACCAAATCAACCGTCATAATGTCCGGGCCTGGTGTTGGTTTCGAGTATCCGCCGCAGGAGGTCAGTTGGACCAAGCGGGACGCCCTCCTTTTCGCCAACACGATTGGCGCCACCGCTGACGAGCTTCACTTTCTCTATGTAAGGCTCCTGCAAGTCCGTCGACAACTTAACCTAACCGCGACCAGGAACTCGACCCCAACTTCTCCGTCTTTCCCACCTACCCCATCATCCTCAGTACGTCCACGGCCCATCCCCCCCCCCTTCCCTCTTGCCTCCCTCCCTCCCTCCCTCCTGTCGCAACAACACTCTAACCACCCACACACCAACCAACAGCCTTCAAAGGCACCACCCAAGACGTAATCGACTTCTACTCTGCGCAAAAAGCAGTCCCCATCCCCGGCGTGCCGGCCTTCGACCCGACCCGCGTCGTCGACGGCCAACGGCTCCTCCAATCCTTCCAGCCGCTCCCCGCCTCCTCGGCCGGCAAGCGCTTCGAGATCCGCACCAAGGTGCTCGGCGTGTACGACAAGGGCCGGCCGGGCACGGTCGTCGACACGCAGACCGACCTGGTCGACGCGGCGACGGCCACCGTCTACACGCGCGTCATCTCCTCCTCCTTCTACGTCGCCCAGGGCAACTGGGGCGGGCCCAAGGGCCCCGCCACCGTCAGTTTCCCGGCGCCCAAGGATCGTGCGCCGGATGTGGTCTTTGAAAAGCAGACGACGCCTGAGACGGCGTTGTTGTATCGGTTGAATGGCGATTATAACCCGCTGCATGCGCACCCGGAGCCGGGGAAGAAGATGGGGTTTGGGGGGGTCATTATTCATGGCTTGTACTCGTGGAACTGGGCGGCGCATGGTTTGTTGCAGCACCTGGGGGGGAGTGATCCGGCGAATATGAAGGAGTACCAGGCGCGCTTTGCGAGCCCCGTGAGGCCGGGTGATAAGTTGGTGGCGTCGGCGTGGAAGACGGGGGAGAAGAAGGGTGAGTGGGAGGAGGTAAGGTTTGAGGTCAAGGTGGAGGGTGGGAAGGTGTGCTTGAGCAATGGTCGGGCCCTGATGAAGTGCGTTGCGCCCGCGAAGGGGAAGCTGTAATTAGGGTACATTTGGTATGGGTTCATAGGGGATGTAGAAAATATTGTTAATTTTGTTTTTTATGATATGTTATGTTACCATTATGTTATCTTTATGTCGGAATATGAAAGGCTGCTCCGTTGCGTGTTGAGTGTGGTGATTATTAAATCAATGATGCTTCCCAATCTGTGATCTGTGTTGATGTGCGATTGCTGCCTGGATTGACTTGGTATTTTTTGAGTGGACAACCCAAAACGGGTCCCAATTTCAACCTCAATCATCAACTTCGAAATGGCTATCAACCCCCAAATCGGCGAGCGCCGCTCCTACGACGGCGTGCCTTGCACCGTGAGATACGTTGGCGAGGTTGCGGGAACGTCGGGTTCATGGCTGGGTGTGGAGTGGGATGACCCCTCGCGGGGTAAACACGACGGACAACACAAGGGCGTCCGCTATTTCTCATGTACATACCACCCCCAACACATTCAATACTTCCATTCCTACAAATATCCTAACTGTCTCCAGGCACATCCCAGTCCCCCAATGCCGCGTCCTTCGTCCGCCCCACGCGCGCAGCGGATACGCCCCAGACCTTCCTCTCAGCGCTGAACTTCAAGTACGCCCGTGACCCGACTGAGGACCAGACCCCGTCCAGGCAAATCAAGTTTTCGGGCAAGATCGCCGAGGAGGTCGGGTTTGAGAAGATCCGCCGCCAGCAGGCCCAGTTGGACGAGCTGCAGTTTGTCATTCTCGATGGCGTGCAGCTTGCTCTTGCGACGGACCCCGCGAGGGATGGTGATCAGTCGATCAGCCAGGTCTGCCCCAAGGTTAGGGAGCTGGATTTGAGCAGGAATTTGTTTGAGCGGTTTGGGCCGGTTGTGCAGATTTGTTCCGAGCTCAAACTGTTGCGGAGCCTGAAGGTCAAGTGCGTTTGTTTGTTTGCCATTGTCGTGCAGCGTTTGGGTGCTGACACTGAATTGCTAGTGGAAACCGGTTCAGGGGTGTTTTCGACGATAAAGTCCTGGAGTCCGCCGGCGATGCCTTCGTTGGGATTACGGAGCTCGCTCTCGAGGACACTCTCCTCTCGTGGGAGGAGATATGCCACATCGCCTCCAAGTTTCCCTCCCTGACCACCCTCCACGCCGGTTCCAATCAGATCTCAGCCATCACCAGTATTCCAGATGCCCCGTTCGCCACCCAGCTCGTCTCCCTCCACCTCGAGCTCAACGACTTGTCACCTCCCTCGCGTCACTCGCCCCGCTCGGCCTCCATCCCCACCCTCCACAACCTCCTCCTCAAAGGCAACTACATCTCCACCATCAGTCCCCCATCCTCCCCACCCCCCATTTTCAGCCCCAACCTCCACTACCTCGACCTCTCCTACAACGCCATCGCCTCCTGGTCCTTCATCGACGCCCTCCCCACCACCATCCCGGGCCTAACCTCCCTCCGCCTAACCCACAACCCCCTCTCCTCCGACCCCGACCTAGAGGACACCACTACCCCACCCCCCACCACATCCCCGAATTCCTTCGAGGACTGAGGAGGTGAGGAAAGTTTTTCTCCCTCTGTTTGCTTTTCTCTGTTTACTGTTTTACCCCTAGGAGTTCTCTGTATCCTGAAGAAGTGTGTGGTCTGATTTTGGTTGTGTGCTCTCTTCTTTGCAAAATAATCTGTTGTCTTTTGTTT